TCCTCTATACACAGCTTGTCTGTATATAGCCCCAGTAGCTTAAGTTCATGCACTCATTCACTGCCTAAATACTAGAATAACTAATCATGAACACATAAACTGTCTTTCTGATTATAGGTATACTCTCTGCTGTGTAATATGCAATAAACATACTACTACAGCTGAATAAAGCAGTGAATAAGTCCCACCATTTAATCTCCTCTAAATGAACTGTCTCTGTTGTGTATATTAATTAACAAACCAAACCAATAAAGATTTGTACATTTAACTCTCTCTCATCCTTTGCATCTTTTCCACTTTTTCTTCTCTTTTTGTGAGTCTGTTTCTCCCACATACTTTTAATTCCTAATTAGCCATCTAACATATGGCACTTATGCCTAAGATATTCGTGTACTTTGCTTTTGTCTCCTTCTCCATATACCAAGCTTCTAAAAATACCAGAAAACCGAGCCAGCTGCCTTTAAGTGCAAACTCGGTCTCTTCATACGCTCTGAATACAGGTGGAGTAGTCTATCCTATAAACACTGCACATTAGTTCGTATAGCTTGTCCTTCTAATTCAATCAGTAAAGTCTTTAATACAAGATAAATTAGACACAGAATAATATCCGCCCTGTTCTGCCATCCTCAATACTGCTTCTCGGCATTCATTTCACATCTCTTCGGTCTCTCTACCCATAAGAAACTGAACTCATGGAATATAAAACTAGTTTTAGTTCTTTAACCATACTTCATTCTATTTCACTAGGAATAGCCATTGGCACAGTCACATGGAAAATATAAATATACAACCCACATATTCACATTTACAGAAATAGTCTCCTTTATTACACCCTCTTTTGTTTATATTATATTCTTGCCATATGTTATTCTTTCTGCTGTATAATATGCATATATTCTTTATTTTCTACTATTTTTAAAATTTAAATTGTACTCTAATAAATATTCTAATAAGAAAATAAACATATTTTATATTTTAAATATAACATAATATTTTAGGATTTCTATAGTTTTAAGGAAATGTTTTAACCTGTAACGATGACTAATAGAAATAAAAGTGGCAATTCAATTTACCCACAGATGACATAAATACCAAAATTACATTTAAACCACATTTAGAAGGCTTTAAATTTGAAAAGATAAACAGAAACATTTGCACATGTAAACATATGAATAAAATGAGTGTTAGTTACATGTAGATCCATCTGCGCTATTTCTGTCTTTTAGATAGCACTGCCTCTTCTTATGCGAATTGAATAATAAATCACTCGATGTTGCTAGATAGCTTTACATACATCAATATTGGCGGTCTTTATGAAATAATCGATGATGGAAAAATAAAACTATATAATCTGAAAGTGAAACTGACTTATAAGGCTTATATTCTTTATTCATACGGCAGAGGTTAAATTATCTCCTTAAAATATAGAAATCCTAAAATATAATAGCTTTCGCATTCCAATAAAAAATATATTTTAGCTCTGCTAAATAAGAGCCTTCATTTACAAAAAAGAAGTATCTGTAATTAACCAAATATAAAATCAATATTTATATATGTGGTGACACCACCACTCAGACGTAACCCCTCGAGGGCGATCCGTCTGTGCGGCGATCCCGCCAAGGCAAAAAGCCGGGATCACTGAATCAGTATATCAACTTCCGACTATTTAACCAGAGCTCTTTCCCCAATTTAGGGGGAGACTCAGGGAAGCATCGACGGCTTAACTTCAGCGCCAGGCCTAACACAACAGCACCTGGGACTCCGTGCTCGCGCTGGCTTAGGCCGCTTCCTAAAGACAATAAAGAGCTCTCCCCCTTCACTTTCTTCTAACTCTTGGATACATAGCAGGGCGGCGGTGGCGTTACTCCTTGTGAGTACGTCAATATATTTTAAATACACAATAATATAGATACAATAATATTTCTTTACTAATCTCTCTATATGGTAGATAAAAAAAGAATACTTCAAATAACCCAAATATATATAAATTGCTCTAACTATACCAAACTATGTAACATTTGTGTTTATACTGTTATAAATAGAAGTATATTTTAAAACCAACCGAATATTGTTTCCAAATTATTCTTAGATCAGTTTGTGTATATATTAAAGAATTATATTAAAATTTAAAGAAGTACCATGAGACATTTAAAGAAGTCCTTTATTATACTTGGAATACTGTGGATGGTATTTATAAATAAAACGAAGTGCAGTGTGTTAAAGATAAAAGATAAAAAGCACAACAATCGAGATAAAATATGCCCATACAATACAAAATTGGGATCATGTAAAAATAGAGTAAATTCAAGCATGAATGCAGTAGCAAGTGAGCCACTACTAGAACAAAATAAAAATAGCGATGAACATAATCTAGTGATCGACATTAAAATAGATCTGGTGCCATCTACTACTATTAATTCTATTAATACCAGGCTTGGCCATAATTCTAAGAAAAATTGTATATTACGTGAATATAAAAATGAAAATAAGTATAATATACGAAACTTTACTAGTTATATAGAAGATATTGAGAATGTAGTGTTTTTTCGGTCAAATAAGAAATGCCCACAAGATCCAATAAAAAAAAGATCAGTGGCTATAATTAACAAATGGAAGAAAAACTCAAAAACAAACATTTGGTTCATGGCTCAGAGTTTAACACCTGTTTTTTTTAGAAGATTTTATTTTCTTAATGATATAATTAAAACAAACCCCTCTGATTTAGGTACTATAACTAATCCATTATATTATGATGGATTTCTAGAAGATTTAGTTAAATATATTAAAATGCATGGGCAGAGGGTATATACTTATAAAGAAGCACAAATTAGATCTTATAAATTTAAAAAAGAAACTCTTGGTGACATCTGGCTGAATAAAGAAATAAATATATACTGCTGCTGCAGTGGTATAGATATGCAAATGGCTACAAAGGAAACAGAAGAAGGTATAAAAGAAGATGAAAAATTCAAAAATAAATTAAATACAATTTTTTACATACCAGAAGTATACGAAGACTTCTATAAACTACCATTAAAGGAAGTTAGTAAATTTTTCTTTCATATTGAAGAAGACTTAAATAAAACCATTAAAATTGTGGATGCACTAAATGATAGGTATAAATCTATAAAAGAGTTACTGGGTCTAAAACCCATCATATTGTATCTTATAAGCACAGCACAAAAAGACACTGTGCAAATAGAGATATTCTATAATCAAATTAAAGAATTAAAAGTTAACTCAGACCACAGTAGGCCTATAAATACTTTTAATTCAATAGAAATATACTATCTAGTACACAATGCAGTTTATATTTTTTATATACATTATACGCTAATGTATAAATTAGATAAAGAATCAAAACAGGCTATTAAAAGTAGAACTCCGCTTTTGCATATATATAGCATACATCCAAATCGAATGTATAGCAAAATAATGGGAGGTCCTACTACTTTAGTTCCAAGATATTTAAAATTTTCTACCGAGCTAACAAGAGTAAATAAAATAGAAAATGGACAATTTGACTCAGATATTCTAAGACTACACAGAACAAACTACGCTTATATTAAAGAAAACAACACAATCTTATCTATTAAAGACCACTATCACATACAGTTTGTAGATAATGAACGGCATACGGTTGAGATGATTCATCTTCCATTATACTTACACAAAAAAGACAATGGAGATTCTTTAGTTTACTTCTTTCATACAATTAGGTGCATAGTGCTTTATTTAAAGATGCTATTTAGAATTGGAGAAAATAGAAAACATGGTATGGTTGGAAATATTTATCCATTTAAGTACAATAGAAAGGACTGTACGTGGTCTTTGATAACAGAAAACTCTGATTTAGATAGAACTGTGCAGATAATAGAAGAAGAGAACTGTAATGTAGTTTTCTACTACATAAAAGAAAATATATACTTAGAAGAATTTTGCTTTGCTCAGTTCATTTATCCGGATCACATACAAGATGAAGTTAAAGATGATAACATTAACAAGCCAAGAATACCATTATTTCTTTCTAAATTAATGGTTTCTGGCGCTTTTTTAGGCCCTTATGATGAATATAGCCTTAATTATGATGTTTTCAGACTGATGGATTATAAAAACTTAAAGCCAATAGAGTATATACAAACTTATACAAAAAATTATCGCATTAAACCTTTATTCGATATTGATGGTTACAATCACGAATTATTGTTGTTAAACAATCACACAGGAGAAAGCACACTAAATTATGCCATTAAACACTATTATAGTGATTTCTTTATAAAAAACTCAACAGATCCGTATGAGGACTTTCGCTGCTACTACATGAATATTCAACAAAAAATTAATAAAGAAACAGGAAATGTAACAATTCACTGGAATGCAAGGGAATACAGCAGTGTATATGAATATACAATATACAGTTTTGATAGTGATATAAAAGATGAAAGAGCCCATATGAGTGCTGTTAATCAACCGGCCCACGCCTCTTTTATTGATATGCTGCAGAGAAAGAACCCATCTCTGGATATGGCAATGTACGGCCACTGTTTTTATAAAAATAGTACTGATGCTGACTATAACAATAATCCTCTGTTTTGTCTTACCATGAAGGACCTACTAGAAAGACTAAACGCGTATTTAGTAGATCTAAATAAAAAAGACAAAATATTGGATATAATAAGCAGAGCAATTCTATTTAATAAGAAATATAGCAAAAAGTTCATTCTAAAAGATATTTCTGAAATGATTCAAAGCACAAAACTTGAAGAAATTAAAGAAAGTAAAGAGGGAGTCATATCTATAAGAGATAACAACTATAATGGTTGTAAATATGGCATTCACTATGATATTTTAAAATTGTTCGCCAATAATAAATATATATCATCGGATATGCGAGTGTTTGACGAATATATGCATACAAAGTATATGGCTTCCTCATCGGTATATGAAGAAGCAAAATAATATGCCGAAATTGTTTTTACATGACATATTAAATGATTTAATCTCTTATATCTTTGCTTTTTATTGTTTCTTCTTAATAAAGTATATCTATACTTAAATAATGTGGTCTAACAAAATACAAATATCTTTGTGTAATATATTATAAAGCTTTAGCCGTTATTAATTATGACCAACCCTGTATGTTAATGTTTTCCATTATACATACACATCTTCTTTTGTTGTATACTAAGACTAACATTAGTATCGTAATACATAGGTTATCTGAATGTTTACATAAACAGGACAGTATAAATTAAATCAGAAATTATTGTTGACATTGTATGTCAAACATTAATTAAATTGATCATACGTCTATACATACGTATATAAATTAAATAAACATTAAAGTATCTTAATGACTTTTTCTAAGAAATCAACTGCTTTCTTGTTTTTTTATTATATATTGTTCTTTACTTTTATTTTTCTTGTAATAAACTCATATTCATTGAAATATTTCATATAAAAAGTGAACATATTTTATTTTTAAAATTTGAAATATTTAAATATTTAATAGTATAAGAATATAAGTAGAGGATAATTATACTAAAATCACAAAAAACCAACATATAATAAATTGTGCTTGTATTTCATGGACATCCTTAACTTGAATTTAATTTCTTAGAATTGGCTATTAATAGAGATAGACCATCATTGAATTATTATTGCATGTTATAAAGTGCAAGATAGATTTAATTAATTTTGGCATATTTCATAAGAAATAAACTCTGACTTAATTTATACTGCCATGTTTATTAAACATTCAAACGATTCATATATTGATTAGCTTATTATAGCAGCACCATACAAAACTTGCAATAACAAATTCTATACTTCTATACACACACAGACTGGCTAATTATACTGTAAGTATAATATTTCTATTTTCAAACAGAATATTTGGCTCGTTCTACTCCTGAAGTATAAGAATTAATAAAATGGTTAGTGAGCAAAGAAAGGGGTTAAGGAACATGGAAACTACAGATCAAATAGCCACATGCTGAATACATAACAAACTTATTGTGTATTAGGATAATATATATCGTGTATTCATAATTTATCTGTGGGTTATATATGATAGAATGAAGACAGCCAAATAATTGTAAACTAAAATAATAGTTTAAAGGGGTAGAATCCTAAGCTTGGAGGTTTAAAGATATAAGATAAAAAGTATAAATAAAAAATAAGGATTAAAAAATGATTAAAGTTTACTAATGACTAATTCTAACAAATCAACCCGACTAACTTGGCCATATGTGGTCTATATAAAAATGATTAAAGTTTACTAATGACTAATTATAAGAAATCAACTCAACCAATATGGCCACAAGTATTTTTGTATCGAATTATCCACAGTGCCGAGTGCTTTCAGGACCAAACAATGTATTTGTCTGTGGCAGAAAAGTCTCTTGCACTGTGGATAAAATTGAAAATCGCTTCTGTATTTATACACAACATATTAATATTTCCCTTTATGGTAAATATACCTCTATACTCTGAAATATGTCAAATAATATGTCAATTTTCTGGTCATTTTCGCCATTGTTTATACCCCTGCAGTAAAGTTTTTTTCAAATTATGTATGTGAAGGTGCACACTAAAACATGCCAAGAATGCATGTAATGTGGAAAGCGAGAGAGTGAATAGAAAGAGAATTTAGTGAGGAGGTGTATAAATATTGTGTAAAGTTGTGTAGACGCGTGCCGCCTGGAGATAGGCGCACTATCTCAAGTATCAACGAACAGTTTGGTCGATGCACTTCTTGGGGGGAAGTTACCTAAACACGCATGGAGGACTCTGTTCCGGGACTATCCCGAGACTAAGGCCCAGTGCGTAGACCGTAGCGTGAGTACTACTCGCGCGGTGGCACGTTATCTCAGTGCCATCATGCCATTGAGGAGTGACCGTATAAAGTCCTACTTTATAAGCCACGTTCCTCCACCCCTAGCAGTCAAAGACATTAACTTGTTACGGCCGCCCTAGGGGCACAAGGAACGGCTTAGAGAGAATAGGAAGAGAGTGTGTGGTGCTCGACGACCATCCGTTTGAGGCTCCTCGAAACTTATATCAATAAACTGTTTTAAACTAAAAATATGAAGTAAAATATAGAACAGTCAGGTATAATGATACTACTTATTATAATTACAAGTTATGTTATATTCATATTGGTTTTAAAAAAGACTATAATACACACCGAGAACAGTTAACAAAAGTTAAAGAAATGAACAATTTCCTTCTTCATTAAACAAAAGAAAGTTAAATTATAAACTAGCATATAATAAACTGTGCTTGTATTGCATGTGCATGCCTAGCCGACTGCAATTTATTCTCTTCATGCACTCTTCTTGTTCTATTACTACTATACACAGCTATGCATTGACTAATTATACTATAATTATACTTTTTCATTTTTTTCTGACGGGATATTTTTTTAATTTTATTCCTGAATTATAGGATTGATGAAGTGATGGATGAAGGAAGAGCTTAAGAAACAAGGGGGCCACAAGCCGGCTGGCCCCCACGCCGAACACGTAGCCAACCAATCTGGCCACAGGTGATTTTGTTTCGGACTGACCCACAGTTATGAGTGTTTCCATGCCCGACAGTATATTTGTCTGTGGCTGAGAAGTCTCTCGCGCTGTGGATAAAATTTAAAATTCCTTCTCTATTTATACCCCACATATTTCCCACTTCCTCTTTGGGACGCAACTTTTCCCTTTAAGGTAAGTATACCCCTGCAACCCGACATAACCCGAATATTTGGGCCATTTGCTGGCCAATTTCCTCACTTTTCATACCCCTGCAGCAGAGTTTTTCGTCAGGTTATTTTTGCAAAGGGGCTCTTCAAAGAAGGCCAAGAATGCATAGTATGCGAGGTGGGCAGGAATAAATGGAGGGCTGAGTTGGTGAGGGCGTGTGCGTATAATATACAAACTTGTGAGAGTGGGTGCAGATATGTCATTATTAACTATAAGCTTATAGTTAAATAAGAAATTTGAAGTTTAAAATGAATGATACAGATATAAATATAAAGTGCCATAATAATTGGTTCTTTCTTAAGTCAATTTTAAGCAAGAATTATCCAATTTATATATTAAATACAACTCGAAGCATAAATAAAAGAAAGAATAAGAAGAAAAAATAAATTATAGAATATTTTATTCCTAAGATTTCTGTATAAATACAAAGAAACCACTAAGAAGTGGTTACTACTAAAAGCACACAGAGTTTATTATTAATTGTAATTTTGCTATAATTTTCTTATAACAAGAAAAAGTATATATTTAACTGTAGCATATAATGCATACCCCAGAAATAGATAGAATAAGAGCTTAAAGAACTAAAAATAAAAAATATTCATTTCACAATAATAACTCTGATGCCATGCAGCTATTATAATATTTATATAAAAAATATATTAAAAACTAAATAATTATTATGAGAAGTTATAAGAAAAGAAGTATTATTACTGGAATATTATGGATAATAGTGAACAAAGTTATATGTACAGGAATACCATATAAAGAAGAAAATCAAAACAGAGATATAAAGATCCGCAAAGTGGCATGCAATTTGCCATTAATATCTAGAGAGACAGCCTCTGAAGTATTAGATACTGCAAGCACAAGCAAAGAGCGTATAGCTGAAAATCAACTATATATAAATAATATGCCGCCAGATAAAAATAACCAGCCTATTTTATACGATGAATCAGAATCAAGTAATATGGCAATTTTAGACGTATCTAAAAGTCATACAAATCAGAATTGTAATAATAACTATATTATACTGTGGTTAAATAATACTCAAAATAAGAAGTATAAGAACAAAGAAAATAAAAGAACAATTAATACAAACAAAAATAGACATAGTACAGATGTAGGAACAAATTCAGATAATATACTACCATTGAATAACAGTCCTAGCCCCATACAGTCTAGCAGTAGCCATGCTAATTCTAATGTATCTGATATTTTTAATATTAGAAGAAATTATACTATACGGAATTATACTAAATATGCAGGAAAAAAAATAATTTAATAATAAAGCCATGCAAAACTCCAGAAATTATGTCAGAAATAATGTGCAAAGCACTCGATGGATACATTAAGTATTGGAAGAACAGTAAAAAAACAGATATTTGGAATAATATTCAAAGTATGCCATTAAGCATTTTAGGAATGAAAACTTTATTTGACCATATGCTATGTAGGAAAGACATAACGGATAGCATACAATACAATTCCCTATACTATAAAGGATTTCTAAAGGACATAGTCAATTATATTAAGGTATATGGACCAATCATATATATGCATAAAGATGTATATGTTAAGGACTATTCTAACATAAAAAAAGAAACTCTTGGTGATATATTAAGTAACAAAGAAGTAAATATATATTACTGCTGCTGTGGTATAGGCAGCCAGATGAGCACAGAGGGAAAAAAAGAAGAAGAAAAAGAAAAGGAAATTAGGAAAAATTTAAATGCAATTCTTTACATGCCAGAAGTGTATGAAGACTTCTATAATTTGCCGCAGAGTATAGTTAATGAGTTCTTCCGGCTCTTTAAAAAAGAATTAAATAAAATTAAAGGTAAAAATTGTCTTCTAGTAGACAATGAAGACTTTTCTAATATAGATATACTAAACCTAGAAGCAATTATAATATATCTTTTAGGCACGGTGCAAAAAAACAAAGTAATAGCAAAGCAAGCATATAAGAAAATTATTGCTAATAATGAAGGTATAAGTGATTATGACGCAGTGAAGATATATAAGCTAGTTTACATGAATGTTCAGCTATTCTATAAGTATTTCTGGAGTATATACAAACTAGATTTAAAAAAAAGCGATAGAATTCAAGATAGAGGTGCATGCTTATTTGAGTCTATGACTACTTACAAGGAATATAATAAAATACTAGGCAGTTCCGCTGTTGCAACACAAAAGTATTTAAAATCTGTTCAGGCATTAAAGGAAATATGTAAAATAGAAAATGGGCATTCTATCCAAATGATTTATAAGATGTGCAATGGTAAATTAGCTGTTAATAGAGAATATGTGGTGCTAAGTATTAAAGACCACTATCACATACAGTTTGTAGATAATGAACGGCATACAGTTGAGATGATTCATCTTCCAGTATATACTTATATAGACAAAAGTGGCATAACTATAAAGTGTCAGTTTCACACTATTAAGGATATAGTAAATCATTTAAAAGATGTATTTAAAATAGGAGAAAATAATAGAGATGATGTAAATAAAGAAAATGTACACCCGTTTAAGTACAATAGAAAGGACTGTACGTGGTCTTTGATAACAGAAAACTCTGATTTAGATAGAACTGTGCAGATAATAGAAGAAGAGAACTGTAATGTAGTTTTCTACTACATAAAAGAAAATATATACTTAGAAGAATTCTGCTTTGCTCAGTTCATTTATCCGGATCACATACAAGATGAAGTTAAAGATGATAACATCAACAAGCCAAGAATACCTTTATTTTTGACCAAGTTTATAGGTACTGGTTATACAATTGGCCCCTATGACAAGAATAAAATTAAATATGAAACATCTAAGATAAAAGAGTATAAAAACTTAATGCCAACTAGCTACATACAAGAATATCCCAATGAATCAGATACTAATCTATTAGTAGGCAATGATGAAGAAAAAATACTAAATTTTGCTATTAAACACTATTATAGCGATTTCTTTATACAATATTCTACAGACCTATATGAAGACTTATACTGCTATAGTATGAGTGTTAAGCAAGAAATTAATGAACAATACGACTGTACAGTTATATCTTGGAATACAAGAATGTACAACAGTGTATATGAGTATACAACATACAGTTTTGATAGTGATATAAAAGATGAAAGAACCTATATGAGTGCTATTAATCAGCCGGCTCACGCCTCTTTCATTGATATGCTACAACGAAAAAATCCTTCTACCAACATGGCAATGTACGGCCACTGTTTCTATAAAAATAGTACTGATATTAACTACAAAAATAATCCTCTGTTCTGTCTTACCATGAAAGAGTTACTAGAAAGAACAAATTCCTATTCATTCGATCCAAATAAAACAGATACAGAAGTGAAAGACTCTATACATGCAACAGCAATAAATCCAGAAAAAACCAGCACAGAATTTAACCCAAAAGATATTTCTGAAATGATTCAAGGCACAAAACTTAAAGAAATTAAAGAAAGCAAAGAAGGACTCATATCTATAAGAGACAATAATCATAATGGCTGTAAATACGGCATTCACCACGATATTTTTAATGCCTTAAACTATCCAGGATTATAATTATTAGCACATTTTTGTTCTTCTTAATGATACATAATAAGAGTGTGGTGACACCGCCACTCAAGCGCGCAGGCCCGAGGCCGATTCCCCAATGCGTCTCCGCGCGCGGTGATACTGCCTCAACAAAAGACCAGAATCTAAGAATCACTGATCAACTTAGGACTATATAAGTAGCACGCACTCAACAAAGAATGGGCAAACTAATAGAAGAACCACGGGAAACATTTACCAAAAAGCTCAGCGCCAATAGCGCCACAAGGACTCCGCGTCCGCACACATCCCAATATTCTAATAATCATAATAAAGGGCATCCCTCAATACTATCTCTATCCATCTTGGACTATGGTATCCAGGCGGCGACGGTGCTCCTGGTGAGCCCGCCAAAGAGAATTTATAAATAACCCGAAATTCTTTCTTTTGTTCTCAACTAAAACTGCTAATTTCTTCTCATTAAGCATTTTATTTTAAGCCTTCTACAATACATTTATATTTGCCTTAAAAGTATAAATATTAATTTGTCAATTTAGTAAAATAATTAATATACTTTTTCCTCTTTACTGTATAAACTATAGAATAGCAATTGGATTATTACAATTTAATGGTTAAGGGGTTAATTTAGGTTATTTATTAAAGCAAATTTATCTGTATAATTTAGGTAGATACAGAATATTCGGGCTATAAATATCTAATATATCAGGCAAAGGTTGGATTATTGGTAGGAGAAGCACTAGATTATAATGCACTATGTGTGTTTATTAATGTATTCTGTTAATTACGTATCTGTACACATAATATATACATATTCCCAGGAATACATCAATGAATGTATGATAATACTCTATGGTATGTGTTAATATTTTATTATATTCATACATTAGAATCACTATTATAAGTGATGGATTGATATTTAGCAAAATGTGTATTCCATTAAGTAAAATAAAAGTGTGGCCAGATGGGTTTATAGGAAGCTTACTGCTCAACAGAAATACTCTTGCCTCTTTAATATATCCTATAATCTGTGTAAACACAAAGTACAAGCCTACTTCCATTCCCATGTAAAATATACTCTGAATTTCCCTTGCATGCATATAGGACACAATATAGGGCAGGATATACCCGCACTTGTTCACAATAAATATTTCCAACGCGTAGACCCAGGATGAATTGCCGTACCCAGAAATAACTGCAGTCTCAGACGAGTTAAACCAGGAGTACAATAAAATGTAAAGAGTGTACGCATGAAAGGCCTGCATAAAAGAAAATGAAAATTGCAAGTGGATATTTATTCAGGGCCCAACCCAAGACAAATAATACAATGTGCAGTAACTCTTGCTACTTTCTACACAATGCAATAACTCTGCACGGATGCGCACAGGGAAGCTTTGCCCTTAGACACAGAACATTCGATACATATGCACGCCCATCCTATTATTCTCTGGACAATGTGTAATATACTTTGCACACATGTGCACTATTCACTTACTGGATCTTGATGGGACTTTAGCCACTGCCTCCTTTATTTCCTTGATGGCGTGGGTTCTAAGCTCTCCGGATAGGTTAACCATAACAGCTGCCATTACCTCCTCAAGGTTAATTGTCTGTTTTCCTACCTTTCTGGCAAGAATTTCACAGTCATTTGACAATTTGTCAATTATATCACAGACAATGTTGCAAAGACTTTCTACAACAGGTCCACTGACTTGGGGTGGTGCTGCCTGGTAGGTGTTCTTAAGCATTCTCTTGATAGATGACCTGAAGTTGTATTGACTCTTAGACATGTGGTTTGTCTTCTTCTTCTTCTTTTCAGTTGCACCTACGCCCTTTGCTGGTGCCTTTCCTGCTGGGATTATTTTCTTGTCTCCTGTCTTTGCTTCCATTTTATTATTTCTGCAAATAAAAATATATTTATACTTTTGTTTTGGCGGGTACTTTCCCTCCAAAATGCAGGAAGCAATATAAATATAAAATATACCAAATTTGTAAATCAATCAGTTATATGTTATTAATACAAATAGACTGGATATAATATATTTAATAAGATAAAGAGAGTAAAATGGGCTCTGGCAGCAAATGCAGCCAAATGCGCCTTAATACAAGAATTTATAAGAATTTATTTCATCAAGAAATAATTTAGCTAAAAATAATATTATGGCGGGAAACTCAGTCTGATTCTATTCTAATAGAACTATTTATTCTTTCGTAGTATTTCCATGGTTTTTGTTAGCTTTTTCGGGCTCTTGTTTATCTTTCGGGTTATTTCCTGTGCAGTGTTGTGATTATAAGAAGGCTGAACATCATCTGGGCCTGTCAGCACTAAAAGAGAAAACAGAAGGAATGGGCCTAAAACAAGTCCTGCACATCCAAATACCTTCCACCCCAAGAAACTACTTATACTTTTTAAGTATCTGTTGCCTATGCCAGCATTTACGCTGCTTTTAGTAGAGAAAATACATCTTATTATTATGTGTATAATCACCCCAGAAATAATCAATATACCAGAATTTAATCGCTGGCCGTGTGCAAGTAGCATTACTGCAAACAAGAAAAAATAAATCAGAGAATGTACAGGGAAAAGCGTCAAAACAAAAAATGTCATCATATAAGTAATAAGCAGTGGCTGCGCAAAATAGATTGATGAAAGCACAGAAAACAATGCTTGGTATACACTCGCAATGCAGAGCGTGTTTAAAATACCTTCAAATATTTTGATTATATGCGCTGCTTTAGGGATAGATCCAATAAGATAAAAAAGAGGATTCTTCTGTAATCTATAGAAATAAACAAAGAAGAATATAAAACACACAACACGTCCACTGAGCAGTAAATCTTTCTGAACATCATAGGAAGTGTACATTGCAAATGGCTTTAAAGCATTGTATATTCTGTAATACATGCGGCAATCAGCTGCTGATATGTTGCTTACTATCTCCTGTCTATTATGTATAGTGCTTACAAAAAACTCTAATAATTCTTTTCTACATATAGACATTACCAAATACGGAAAAACGGTAAACAAAATACTAACAACTAATACTATATGCATTACGGGAATCAGAATAAATGGAGTATTATTGTTAATCTGTTTGAATAGCACAGAATAGCACATAGACCAGAATATAGTGGTAATATAACCCGAAAATAGTATGTAGTTTCCATATACAATCAACCCCACTAAGCCACACCTCAGGACATCCTCCATAAAAATAAATAAAAATACAAGCACCCATAAAAAGAGAGAAAATATCAAAGAAACACTGTAATAGACATAATAACAAACAGATACAATTAGTAAGAAATGTCCCAAAAATTCATCATATGAAATGGCTTGACATTTTAAATTAAATAACAACAAGGCTATACTTCAGTGCGTAGTATAGTAATTTTATGGTATTTAAAGCTATATAGAAGTATGTTCTTTAAAACTACAAAGTATACAAGTATAATAAACCCTGTGTTATCTGTTATTATATTAGAAATGTTTATGGCATATTTCTAATATACCTGAAATATCCTCAAAATGTACGAATATACCTTTAAAGATATTTCAAAGTATTTAAAGCAAGTAAATGTCTGGAATAGAAATTAAAGCCACAATAAAATAAGTAATTATTTTCAAAATAAAGAATATACATTTAAGTAAACCCGGGGCTGGCTAGAAATTATAAATAATAACAAAATATTTTCTATATGAACATAAATATTTTGGGTTCATTCTTACCAGGCCTATTAAATGAAAAAGTAGCAGTTAAAATTGCAACAGGAAAGGTATACACAGGAATACTAGAAGGATTTGATTCTAGAATGAACATACTTATTTCCAAATGCATGATAAACAATTGTTCCAACAGAGTACTAATTAGATGTAGTAGCATAGTTAGTGTATCAAATGAGAGTGTTCATTGAATTTTAGAATATGTTTCAAATCATGCTTCTTGGATTGTAATACAAAAAAAGTGCAATTCGCTGTTATATTTACAGATGCATGATGTAAATAATATAAGAAATGTAAATTTCGAGTTAGAATATTTCGGGTTAGAATTTTCTGGTCAAATAGAGCTATATCTATATAGAATGCACAGAGAATAGCTGCTGTATTTTAGAAATAGGCAAAAATTTGGGTTATTTACCATTTGTATTATTTAATATACTTCAATGTGTTTTAAAAGTTTTATGGATAGATTTGTTCGGAGAGACTTATTGGGGTATGGAACATATTCAATGGTCTATGAGGGGTATGACAAAATTAACAAAACTAAAGTTGCCTTGAAAATTATTAAACTGTCTGAGGAGGAGGGAATGCCAAACACAGCATTAAGAGAAATATCGATAATGAAAGGGCTGTCGCACAAAAACATTCTATCTATCCAAGACATATTACACAGTGAATTAGAGCTAGTGATTGTGCTGTCATATATAGACACTGACTTGAAAAAACTGCTTCTCTCAGGAGTGCCCTTTAGTCATAAAGGGCTAATTAAGCAGTTGATAGAAGGGGTTGCGTACTTACACAGCCAGCAGATTGTTCATCGAGATCTAAAGCCGCAGAACATTCTTGTAGATAAAAATGAATGTATGAAAATAGCAGACTTTGGTCTGGCGCGCAGCCTGGAAATTAAAATGCCATCGTACTCATCAGAGGTGGTGACTCTATGGTACAGGTCGCCTGAATTATTAAAGGGGGTTAAGGTATATGGGTATTCGATTGACATTTGGAGTGTGGGCTGTATAATAAGTGAAATACTAACAGGCAATGCATTATTCTCGGGCACAGACAAACAAGACCAGCTAGTCAAAATATCTCGGTACATTGACTTACAGGGCAGCAACCAGATGGAGTATTTGCTAAAAATACATGCAAAACATGATCCAATATATTCTGGGCTGATATTTGAATGCTTAAAAGAGATGCCAGAGAAGAGAATTACCGCACAAGAAGCATTGAATTATCTCAATCAAATTGAATAGCCAGACAAAAATAACACATAAACATTATGATAGGAGTAAATAGTAAGTAAATTCTGCAAGGACGGATAAATCTATTTAGAATAAATTTAATTCGCCTCTGCATTTGGCATTTCAAGTTGTATTTCGGGCAGTTTGTGTTTATAAAAATTCAGGCGATATTCTTAGTATAAGATGTATATATAGGCCTTTCTATATAACAGCACTATTAATATACTGGAAAGAGAGAGTGAACAGCGATCTCTGTGTATTTATATGCAATTAATATATGAAGCATATTTTGTTAAGATGGGCTTCCGTTACGTGGTATTTCGGGATTAAAAACTTTTTCAGATGTTTTCCATTTTTCATGAAGACCAAGTACGAATGGGGCCGAATGGTAATTAAGGACAAAAGAATGAACAAGCCACAAAAAGAGAACAAATCATTGAAAAGTGTTTTGGAAACCACAGAGGTTGACTCCCTGGTTGAAGCCGCAGAAATAATTGAGTACGACTTTTCGCAGAACACGTCAATAAAAGCGCTTACAATGGTGGAGGGAAAAGAGGGAATCAAAATACCCCAGAAACCAAGAGAGACGGTTGACAGAGAAGATTACAAGAATGAAGAAAGAAAGGCGTTTAACCAATGGAAGCTAAATATGAATGCACTTTTAAACAACAAAGGATCAATTACGCCGTATGAAAGAAACATTAATGTATGGCGGCAGCTTTGGTTTACAGTAGAACAGAATGATTTGATTGTACAAATTGTTGATGCAAGGAATCCTTTGCTATTTTACACCGAGGATATAGTTAAGATTGCGCCAACTAAAAAACATTATCTTCTTCTAAACAAATCTGATCTGCTAACAGACAAGCAGAAGAGCATGTGGAGCGAGTATTTTACAGAGAAGCGCATAGAGCACTTTTTCTACTCGGCGGTGGAGGACCGGTCAGATGAGCTTCTTCGTGTGTGGGATTCTCTATTAAAAGACGGTGTGAAGAAGATAGGAATGATTGGGTATCCGAACGTCGGTAAAAGTTCTACAATCAACTCTCTGTTTAAAAAACAGGTGGTAAAAACCAGCATTGTTCCCGGAAAGACAAAGAACGTGCAGACACTGCAGTTGGACTCAATGGTTATATGTGACTGCCCAGGATTGGTCTTCCCCACGTTTGTAGCGGAAAAGCAAGACCTGCTTCTTAATGGAATTCTTTCGCTTGACCACACCAGGGACATAAAAGACTGTATTAAAGCTAATAGTTGAAAGAATAGGAATAAGAAAGCTCTGCTATCTTACAAAGATAATTGAGTTTGTAAATGACTCCAGACGAACAATTGAAGAAAATTACTTATATTATCTTAAGAAAGCAACAGGGTGTGCAGAAGAAGGAAAGCTTATTAAGATGGTAATAAAGGAATACATCAAGGGAACAATTAAATATGTTCATCCAGTGCCAGGAAACGATCCATTTTCATTTAATGAGCACAACCACACTGTACCAGACAACTACATTATAGATTCAGAAGTCAACTACGATTGGTATAAAAATGAGAAAAAGGAACAGAAAAAAGAAGAAGAGAGCAAAAAAACAAAAGAAGAGCTCTTATACACAAAAAAGCACTACTTAAAGAAAGGACTGGAAAGAGTATTTAAAACAAAGAGATAGCCACTTAGATAACCCAAATAAATTATTATAAAACCAATTCAATCCCACTCAAATTCTTAAATATTCCCATAATAATAGTATCCAACAAATACAACATCTCTATATAATTATTAATACATCTGCATACTTAGCACTAGTTTACACTTTTATATTTCAGGCTCTCTTATCCTGTAAATAACATAAACATTGCTAATAACATTCTCTATTTATGGTAAATTACTTAATATATGCATTCTACTAAAAATAGTCAGAGAATTCAGATATTCTTTAGTTTTAATGCACATTCTAATAATATTCTTATAACAACCGCACTAATATATAATAATAGTAAATATGCTAATACTTTAGTCTAAAAATAAATTAAAATATTTCTTCTTTTACATCTAATATATTCTCTGCGCTTTCTTGTGTATTAAGACCAATTTCCCTTTCAGGTTATACTTAGAGATATTCAATAATTCAAAGCCCTGCTCATTTATTAAAAAATTTTAAATTTCCTTTATCTATTTATAGCTTTAATTTAATAAAACAAAACTGCAAACAAAAGTATAAATAGTGACAGATTTATTCTTTATAATGTCGTGATTCCCAATCCAGAAAGACTCTCTCAAAAATATTTATCAAAAGTTGTGGCGGATCGCCTTAGGAGAAGATAAAAGGAGTGAAATATGAAACAAATAATATTCTATTTTAATATCTGATTGGAGAGCACAAACTCTTAGGATTAATTATTACTTAGGCACCATACAACTCTAATTAAGAACTATACAGCTGCACGTGATTACATCTATTTACTACGGCGGATGCTCAAATGCTTAGTAAGTGAGGTGCTGTGCTTTTTAAAGATAGAGCTGTGGAGAATAGGCTTTTCTAGGTATTTTTTAACCTCGCATATACAACTGGACAGATCTCCTAAATCATGGGGTGTGAACCGATGAAATTCATTAAAATCATCACTATTGCCGTATAAAACATCTCTTGCTATGTACGCTGCAGATGACCCTATAATAGAGGGGGTATACACTAAAAATGCCTCTTCTGGCAGCGTAGAGTCTAGAATGACCGTTGCAAGCTTTTCAACCTCTTCATCCTGTGAACACTGCCTCAGCCAGTTAAGCGGCGACGGATAGCTTATCTTGTAGTCCAAGCAGTGCAGCATGTACTTTTCTGCCCGGAGTATTTCATTTTCTGTAAAGCTTCTGTCGGTAAGCACCACAAACGTCTCAACCGAGGGAGAAGCAACTTCTTCAAATTTGGAGGATATCAACAGGCCTGCCACTCCTACCAGCTGCAGCTTTCCTATACTCACAACTCGCCGTGTTAAGAATCTATCAATTAAATTAACTGACAGGTACAGCGTCTCTGGGAGTAAGTTAAGCTTGTAGTGTACGTCTATAATCCAGTCTATAAGAACTGTTCTCATTGCCCATTTAATTTCCTCCTGTGATGACATGTAATCTGGCGAAGGCATGTATTTGCTCTCTTCTTTTGTATAATGCAAAAGAATATCCTTTGTGTAGGGTTTTATAGATTTTGGGTCTTCTTTCTCTTGTTCTGGTTCAAAAAAGCCTCTGACGATTCTATCCGGGTTGTTTTGGATTTCTGCCAGCGCTTTCCTTTTCATCTTCTTAGTTTCCATTCTTTCTAAGCTACTTTTGACTTTCATAGGAGAATGAATGGCAAATAAAAGAAAATCAATTTTGTTTAAAAGAAATAGAAATGAGCATTCAAAAGTATCTAAGTGTGCTTAGAGAAAAGGGAAACTGCGACGAAGTGCGCAGTACTCTATTAGAGCTAGGTGGTTTGGCCACATGCCAGCTAACTAACAAAGAGATTGTCAAAGAGCTTTTAGAGCTGAGTGAGTCAAGCGACTTACTAATTTCTTTGAAAGCTCTCCAGCTGCTCACCAGAGCATACCGCTACATGAACCAGGGAAGTGAAGAATACTATAAAATAGTTGCAGACACGATTAAAGAAGAGCCAGACAGCAAAAAAACAGAGCAGATTCTAATATTTCTGCAGCGCCTGTGCACTCTAGACTATCAATCTAAAAGAATCTCAATGAGTTTATTTGAAGAAGACCCTATAAAGGAAGAAATAGCAAAGAACAATGAGCTAATCACTGCAATATTGAATGTATGTACAAAAAGAACGTGCAAGTACCAGGGGCTTATGCTGCTCTGGATGCTTACTTTTTCTAAAAAGGCATTAGATGCACTCAGTCTGTCTCCCATGTTCTACATGCTCTCCTTTATATCAAAAGACAGCAAAGAGAAAGAGCAGCGTGTCTCATTGGGGATTATAAAGAATTATTTGAAGTACACAGAAAAATACAACTATGGGACATTCCAGAAAATCGAAGCACTTCTTTCTGTGATTTCTAATAAGGGAAACAAAGATGATCCAGAAGAGCAAAATGACTTAAAGTATTGCCGAGAGCGGTATTTCAAGCTGTCCCAAAACATTTCTACATTTGACTCGTACTTGGAGGAGCTGCAGAGTGGTGAGCTGCAGCCATATCCGTACCACTTTAGCATAGAGTTCTGGAAAACAAACCTGGATACTCTTATTCTTAAGCGGGCTGATATAATCAAGTCTTTAAAACGCTTTCTAAAGTCAGAGAACCAGAATAATATTTGGATAGCAGCAAATGACATATATAGAATAATTGAAGTGTACCCAGAGTCAGTTGGAATAATACGACAGATGGATATTCATCTAGTGCTTTTTGAAATACTTTCCTCAAAGACCAGTGAGGATGTTCGATTCCACGCTATGGAGGCTTTAAGCGTGTGCTACAGTAAAGAGTGATGATTGGTCAAAGAGAATTTATAGGAGAGAATAACTTAAGGAGGATGGAAAAAGAAATTGCTATAGAGAAGATTGCAAGAAAAGTTGATTTTGATTGTAGTATATGTATGTGTGAGGTAGAAATACCTGTTGTAACCAGATGTGGCCATCTATTTTGCTGGGGATGTATTAGTGGATGGGGAGAGAAATCAAGCATTTGTCCTGTTTGCAAAACCCTTTGCAGTCTCTCCACTGTAATACCAATATACTCTAAGGGAAAACAGCACAGCGAAGGCTTCTTTCCAAAGCCAGCAGAAGTAAAAAAAACATGCAAGAAGAACTCCGTATACGCTAATTTTGGATACTCGGAAGAGCTGAGGATCTTTCACATGCAAGGAATGGAATATAGAAGAAATATTTATGGTAAACAGTGCCTGCTTACAAAAATTCTTTATATGATTTTCCTTTTGTTTTTTATTATGGTATTTTTTCTTTTGGAATAAAGGCGTTCTATTTCGCAAAACATCTAACAGGGGTTTGGTTTATTTTTACAATAGGCATTTAGAACAAAAACCGGCTGGTTTTAATAAAATACAAGAAAGATACTCTTATCACGCATTACACACCTAAAAATGAGACGCGCTCGGCATTTCTGGGATCTGAATGCAATTTGCCATGGTTATTTTAAATAAAACAATAAATGGATGAGTTCTTAGCATAGTATTTATTGAAATATAATGCATTTCGGGTCATGCTTCAGATTATTAACAGAGAAATTCTCTGCTATATAAATGAAATAGATGAATATAGAGAACAATCTAATAATTAGAAATAACTTAAATGTACTTTTTATTTCCTGCTAGGAATACATACCTGTTTCCGTAAGCAAAGCTATAAATTTATATTTATTTTTATCCCCTTGCAATTAGAGTCACTTTTGCTTTATAGACAAATGTGCTATAAATTGCAACATACACCAGAAGGTACTAAAACCGCTTGTTAATTATTTAATAGGTCCAACGTTCTTCTAACAATTTTTGTTTAATTGCTTGATTACAAACAGTTTCTTAAATTATTTAAGTGTCTTATAATAATATTTCTCTTTCTTGTAATTTTTTATGCAGCCAGTTGAGTGGATAGAGGAGAGCAAAGGAAAATCTGTTAGAGTTGTTTTAAGGACGGGAAAAGTGTATACGGGAAAGTTTATAAGCTATGATTCCAATGTAAATATTCTTTTTGAAGATTTACTGTGCTGGCACACCAAGGAAAAGATGGGAACAACAATACTTAATGGCACCACAGTAGCATATATGGAAAGAGTAGCAAATTAGATTTAGATATTTCATTTTATTTATTCTACGTTTTTAAGAATTGATAGATGAAGTAATTTCATTTGAATAGAAATTCATCTGCCATGGGTGCTCGTCTGCTTTCTTTGGTGCGTATTTCATAGACAAAGAAACTGGCGCATTGTTACTTGGCATGCTTGTTGAAGATTCATTGCATTCAGAAGAAATAGATTCATCTAATACAATTATATTGTTTAGTGTTACTTCTTTAAGAGAGCAGTGTCTTTCATTACTTACCAGAGAATCAATATAAAGTTTGCTTAGTGTGCTAGTGTATTTGAAATATATAGAGATTTTTTCTGGGTGGTAAGCCTGTGTCTGAAATACGATAGTTTCTAATACATTCTGTATTTTCTCTTGGCACATATCTGTATTAAATGTAACAAGAAGATGCTCTATTTGCGTGTCCTTTATAAATGGCAAGCTTTTGTGCATGCTCTGGCCTATGCATTGCATCTGGCTCGTATCTGTGCCTGCGGTTGGTAGACTTGCCACGCGTATTTGAAGAACATTATGAGACCTAGCCCTGCAGAATAATCTAGAGAGATTGTTTATAATAGGAATGTATTCAATAGAACAGTTGTCTTCTGGATGATTTATAAGTAAATGAAAGTTGCTTTCAGACGTTTCTAAGAGTGTGTTATAGAAAAGACTATAATAAATACCTTTGTCTATTTTAAACTGCCATAACTGATTAAATCTTAGAATTTCTGGATTCTCCGATAGATTTATCCCGGCAGTGCATACTTTAGTCTGTGTAACTGAAAGAATTTCTAGATTTGTAAATCGCTGTAATATTAATCTGTCTGAATACCTTATTTTTTCATTTGCTATGTCTATTTTACGAATGCTTTCTGTGTTGGTAGATCTAAATAGCTCAACCAATTCAACATTCGATCTATTTAGACTAATACTTCTAACAGATGCAAAAAAAACACTTTGAAATAAGCCTTCCATAAGCCCTTTTCTTACATTCTGTACTACAATTGATCGTATTGTATCGTTTATGGACAGTTGTACAATATCTCCTCTATCCCAAATAGACGACTCTCCTGATATCTTTAATGATTCTATATTAGGCAATCTGCTAATTTCATATATTAGAACAGGGGATATCCTTGAGTTGTGCAGAGAAATGCTTTTTAATGTTTTTATCTCATCTATCCAAGCATGTTCTAAGTCAATCTCCATCTCTTCTATTCTTAATTCTTCTATTTTAAGCTGTTTAAGTGCCTGTAGTATTTGAATAAAGCGTTTCTTGGGAATGCTATTACAGCTTTTTACAGTGGCAATAACCCAACTGTTTCTTTCAGAAACCATCTGCATTTCTTTAAAAGCGTTATTTATATTTATATCTAACTTTATATTTCTTTCTAGATCGTTGAGTACAATTGTGCATTTTACCCGATTATAGTGTTTTATGTGCATGTGCCACACCCAAAATATGGTGCATATGACTATAACTGTGCATATAAATACCGCGATACTTTCTGTCATTTTCCCCTTGACAAGGAGGCCGCCTAATGTTTATTATTCCGTAATTTATCTCCTGTTTTCCGTTTAATCGCGAATGAATTCGAGTTGTATCACACTTTTTACGGAGGCCATTATAACTGAAATGAATGTTTTCTAACTTATATCACTCTCCATTCATTACTACTTAATGCCTTTCTAATACTATATTCAGAAGAAATCCCTCTATAGAGATATATATATTCCTACATATTTACATGTATATAGTTGAACTTAAATACACATAAAAGTTTATATACTCTGAATACTAACGCATCCTCAGTCTATATCAGTACTCACTCAATTGAAGAAGTGTTCCTGCCAAGTGGCAAATAAGTGTTATGTCTGTGAAATATATATAGAATACACACACATTATTTAGTACTCCTATAATAATTCTATTTGGATCCAGCTTGCACAGTTTAGATATAATCACAAATCCATCTGCCGGCATAATAAATGCATATGGCTTGGCCTTTTTCTTGATATAATTGGCTGTTTTTTGTACTGCATGTACTTTTATAGGCCCATTAACCTTTATCTCTAGGCCTGCTGAGTTAAATGTGATTTGTATTGAATGACAGTCCTTTGTGGCTATTTCTTTCATTAGCTTACCATCCAAGTCCACAATTATGCCTGCATTAAGACCTGGCGGCACTATTTCCTCCACAGCCTTTGCTATACACTCCAACTGTAGAGTATATCCCTCCTGTTTTATGCTCATTGTTGCCATGTCATTCTCTGTAAAGTGTATGTCTGAAAACACCCTGCACTCTTTTAATAGGCGAAAAAACTCATTTGTTCTTACTTCTACTGTATGCTTTAGTTTGCTAGACATCCCAGACTTACTAACTGATAAATGCATGTCTACAATGCTAGTACCAAATACTCTTAATTCACTTTCTTTTCCTGTTAAAATTAGACTATTTGGCTTTATAACCTGTATTATACTGCACATAAGACTTATAGCACTCATTTTACAAAAAATAATTCACCGATATCTTTATATTTATTTCAAATATTTCGAATATCCCCTTTACTTATAATGCGTTTAATTATACCATTATTTTATTATCTAGCACCAGAAATAATATTTTACTTCTTCTGTCTATAGAAGCAGATTGTGGCTATTTCTGGTTATATCTTATTACAATCCATTTATTATTCATTGCATGGCATATACTAAATAACTGTTTGTACACCTAATGCATTTCTTAACTTAAATATTAACTGTGTAATTTATTCTAACAAATAGTTTTTGTAAATATTCACTCACTATGCTCTAATTTCTTATTGCTTTATTTTTTAATATCCATTTCTTTGCCTTTCTTATTATTCCTGTTGTCCTTATAATCTCACACCGTATTATTAAATCATTTACTTCAATCATTTGCCTAAATATTTTTTGAATAGACTCTACCCCACTTAAAAATACTTTGATTATGCCTATACCCAAATGGGGATAATACTCAGCAATTTTTAGTTTTGGCATAGTCATTGCATATTCCCAGTCACTCAGAATTGAATTGGCTGAATTGTGTATTCCCTTGTGAATAATCGCTGGTGTAATTGCAGTATTGTAATGTGTGGTAAACACAATATATCTAAATTTCTCTCGCACCATATAAATTACCACTAAATCCCCAGTAAATAGAATTATAAAATATTTTAAAATCCTCGTACCATCCCAAATTTACCACTTAAATATAATCCAAGTTCATATGAATTATAGTAGTATCTCCAGAGTAGTAAGTATGTGATAGTATACGTATTGACATTAACCTAAAATATAACAGACTAGTGTACAAATTATTTTTATATATCTTTATTACTAATACAAACAAGCATACAATTACTAGATTTAAATACTTAAAGTCTAGATTTAAATCTATTATACAAACAGTTAAAGATAATTTATTTATATATCTTATGGCGTAAAGTATATTTCTTTAACTTGATTGTTTTCTGTGATTTCTGTTTATATTTATAATAAGTCTTTTTTATTGTTTTTAGCATGGTGTTTGTTTAATTAATTTTACTATAATTGAATATTTTCAGTTTGGATCGGTCTATATAACAATAATCTATGTTTTAATGGTTTTGGTAATATAAATAATTGTGTGATTGGTTCTTATTGTTTTGGATAATTGTGGTTGTATTTAATATAACTAATTGAAATTAATTAAGCTAGCAAATCGATTAGTCTATTCCTGTATTAAGCCCCATACAATACATGGTCTAAGACCAATTGTGTTGCTTTGCATATTATTTTTTCTATTGTGTGTTATGTTTTTAGAATAATTTGTGCTAATTTAGGTTATAGTAAAAAACAAGCTTAAAATAAAAGCAAGGTAAATCTGTCTTTTATGAGAGTATCCAGAGTCAGCCAGGATAGATGCAGGATTTTCTATCAACTGGGTTTTGTGATTCTGAAACTCTCCATGTTTCTGGCGCTTTGTATTAGTAATCCACTCCATATAAATTCTTATGTAAAACTTGCAAATTATTCAATGGAAGAAGATAAACAAGCAGGGCATTACAAATGTACTGTTCCATTTGGACTAGAAGGAAGGCCTGTGTTTGGCGGTCAGATATTTTCGCATATTATAGGATGTGCTCTTAAAGAAACCGCCGGGTATGAAGTTATTTCAGGGGACTGTGTTTTTAAAAGCAAGACAGATCCAGTCCATCCAATTGTATATAAAAGTAGTGTTGAGCCACTTGGAAAAACGGTTATGGTTATTAACATAGATGTAATACAGGAAGTGGAAGGAAAAGAGGAAATGCGTGCTATAGGCCACGTACTACTTCAAAAGAAAAAGTCTGCAATAATCAGCGAAAAAAAGAAGTATATAAAAACAATTCACAAGAGCCAGAAGAATTCTCTTTCTGAGTACTTTAAGCCACGTCTTTCTGATAAAGAAAGGATTCAATCCATGCAGCCGGCAATTAAATATATGAAGAAAATTTTAAGGGATAAAGAAGACTTCAATAAATACGTTGAAGTAGCACATAAAAGATGTTCTGGTGTGGATGTTTACATATCCCAGCATAAGACTTGTAAATTTGCCAGATGTATTGGGTATCAGCTGCACATGGAAAAGGAAGAAGCCCTGCCTCTTTCAGAAGAAGCGCATTTAGACCAAGTGTACACCTATTTGTCTTTCATTTCAGACGAATACTTATTAGAAACTGCACTAACAAGCGTAGGGTTATGCATTATCAATACAAAATATAATATTCTTACCCTGTCACACTCTGTCAACTTTAATAACTGTGAAAAATTCAACCTAAAAGAGCCCTTCTTCTACACAATGTGGATAGACAGTATACAGAATAACATGGCAAGATGTTCTGGTATGATTATACAGAATAAAGTGGTCTACGCTAATATAAAGCAAATAGGAAAAATCATTCCTCTGTCTAAAAAGTAGAATTATCTAAGGCACAACATTCAATTGGTCGGACGTATGCTAATCAATAAAGACAAGTATATATCTACTATAATAATAAACATTATTATTATAAATTTTACTTAAAGTGTATACTTATCTTTATGTTTATGAAGACTTCAGTATTAAAATAAAATTTATAATAATAAATAAGAAGATTTGGAATGCATATATAAATTAATCATTAATGATTTTAGATGCAATAAGAAGACTATATACATACTAAATAATTTTATTTGCATGGGGTTAAAATTAATTGAAGAAAAGAGCAAGAAGTCATATAAGAAAGAAGTAGCTCATTTAGTAATGGAATATTATACATATATATACCAAAATACAGAAGTGCATGATATTTCTACATGTAATTTTAATGAGGCTTATAATATGTTTGAATGGAATGGGCCACAGGTCAAAGATAGTTATAAGTCAAATTTAGAGTATTTTACAGCATATTATCCAATGATTGTAGAAGAAACAGTTGCATCAATTATACAAGAAACCGACAAATTATTTATTAGCAGTCTAATAACTGAAAGGATTGATCTAATATTCAAACCAACAGAAAAAGTTCCAGAAAGAAAGCCAATAAATAACAAACATACTATTAATGTGGTAGTTTATGAAAAAAACCTGAATACAATGATAAAAGACAGTACTAATGAATTAAGCATGGGGGTTGGTGATATTGTTATGGTGACTAATTACAAATCAAAAAAACAAATAGAATACTGTTTTATTGGAATTATTATTAATGCATCTGAAAAAAATAATATGTATAGAATACTTGTAACAAATGACAAAGAAAAATATATAGGATCATATAAAAGTTATCAATTAGTCTGGGTATCTAATATTATATCAAGTAAACGGGAGTGTGTATCTACATATAAACTAGGCAGGTCTTCTATAGGAAAACTATTGATGACCCCAGAAAGCATAGTTAAACTAGAAAAGCCAGAGAAGAGCATAAAAACAGTTAAACCAGAGCACATGGACAGTTACTATGAAAAATTAAATGAAATACAAAAAAGTGCCATAGAGAAAAGTCTCAACCAAAAGATTACATTAATACAGGGCCCGCCTGGAACAGGAAAGACTCTAACTATTGCGTGCTTAATATCCCAGCTAATTCGGCAGGGATTAAAGGTTCTGGTATGTGCCCCGAGTAATATGGCAGTGTCTATGCTTGTGCAAAGCAATTCGCCCTGGGAGTGGTTATTTACGAAAAAACCCTGTTGGATGCATGTGTACAGCGAAAGGAATCCATATAACCAGAATAAACCAAAAACCCGAATAGACATCTGCAATAGAACACTTGGAAAGATCTCTGCATATTTAGATGGAACACCAATTGGTACAGAAGATGATAAAGTTCTTGAAAATATGAACAAGGTACGGCTTGTTTTCTCTACTCTTTCTATGTCGGGTTCAGCCACAGTAACAAATATGATGTTTGACGTGGTGATTATTGATGAGGCCTGCCAGTCTATAGAACCGAGTAGTATTATTCCTATGCAGAATTCACTCAGCCATGTAATTCTAGTGGGCGACCCTAAGCAGCTGCCTGCTACTGTTTTATCTGGCATATCAAAGCTCTCGATTTCCCTGTTTGAAAGGCTTTCTACTGTAATAAGCCCAATAATGCTAACTACACAGTATAGAATGCACAATAAGATATCACACTTCCCAAGCAAGGCATTTTATAATGGGCAGCTAATCAACGGGCTGTCTCTTAATTCTGTGCTTCCCATCGCATTTGTGGATGTTAATGGGATGGAAATAAAACAAAACAGAAGTATTTGTAACCAGACGGAGCTATGCACCATAAAAAAGTTGCTTCCACATGTAATGAATAAGTATAAATCGGCTGCAATTATTACACCGTATAAAGAGCAGCAAAAAATAATAAGCACTGACTCTACTATTGTGAAATCAGGCATAACAGTAACTACAGTGGATGGCTTTCAAGGGCAAGAAAAGGACTGCATTATTATTTCAACAGTAAGGACCAGCGCAATAGGTTTTCTTAGTGATTGCAGAAGAATGAATGTGGCACTAACCCGTGCGAAATATACTGTAATCGTAGTTGGTAGCATAAAACTTCTTAGCAAAAACGAATTTTGGAATGATTTTATTATCTATCTTTATAATATCTCTTGTGTGTATACATGTGAAAGGGTTATTCAACTTCTTGCAACAGAAATCACCGATGCATCTGATATACAGTGCAAAGAGAAAGATATAGATAGTTCAGTAGAGGATATAATTAAGAATTTCGAGACTGGTTATAATTTAAAAAAAATGTGCAGTAGTCGCATTTTTAAAATTAAAAGATAGTAGAATTTAGCATTTACTAAAGAACTCATAATTCTTTATATAGCCAAATTTGAATATTTCATGTATTTAATGCACTATACCAACATTGGCACATAATTTAGGCTATGCTATTATGATTGTACATAATCAAAATAGCTCATATGTAGTATACGCCTATTTGAGTTCCAACATACAAAAGAAGATAGTTATATGTATAATATTTAGGGTTATATGCTCTAAATATAAATAGCAGTACAGGCTATTTATGTTAAAATTAACAATTTCTATCTACTATTAGATTTCATTTATCAACAAAATATAATTTGAGGCATTAATATTGTCTATTGCCTATTTTATTCGAATTTTTAGGATACTTCCATATACAGATCCTAAGAACATTTTGTACATAATAAATTTAATCTTTACACCAACTCATGAAAATTAATTTATTTTTCTTTTGTACAATTACAGTAATACCCTTTATATAAAGAAATTTTACTAAATGTAAAATGTAATGCCTAAAATGAAATTCTTATATTCGAAGTGTTATTATAATAGATAAATGTGCGTACAAATAATTTAACAGAACAAGTTAAAATCAATAAATGCCCCACAGCACTCATGGCATAGACAGGGTAGCCCGAAATATTATATCAAGATAGAATATCTTCTAATACCAGCTTTCTTTATAAATAGCCACAGTTCTCATATTATTTATTCTAAAATAGAAGAATATAAGAATAAATAGTAAAGAAAAAAGAGCACCCAGCAAAACAATACTCCCTAGAGAGAAAATAGAACGAGACTGTGGTTCTGTATTGAATGTTGGCGAGTGATTATTTATATAATCTCCATTTTCATCACTCTTATAAGAATCATTTGATTCATTCATAAAATTTTCATACCGACTTTTATTATAAATAAAATATCTACCAATGAGCTTTTTTAAAGAAACTGGCCAATAAACATCTTGAATGAATTATCCTTGGAACACCCCTTCAATCTCTCGCAGCTCCTTCATTAGCTCCCCTATGTTCTTTACAGAAATATTCTGATATTGGTGGCACTCTGTTATGTTTAGCTGCTCTAAATCAAAGTTTATCTTCTCTAAATCGCAGCGCAATTTGTGAATATCTAATAGACAAGGGGGATCGCTCTTTACAGGCTGAGAGACACTCTGCTTGTGAACATATGGACAGTCTGCTTTCTTGCATCCACCATGTGTCTCCCAGTAGCACTCTACAGCAGGCTTTTCTTTTATCTGGTAGTCAGAATGCCTATACGGGCAAGCATCCAAACAGTCTGTTCCATTCTTCCAGTTGCTGCATACTATTTGGCAGTTTTTTGCCTCTTGGCTGTGCCTATATGTACATTGCGGCCCTCTTGCACAGGTAGAAGTTATAAAGTAGAAGCAGTCCTCTTTCATTCCTTCTGCTCTAATATTAACAAATTTTTACAATTATATAAACATCTGGGAATACAAAGCTTCTAAATCTGTTTGATCGGTGCTCTTTAAGAACGATTCATCCACTAGCCTTGACATGAAGAATTCTCTAAACCTCTCTGTTTCCTTAATCTTTCGAATCTTTTTAATCTTCTTCTGCTGGTAAAGAATCAGAATATTCTTTATGGCAACTTTTATAAGCACACCTTCTTTCTTTCCAATAATACTTAGACAGACTAGCGGCTTAAGCACATTTACTTCATTGCCGTATAAGTGGCCTATAAGCATCCCCAAATTATATATTTCCTTAATAGTTTTCTTAGAAAGAGAATTTGCCTGTTCATCAATCGTGTGGTATATGTAGTTCATAACTGCGCCTTTATGGCTGCTAGACGAGCTGTTGTATATAGATATAATTAGAGAGGGATAGTATACGTTGAACACGCTCTCTACAATGCACAGGCGAATTGATATTTTAACAATTTCTTCAATGTGCCATACTTTTCGAATTATTTGCTTATAAAGAGACCGCTGGGCTTCATAGTAATCTGTGCTGCTGGTGATGATGGAGAATATTTTTTTCTTTAAAGAGGTATTCATTCCGTATTTTACTGCTATGAGCTCATCTGCATCAGTGGCTGTAGTGATCACTTCTGTGTTGGTATATGTGTATTTACTTAGAATGTTTGAGATCGTCACTTTTACGCTGTTCATTTCTTCCTGTAGATAGTTTCTGTATGGACTGCGGCCATTTTGAATCTGCTTAACAGAATCTTTAATGAACTTAAGAAGAACGCACGGACGGCCTTCTTGCCGCTCCCACTCTTCCATTGCAGAGTCTGCGCCAGCTTCTATTAAAGAAAGAGTAGAGCTGTCTAATATCCCACTGCACATCTGCAGTATACGCAGAACAGATAAAATATCCCGTTTCTTTAGAAGATTCTGTACTTTTGAGTTTATAAATGCGTCATCGACCAGACCATAATTGAATATGTAGCAGCAAAGATTTAAATCATCTATCTTTGTGATAATTTCCTCAACAATTGACTTGTCCAGCGCTGAGTATATTAGCTTCAGAAGAGATGAAATTGCGAGTAAGTTGCTTTCCAGCTCTGTCTCTGAGAGTATTTTAATTATCATAGAAGATGTATCTTTGCTGTTCTTTTCGTATGCTTTTTCTATCTCCTTGAATACTGTTGAAAGTGTGCTAACTGATAGTTTGTTGTACGCTAAAACAATACTGTCCATTATTGAATTTTCTTCTTAGTATTTTTTTTTAATTATTTCTTCGTCCTCCTCTGGCTCTATCCTTCTTGCCTTTCTTATTTTTATAGAGGATTCTGATTTATACTCAATCTCATCAATGGCTGCCCGCCTCGTTAAAAACTGTACAAGTGGCACTGGGTTTGGCACAAAAGGAAAGAGCTCTTTGGCTCTTTTATATAACACTCTAAGATCCATAAAATATTAAAAAAAATAACGATTGCTGTTAAAGTAATAGTAGATACAGCAGTGTATAGAAACTGTGTCTGCCCACAAAGTGTTTGTTCGTTTATATTCTTTATTTAAGTCTGTATGTGCTTATTTCGTTAGTTTTTGTGCGAATTCTTTATAATCTTTTATTTTATACCGGATGCATATTGCTATAATAATCAGAATTCTGGGCCATTTCAGGCTGTTCGGTGCATAACAGTGATTCAAACAGCAAAATTAATAAGGGCGACTTTACATAAGGAATAGCTGCTCTAAAGCAATGTCTTAGTGAATTAAGGATTTCTTTCTCTTCCTCCACTGTAAGCTGCTCTCTATTTGCCAGCTCAATATACATAAAGGCAATAGAAAACACTTTACTGTAAAACTGTATGAGAAATGGGCTGGTTAAGAGAGATGCTTTCATTATGTTAGAAAGTGCGCTCTCCAGCGATCCGGTATAGTTCTGTATGTGTTCTTCGTTAATGACTGTCTGAAATTCAGTATCTATTTTCTCTGTTATAACCATCCTTACGCCAGTTACAAAGCTAAGAAGCACCTGCTTGATACGCCAGTTGCTATACTGAGAGCACAAAAAATACTCAATCGCATAAAGAGAATATATCAGCCTAAAAATAATTCGAAGCTCATAGACAGATTTAGCAGAAAAGAACATGGAGAGCGGCTCTTTTAAAGAGAATGTAATATCAAGTCCCTGCAACAAAGAAAGCCCAGCAACACTTTTACTGCATCGAGTGTCATAAATCCCTAAAAGAGTTTTTTCTAGAGAGACCTCATTGTAAACGAATGTAACTGGAGACGATCGCACGCCCTCAACACTCTCTAGAAGAAATGTGCAGTCGTCTAGAAAGGAAAGTGAGGGAGAGTCAACATGCTCTTCATATGAAGAGTACCCAGCACTGCCCTTTCTCATTAAGTAGTTTACCAGAGATATATCCTTTTTGCTAGGAACTTTCAGTATACGCTCGCCAATCTCCTGAAACAGCTCTGAGTACTTGCTTACATCCAGCCCAATTCTGCTAAAAAGCTCTGCCATGCTTTCCTGCCACATCTGCCTTACAGCAGGGCACTCAATTATTCTCATGAAATATGCATTTAAGCTCTGTTCATTAATTATGCTAGACCTTCTATCTAAGCACACAGAAAGAACTTCTGCGCCGTATTTTATTGCTGACTCTCCCATTACGTGCCGTATCTTTGATATCTTTCCCAACTCCACCAGCTTGTTAAAGCATCCTGCAAGATATGCAGGCACCGCCTCCTTTATTCTGTAATGGCTGCTCCAAAAGCTCTCTGCATAGTCATACGTGTGCCGCTCTTCAAAGTACCCAGAAGTATCTTCTCCCTGTATTAGTCTTACAAGTATGCGATTCATTGGTGCAATTAAAGAACTAATAATGCGAGTTGACTTTAACCTACTTTTAAGCACAACCCCCAAAAGAAATAAATCACCCTCGCTATCTGCGTCTCTGAGTACTTCTGTAAGACCAGTAAATGTCTCTATCTCTTCCTGGAATATAAAAGGAAGGGCCTCAATATGCACTGCTGTGTTTCTTACCTCCTGCCGCACGCGGTCTACCTTCTCTAAATAGTACTGTATCTCCTCTTCAATCGCCTTAAATAAATACTTTCTTATAGGCCCTGCCTCAAAATACACATTTTCTATGTGATATCTGCATTTTTTTATTCCGGCAATAATCACAAGTAGCTCTCTCACTATCTGTATACTGTTTTTAGGGACAGAAGAATTAACAAAAGTGCCCATTTCCTGGCCCGATGACTGCCTAACACGAACAGCTTTGCAATCAACCCCTGCCATGGCAAATAACAAATCAGCCAGCAATGGTTCCTTTCCCTTTCGCATAGAATCCATTTGGATGCATAAAAATGAAAAAAGAATTAATATTATAATGTTTATATTCATAAAATATATTTATATTTTATTTTCAGTCTTTTTGTTTATAATGAAGATAGAAACAACAAGTCTAGTGTCATTCAGCCCGGTGGGATCGTTAGTAGCACTGGGGACAAAAGCAAAGATATTGAATAGTGATTTTTCGTCTGACTCGCTGCTTCAGATAAAGAACACTGAGACAGATGAGACGATCTTTACCAAGGTAGTTCCTTCTAGGTTTAACAGGCTAGAGTGGGGGATGTATGGAGATAAAGTATTTGTAGCTGGAGGATTAGACGCAGGGAATGTTACTTTATTAGATGCAACAGGATTATTAAGCGATGACAGGGAAGATCCTAAGGAGTTGGTATTTAAAAACCATGTGAAGACGGACGATGATATTCTAGGAATTGACTTTGCAGGTGCTATGCCCGTGCTGACCACTGGTTCATATTCAGGAAAAATTATGTTATGGAACTTAAGGACTCTTGATAAGCCAATGGCTCCCGGAATAACCACAAAGTTTGAGGGGATTAGCTGTCTGCAGTGGAACAAGAACATGCCACAAATACTTGCAGTGGGTACCACAGATGGGATGGTAAGCATTTTAGATCTGCGTGGGAAGAGTGAAGTGACAAGAATTGGAGATGCATACTTCTCCAAGTCTGAAATAACTTCTTTGCAGTGGGACCCAAGCCCAAACAGTGCCCAGCTGGCGGTCTCTTCTTCAGCACAGAATTCAGTTATTCTGTATGACTTAAGAATATCAAGAGGAACTCCTCGACTAGAGGGGCATACCGAGGGAATTCTTAACTGTAAGTGGTCCAGGCAGGACCCATCTCTTATTGTAACATGTGGAAGAGACAACTCTGTGATTGCCTGGGATGCAAATACTTATAAGAAGCGAGGAGTGGTTGTGGAGGATTCAGTGTTCGACTTTGCATTTAGCCCAGAGAATCCAGATATGATTGCATACTCATCATACAATGGATATGTGGTTATGGATACACTCACCTCATTGAATGCGCGCTCACCATTTTTGGATAAAGTGCCAGAGTGGCAGAAGCAGGGGGCAGGCCTGTGCTTTACTTCACAGGGTCTATTTGTCTCTGAAGAAAAGGGACTTCGGCTTAGGAAATGGATTGACAGTGTTGACAAGAGCTCATACGAATGGAAAGTGCTGGATGCCTATGAAAGGGAGCACCCTCGTAGGGAAATAATGAAGATTCTTAATGCAAGCGGTGAGAAAAGCCCCATTCTAGAACAGGCAGAGGATGAAGCAGAAGAGTCTAGTAAACCCTCACAAGAAAGCAGTATAGAAATGGATGAGGAAGATCCTATTACAGAAAAGCTTATACAGGGAAATTTCTCGGCTGCGTTTTCTTTGGCACTCTCAGAGAATGCCCACTTAGCAGCACTCATTGCTCTATGCGATGGAACAAATGTGCTTAAAAGAGAAAAAGAAAGAATTCTTAAGGCCCCAGGTGCATCATCCAGCTTTTTGCTAGTTCTTTCCATTCTATCGGGCGATTACAGTGGACTGATTAAGAACAATGTAGACTGGACAGTAATTATAAAGATTTTAGGAAGCCACTGCACAGATGAGGAGTTTATTCCTAAAGTACGGGCAGTTGCCGAGTGCCTTGAGAAGACCGATCTAGACTCTGCTAAAATCTGCTACCTTATTGCCAAGGATGTGCAGAAGTATCAGGAGATTGAGGAGAAGAAGGCAGAAAAGCCCAAAAGCATTATTCAGTCTGTTGAGTTCTTTAAGAAGTTTGATAAAGTTTTCACAATTGTTGAAAGAGGTGCACAGCTAATGAAGCAAAAAATATCTGTAGATCGGGTTACAATTGATTACTTAAAGCATTTAATGCAAAAGGGAGAGAAACAGAGAGTTCTGTCATTTATCAACTATCTCAGTCCAAAGTCAGCAGATGAGGTACAGGGGGAGCTAAATCTTCCTGCCACGGCTTCGCAGAGATCTATGCAACAGGGAACAGGAAATATGTACCCACCGCATCAACAGATGAACAATATGAACATACACCAAAGAACCCCACAGCAATATGGCGGCCCAGTCCATGGAAGGCCAAGCCCGATGCCTCATCAGATGAATATCCCACAGAAGCCTAATGCAACACCATCTTCATTTTCATTGAGCAGCCGAGAGGTTTTGCAGCCAGGGAATGCAAATCCATACAATGGAAATGGCATGAATTCTATGCCACTTCCGCCACAGATGGCCAAGCAGCCCCCCGCGCACGCAGATATGGCTCCTAATAGCTACTTTGCACCACCACCACAGATGGCAAATACTCCCATGGGCATGTCGCAGGGATTAAATAGAATGCCACAGCCTCAAAATACAGTTTCTGCTGTTGCCACTCCAAACATTGGAGGCAGGGCTGGGCCAAAGATCTCTTATGCAAAGCCACAGATGCCAGAGGTGCCGCTGAACAAGGTTGCACAGCCTGCTAATCAAGCTGCGTTTTCGGGATATAATCAAGGTGGAATGCCGGTAAGTGGTTCAAGCTATCCGCCAATGCCAAATACGCCATCTAGCGGTGCAATGCCTCCGCGCATGCCATATATGCCAGGGCAGCCTAGACCAATGAGTGGGGTTGCATCAAATACAGCCACTCCGGGGATGCCTCCGCGCATGGGAGTGGCAGGGAGAGGCGCCTAATGAAACACCCCGCATGCCGGTTATACCAAACGGAATGCCGCCAGTGCGCCCAACAGCCATGCCTATGCAGAATGTAAATGATGTGGGCCACAGGGCACCAGGAATGCCGCAAGCGCACCCAGCACATTCTCCTTTTAGGCCTGTGCCGGAACAGAAGGTGGCTTCACATGGCGCTGGTATGCCTCGAATGCCATTTACACCCAACAGCACAGCAAGTACTCCAAACACAGGCATGGGAGCTCCACTAAAGACACCAATGATGCCTGGAAATAGCCAGATGGGCACTCCTTTCCCAGATCCAATGCAAAATGCTTACCAGCAGAATAGAATGGGGAGCAATCAATCATTCCCTGGCGGAATGCATGCTTCACATGGATACCAGCAGAAGCAGCAAGAAATAGTAATCACCCCACAGATGGAAAAGACTTATCAAGACATTTCTAAGCTGGTTAATTCGCTGCTTGGCATGATTCATAATAAAAAGGGTGCGCTCAAAGGATGGCTTCTAAAGTCAATTGAGCCAAAGATTGTGGTTTTAAACAAGCATCTGTCTGAGAAAAAATGGTCAGCTGACTTCCTCTCAAAAATGGACAGGTTCCTAAATAAAATATCCGAACTAGGTGTAGGCACTGAATCCTCTGCACCGGTGACAGCAGAACAGCTGGACATGATCCGCAAGGAAGGGGATGCCATTTGTGCTAGCCGGCCATATGGAACAGAGATTGAAATATGGATGCCTGCCATTTACAGTCTCTTAAAGGTGGCTCTGCATTAAAATAAATCCTCTATGATTTCTTATTTATTTGGTTTATCTATAGAAACAGAAAAGTTCTTCTATTCCATGCCCATTTCATTAGTAGGCACTGCAGATAGAACAACACGCTCGTGTTGTATGACTAGTTTGGAATATTTAGGATGTACAATCGCTCCATTGCACCGAAATAAAGAGCGCGGCCACACTCAATAAACCCTCCAATATAGCCCAGCCCTGTGCTGGGTGGGAAAGTCGTTATCATTTTTTTCTCCTTTGCATTATACATTCGAATTCCGTTGGCTTTGTTTTTGTCTCCAAAGACAAGAATGTCCATTTCCTGCATATATCCCAGTGCTGTCACATTTTCTAAGTTTGCAAGTTCGGTTTCTATGCTAAAAGTACCCTTTTGGAAGATAGTAACCCCACCCTTGCCGCCAACTGCCACTGATTCGTTAAAAATGCACAGAACTTGCGGATTCACTAACACTTCTGACTCAAGAATTGTGGCTTTCATTTTTCGACAATACTTTACCAGCCTGCTCTCCAAAAGCACCAAGAAGTAGTCTCCAGCCTCTATAACATCTTCTATTTTCTCGGACATTTCTATTCTCTCCATGAGAAGTGCATTGTAGTTGTAAATAAGAAGAGACTTCTCGGATATCAACACAAATCCATTTTGTATTTTTTTAATTCTGCTATATCCTTTGTCCTTGTACTGGTATAGATTCACCTCCTTTATTACACCAGTTTCTGGTGTTACAGTGCTGAATGAGTGAAAGGCCTTTGTAAGCGCAACAATCATGCCACTTGGCGCTACTATGAAGTCTTTGAAGTTCTTTTCCTTAGAACCCTTCTTAATTTCAATCTTGCATAGATGCCCAGATATTCTGTTGTTCTCATCGGTGCTGCACATGTACAGCTGGCCTGCTTTGTCTAGTAGATATATATTTCCATCCATTACTTCTACCTTTACTATTCCCTTTCTAATGGTTAGTATGTGACTGGTCGTGTATTTTAGTAGATTTTTGCATAGAGCATTTGTTTTTCGGACTTTCCCCGGCCGTTTTTCTATTTTTTCAACTGTCCAATGAGTGCTGCTCCCCTCATCATCGGAGTCCTCCCACATATCTTTCTCCTCCTCAGACGATTCTTCATACTTTGTTTTTAGTCCAAAGAATTCTTCAGAGTCGACGTCTGTTTCCTCTGAATGGTGCTCTTCTTTCTCTTGGGTCTCTATCACATCCTTGTCTTCTACCAGTCTGAACTTCATTTGGAATTGTAAATTTTTCACATGAATATGCTATTTAGCCAGTAACTTTTCTCACAGAGGAAGTCTAGACCAACTTAGAAAATCATTGGTCAATAACACGGAGAAAGCAATCCTCAAGTATTAAAATAAACTAACACGGAGAGCGCATGATGGAGAAACAAGAAATGATAATTAGTAATGATGTAGATGAATCTATCAAGCTTTTACAGCCCGAAGAAACAATTGAATACGAGCTCGCAGAGGTTAAAGATGCAAGTGAGGCGCACTTTGAGCAGCCGACTGAAGTATCTATTAGCTCTTTGGCTAATATCAAATATATAGAGGAAGGAAGATTTGAGACACACTACATAGAAGAGCAGAGCATAGAACAGACCGCGAATGAAGAGGATGAGTGTTATACGATCCAGGAAGAAGAGGCGGAATACATGAGTGAAAACTTAATAAACATAGAAAGCCAAGAAGAGGTCTCTAATGCTGTAGAAGATAAAAAAGAAACAACAAGGCAAGAATCTTCTATACTGGAAAATCTTTCTTATGGAAAAAGCGCCATGCAAATTACTGAAGAGTACATGAGCACACTTTCACTAGTCCAACAGAATATTATTAAAATGGAGATGGAAATATCTCGGCAGACCCAAGCAGCAAAGGAGCAGTGGGTCCCAAAGAGAGAAGTACTTAAGGAAGACTTTGTGTATGTTCCCATAAAAGGAGGACACTGGGTACGATCAGTACCTAAGGCACCAGAAAAGAAGGAAGGATTCTTCACTAAACTATTCGCATGCTTAAATCCATTCTCAAAGAACATTTAAGAACATAAGCCATAAAATAAATCACTATCCATATTCTGGAAAGTAAAAAACAAATTTGCTTGATTATTCAGCATCGTTTCTATTTTTATTTATTTATAGATTGTATATAAATTGTTTAGCAGCATCAATTATAAAGGAGTGTTATCAGATGCAGTTTCTGGAGCAACCTCTTGTTGCTTTGCATACTCTGTTTCTGATGCAGACTCTTGAACTTTTTCTGGCACTGCATCCTCTTGAGAGGGCTCTTGGACTTTTTCAGATTCTGCTTCTTGTGCAGCATTCTCCTGAACTTTTTCTGTAACCACCTCCGATTGGGCCTCTGGATTCTCTTTTCTCACAAAGTGGAAGAGGCACTCAATCCCTGCTGTGTATGGGAACATATCAAAACAGTATACGTTTTTAAGAGTGTATAGCTTTGCTATATTCTTAATGTTATTTATAACTGATGTGTATGAGCAGCTAATATAAAATATTTCAGAAATATTTGAGTACTTTGTAATGGCCTTAGTCATTTTATCCGAGATTCCTGATCGCGGAGGGTCTATTACTGCGGTTGCCGTCCTTTAATTTTTGCCAGCACTAAAGGAAGAGTTTTCTCCACCGATCCACAATAATATTTTGCATTAATTTGATTCTCTTCTGCATTTCTTTTTGCATCATTAATTGATTCTTCAGATATTTCTAAGCCAATTACTTTTTTCTCTGTATTTTTGGCTAAGCAGATTCCCAAAAGACCCGAGCCACAGCATATATCTAATATATTGTCTGTTTGTATGTTATCCTTTAGGGTTTTTATCATAAGCTCGGCAACACTAGAATTAATTTGGAAGAACCCAAGCGGGAATACTTGAAATACGCACTCTCCAACATTTACTTTATACTCCTTTGGTGCTCCTTTGACCTGATATATATCAGCAGTTCTTGCTATTCCATCAAATACGCCAGTGGTACACGATATAAATACATCTTCTGGCAGTATTTCTATAAACTCCATTATAAGAGGATTACCCAGTGCCTCCTTCACTGATTCGCAGTTCACCTGCAAAATAGTTATAAAATGCTCACCAAGCCTTCTAAGCAGTAAAAGACGTAGAAATCCTTCTTTCGTTACTCTATTAAATACATGGCCGGATTTGCTTGATAAATACTGATTTATCTTTTCAACCAATGCCAGCATCTCATCCGGTGTATTAAACACGCACTCTTTGGGATCAGCCACTAGATTTGGTGCAGACGAGAATTTGGTGGGCCGGAATCCTAGAATCTCTTTCCCCTCATGTGTAACCCCAAATGTAAACTCGCATTTGTTTCTATATCCCATTTGGACAGGCGATGCAACTGAAACAATCTGATCCTCCATGCACTCTAAAAAAGAATAACAAGCCGAAAACTCCTTTGCCTTTTTCTTCAACTGTTCTTCATAGCTTAGCCCATTCAGTGGAGTTACTATGTCTTTTACATCTTTTTCCTCTTTTTTCTGCTTTCTAATGTCTAGCTCAGTATTTCTAAACATAATAGTTGGAAGCTCCTCTTCTTTCGTAATTAGAATAGCCAGTCGCTTGTGATCCTTGAAAGACAGAGTAAAGTCTTGGTGCCCTATACTTTCTGTTAGAACCTTTAACAGCGCAGATCGCTTTGTATATTTTTTTATATTATGAATTCTCCATGTGGTAGTGCTGTACTCCATTAAATATTTTTTCAGTTTTCTTTCTTTTATTATAATTCACTGCCATTCAAAATAGAAATTTTTTAATTTGGGCTCAATCCATTTGATTGAAACATTGCCTTTTTGGCAATTTTACTACGAATATGATGCCATTATCAATTGATTTAACGAAATTGTATATATATACGGGTTCTAATCTGGATAATATATGAGACTTTTAAACAAAAAACTTATGCTATCTTCTATTGCGTTTAATATACACCAATTTATGTGTATTTATCTGCCATATAATATAAATAAAGCCTATAGCCAATCGGGCATGAAATTATGCAAACATCCATATCACCGCGATCATATATTCGCACCATCCAATCCAGATGTGTCTTATAATCTAGAAAACAATAATCCAGATCCAGATATATATGCACACATTGCTATTAATAGTATCGAGCGAAATGTGTGCAGTACTGTTGATAGTACAACAATAGCTGTTACAGAGGATCCATCTCTCCCACCATTCAGCTTGCTTTTAATGCACGAAGAGGATTATAGAAGTTTGTTTAAACCCGAGAATTATGTTTCTTCATCCCAAAATGTGATGACTGGGTATAATAAGATAGAGAAAATATTCCATGACGCAAAAGAAATGAGCAATTTTCATAACCTAGATATAGATGTTATAAGCCATGAAATTTATTATGATGAGGAGTATAATGTTAAGAGGTTTAGAGCATTTGGGTTTATAATTATTGCTCCTATTGATATACGGTTGACAAATATGATTCTAACCGAGCAGACTGGATTTATCAAAAATCAATCAAATCCAGTACTCGAGTATACAGATGGCAGTTTTAATAATAAACATATGGCCATAAAACTTAAACAAGAACTTTCTGATTTGTCACATGTTTCAAAACAATTAAAAACTGCCATAGATAAAATTTCTCGTGTTTTTGATGAATCAATAGAATGCAGTGACTATAGTAATGATTTAAAACACGGATTTAATCTCTTGAAGATGATAAATTCAATTAGAGTGAATAGGATTTTTGATTCATTCTATATGCAAAGTCTAATGAGGTTCTCAAATTATTCTATTATGTCAATGGATTACTACAAAAGGACTAGAAATGCTTATCTGAATAAAACAAACAAAGAAATGACCGGCAGCGAAAGGGCATTGGATGAATTTCAAATTTCATTAAAATACCCAGCGTCTTTCCATATGTCTGTTGAAGACGTTAAATATAAAAAGACTATTATCTACTCCGCGTGCACGCAGATTCTTAATTTTATTCTACAATGCAGTGATCAAATAGAGTTCTTGAATCTAGAGACAAATGATAAAGACCACATATCAAGCAACCTCTTCCACGCATACAAACATGCATTAAAAACTCTTGATAACCTAAAATATATTGGTTCATATGAATTTAACAATGAGCCACTAATTGAAGTGGAAAGATCCTTCTCGGCATGTGTAAAAGGGTATTTAGATGCAGAAAAATTATTGTCTTCTTCTATTGAAAACCTTCAGTCTGTGATTAAAACCGAATTGTTTATGTATAAGTTAATCGATCAAGATTATAAAAGTGTTGAAGCTATTAAAATGGTTGAAAGCAGTGAAAGCGGCGAAAGCGGCGAAAGTCACAAAAGCAGCGAAATTGGCGAAATCGATTATGAAGGTCTAATTGATGAAAGTGAAGAATTATTTGAGTTGATTAAATTAGATAAAGAAAGCCTTGCTGATAAGAAAAAAGTAGATCTGGTTAAGAATGTTATTTCTTTGTTAGAGTCAGAATTTAACATGTCTTATAAAAAAGAAGACTCCGTAGGCATTATATTAAATGAAATTGCAGGATCTATATGGGAATTTATACCTCCCACTCCAATTACATACTTTACATATATCAAAAAAGTATCAGAAAACAATAAAATGATTGATGAAGTAATAGCAGAGTATGAAGAAAAATTAGGTTCTATCGATATCTAATGAAGTTTAAGCTATAAAGGCTTAAGTAATTCTTAAAATGTAATATACGCATGTTTTATTAAAATAAAATATTATTTATGCCTTGTAAAATTTTAGGATTTCTATATTTTAAGGAAGTATTTCAATCCCTGCCATATGAATAAAGAATATAACCAGAAGGTCAGTTCCACTTTCAGATAAAATATAAAATTATTTATTTAAATATAGTCTAGTTTGCCTATAATATACTCTTTAGTGTAATATTCTATTAATTTTTGTATATTTCTGTAGTTTATTTATTTTAAAATATTTATATTTATAAAAATATTGTATTTCTATTTATTTGCATAGTGTAAAGAATACATATTTTATTTATATTTAAAATAATATGAATACAATATACATAAATAGAAATAAACAACCAATAACACATTAATATAAGAAAAATAGAGAATACAATAATAAATACAAATAGCAATGGATATGCACTAATACACAGATATATCGAATATATTCACTAAAAACAATAATTATATGAAGATAATTCATTATTTATTCATGTTAAATATAAAATATTTACTAATAAGCTGTATAACATAAATACTTTAGATTTTTATTCTAATTCACTTTTTATAAAGAATAGTATATTAATTAATGAAATGTCAGTTTGATTTGTTAAAGTTATATGCCAACAATAAACTGATTTTCATTTTTTAAAAAAGTTATATGCTGGTTATCCGTGGGTACTCTGCGATCATGAGTGTTTTGGTGGTGAAATTATCTCTTGTAGAGTAATAGAATAATTAGTACGGCAATACTCTATGGAATGAGCATCATTAGGATCTGGGCCGGGGTATCAAAATCAAATGATAGGGATAAAAACTATATAAGAATTTTTGAAATTAATACATACGAAGTTCGGGTTATGACAAATAGGAGTTCATATTTACAAGGAAGAGAGAAACCTCAATTATATATATATAACCCAAAATACTTAACTCAAATGAGGTTTGTTAAAAAAGAGCTTGCTTTGATTTTTATTGTACTTGGCATATGCCAGGTTATGTGTGGGATACTGCCAACAGACATAAACCTAAACTACAGCATAGCAAGTATGATTCCACCTGTAGACATTCCGAATGCTTTGAATGCATATGAAACAAATATTACTAAGACACTTTATATCTTACCAGAAGAACCTATATATATGAATGAGACTAGGCATAGGAATCTATTTAAGCTATATAATTATACCTCTCCAAGTTTAGAAATGGAGACAGATTATAGTAAGTTAAAAGACATGGTAGAAAATGCAAAAACAATAAGCAATCTAACAGAAATAGACATGAGAGATGATGTTTATCGGGATAGCTGTTATCGCACTAAAAAAATTAGGTCATATGGATTTAGAGTTATTGGCCCTGTTTGTTTAAACTTTAAGGATATCATGCTAACTGAACTAAGAAAGATTGATGGTGAGCAAACAAATCAAGAGCAAAAATATAATGCTCTTAGTATTAATAGAAATGACATAAGTGAAAAACTATACCATGAATCTGAAAAGTCTACGTTTATTAAAGAGCAATTAAGCAGTGCAATAGAGAGTATTGAAAGAATTTTTTCTGCACCAATAGAATATAAAGAATATATGAACATAATAATAAATGGGCTTAATCTTTTGAATGTGGTAAATTCAATTAGAGTGAACGGGCTTCTAGATGTATTACACATACAAAAATTACTGCAATTTGAAAATGAAGCTATTAACATGATGGACTACTATAAAGAAGCTCGGGAGATTCTGCTGAATAAATTAAATCAAGACATAAGTGAAAGAGATCTTGCCCAAGATATATTTGATTGTGCCTTAAGATACCCAAAGGTGTTTTTACCGAGTATTTTAGATGTTAAATACAAAAAAATCATTATTTACTCTACATGTATACAAATTATTAATATTATACCTACATGTATTAAACAAATAGAGGCATTGAATATAGAAAGCCCGAAAGTTAAAAAACAACTATCAAGAGACTTCTTCTATACATACACACATGCTATAGACACACTTGAGTATTTAAAGGCAATTAATTCATACGGCTTTAACAATGACGAGTTAATCAAAATAGAAATTCAATTTTCAAGGTGTGTAAAGAAATATTTAAATTCTGCAAGAATACTTTCTAATTCGCTCAATAATCTAAAAAAAGAAATAGAAAGTGCATTATCTGTAGGTGTAGTTCTAGAAAGAAATACACCGAGTAAAATGCTTATATTGAATGTAGATTATCCAGCCGATAAAAAGAAAATCGATATGATTAACAATCTTATTTATTTATTGAATTCCGAGGAAAAAATATGCACTGAACAGGAGTCTAGCATAATTAAATTGCTGGAGAAATTTCAAACAATAAAACTAGAAAAAAATAATCCTCCAATTTCATACATTGCGTATGCAGGCGAAGTATTAAAAAACAACAATTTACTTGACAATAGAATAAAGTACTTTCGATCAAAATTGAAAGATTTATAAAGGCGCAAGTCTGCCTAACTAAAAAAACCTATTATAAAATATAGATTTATGTAAACATTATTAGCTTCTAATATATGTTGAAATATATGCCAGTAGAAGCCAATAATATTTCACTAGTACATATTCTCAAGTGAGCTAATGATATGTAAATGTTTAAATCTATATAAATATGTGAATTAATAAAATTTTAATGCGCCTAACAAATTTATATGTATTTTTTAATTGGCCTAGCTGTTTTTTCCCGTAAGGCTTAGACATACGAAAACTTGTTATTTATTGAAATACAAAAACTCTTATATAGCTTTGATTCCAATCATTTATGATAGCAGCACGTCTATTACTATCACCAATGATGGATACTCATATATTAATGGCATACTTAACCATCGCTGTTCTGGATCTCACTATCCAAAACCAACAGGCCTCTTTCCTATTTCGGATTATAAATTACTGAATGGTGAGTTGCCTAAACCACCTACCTTTTTATACTAATTTGTTATTTATAATGGAATTTTTATTAAGTACCTGGTTGTCATAATGATTTATTGATTTTCTACATATATAGCTGGAAATATTAAAATTAAATGAGACTTTATAAAGAAATAGTTGCTTTAAATTTTCTTGCAATTTGGGCATTTCATGCCATGTGTGGCTTAATACCTCACAGCCTCGATACATCCAATAGACCAGAAATCACTATTTCACAGATAGACATTCTCAATCCTTCTAATTGGAAAATAGATGTTACAGAGGCCCGGTATATTCTACCAGAGGAAACCATCTCTGAAAAACAAGTTGAATATAAAAAGTTGTTTAAGCTGTACGTATATGCACCCCCAAGTAAAAAAATAGAAAAGGATTATGTGAAGTTAAAGAAAATACTGGAAAATACAAAAAAAGCAAGTATTAATCCTAGACTAGACATAAAAAACAACACTTATCTTAAAAAATCTCATGACAGCACTGTTAAGCCATACGGATATATAATAATTGGTCCCCTTGACTTGAGCTCTAAGAATATGATTCTAACCGAATTGAAAGACATTGAAAATGAAGTATCTCATGTTAGATTTCCATATACAGACTCTAGCAACAAAAGAATCAGCTTGCTTCGAATATTGTATAATGAGTCCAGAGAATTAACATTTTTCAAAGCCCAATTAATCCATGCATTAAAAAGCATCGATCTTGCATTTTGTAAATCTGTAGAATATACAAGCTATATGAGTACTTTAACATTTGGATTTAATATGCTAAATATAATAAACTCTATTAGAGTCAACAGACTTCTAGATGTATTACATATGCAAAAAACACTTAGATTTGAAAATCATGCAGTTGGCCAAATAGAATACTACAAAGAAATTAATGGTATTATACTGAATAAGGATAATGAAAGTCTATGGGCAGAAGAAATGGCTCAAAATGAATTTAAATATATCTTAAAACACCAAGGGGTGTTCATGCCTAGCATTTCAGATGTTAAATATAAAAAAATAATCATTCATTCCACATGTCTGCAGATTCTTAATCTTATTCCAGTATGCAGAGAGCAAATAAAAATGTTCAATATAGGTTCCAAAAAACAAAAAAAATGCTAAAGAGCTTTCGCATTGCATATAAATATGCTATAAAAACACTTAAGCGTATAAAATCAATTGACTCGTACAGTTTTGATCCTTACCAAATAGCTAAAATAGAAGATGTTTTCTCGCTGTGCATAATTAACTATTTAGATGCAGAAGTATTGGTGTCTAGCTCTATTAGTAGCCTTAAAAATAAGATCGAAAGTGCACTATATGAGCATGCGCCCTTAAAGAATAACACATCTCCTAGTACGTTTAGATTAAATGCAACAATTCCTACCGATAAGAAAAAGATAAACCTGCTTAAAAACCTTGTTTCTTTGTTGGATAGTGAAAAAGAGTTGTGTGCTTTAAAAAAAATTAGTGTGCATAAAATAATAAATGGTATCCAGCCAGTGAAAAAAGGATACCTTTCAATTTCATATTCCACATACGTTGATAAAGTATTAAAAAACAATAAAGCGATTAATAAAAAGTTAAGAGAATATCGATTAGAATTAAAAAGTTTATAATAATATCCTGTATATAATAGGGATTAATTAAATACACATAAGGAATAAACATATTTATACTTTATATATAATTACACACTCAGTAGTAAATAGACAATATAGTAAAGAGCTCTCTTTATTACATATTTATTCTGCCATATTATTGTAATTTCTATGTGTTTCAGGCAGCATATACATATTTTTATGTATTTATTATATTCATGTAGCTCTTTTAACTTCTTGTACAGCTTAGTTTCTAGAAATATTTAGAATGCATTAGTTTAAGTATTTATAAAAATAGTGTATTTTTATTTATTTATGTAGTAATTGTAAATGAACAAATTTTATTTCTTGTACTGGTTAAATAATGTAAAGCATAAATAATATTTATTTGTAATAAAACATGGCTAGTTTACATAAGATGCAATGGATGTACTTACATATGAATATTCTTAAATATATTTTTATTTACTTATGTTCTTAATATGATAAGTAGTATATTAACCATGTACAGTACAAGAAAAATCAAGTAAGGTTTGAGTGCTACATAACCCAAGACATTTTGTTTTTATTTTGGCGTATTCTTGATAAAAGATTATATACTAATCGCACATTCATCAGAGTGATTTTAGTATTATATAGCTGGGAATATTAAAATTTGTAAGGCATAAATAGTATTTTATTTTTAATAAATCATGCATAGTTCACAAAATTTAATGAGATTCTTTAAAAAAATACATGCTTTAATCTTTCTTGTATTTGGGGTATCCTCAGTTATATGTGGTTTAATACCATACCATATAAACACAACCGGGTTTCCAGCAAGTGGTATTTTACAGATAGACATTAACAGTACCATTAACCACCAGACAGCAAGTTCCATAGATATGTCGTTTGATATACCAGAAAAGGCTATCTTCCAAAATGTGAACGTTTATAGAAAGCTGTTTAAACCATATGACTACACACAATCAATCCCAGAACTGCAAACCACTTATAAGAAGCTAGAGGAAATCCTGGAAACTGTAAAAGTAATAAGTAGTTTCTCTAAAATAGATGAAACAGGCGGTGTTTATATTAGTATGCCTCCTTACATAAGAAAAATTAGATCCTATGCATTTGCAATCATTGGCACGGTTTCGTTAAATTCTAAGCATATTATTTTAAATGAAATGGGTCGGGTACAAGGAGAGAGGTCAGACTCCAATTTTCCGTATAATGCACTTGGCGTCACTAGGGAGGATATAAAAAAAATAATTATTAATGAAATCAAGGATTCAGTGTTAATTGAGCAACAACTGAACAATGTAATAAAAGTCCTAAAGAAGGCTTTGTGTGAGCCTGTAGAGTATAAAGAATACATCGATAGCTTGGCATATGGGTTCAATCTTTTGAACATAGTAAACTTTGTTAGAGTGAATAGAATATTGGATGTATTATATATACAAAAAATGCTGCAGTTTGAAAAAAATGCTGTTAACCAAATGGATGGGTACAAAAAAGCCAGAAGAATTAAGTTGAATATGTTAAATAAAAAAATGAGTAAGAAAAGGCGTGCCCAAGATATATTTAAGCATACACTAACATCACCCGAAACATTCCTATCTAGTGTCTCAGATGTTAAGTCCAAAAAGACTATTATTTACTCAGCGTGCACGCAGATTCTTAATCTTATCCCATCGTTTTTAAAAGAAATAAACCTCTTAGATATAAAACCAGAGAAAAAAGAAGTCTTACGAACAAACTTTCGCATGACATATGAATATGGGATAAAAGCACTTAATCAGCTGAAAGTAGTCAATTCATACAACTTTGACAACAACCAATTAACTCAAATAGAAGTTGAATTTTCTATGTGCGTGCAAGAATATCTAAATGCAGCAGAGCTAATTTCGGAATATATTAATGATCTACAAAAAAATATAGAAACGCTATTATTTAATTCTGTAAAGCCCCGGAAAAGAACCCCCGATATAGCGAATAATCTATCTAAAATGCTTCAATTAGACAAATACCAGCATATAGATGTCAAGAAAATATTTTTAATTAAAAGTATTATTTCCTTATTATCCATTGAAAGGGACTTGTGCTATAAAAAAAAGAATAGTTTATATACTATTTCATATAGTATTGGATCAGACAACTCAGAGTATCCACCAATAAGCTACAACATGTATACCAAGAAAGCATCAAAAAACAATAAAATGATTAATAAAGTAATAAAAAGGTATGAAAAAAAATTAGATATGCTTTATGCATAATGGAGTTTAGGCTATAAAAGCTTAAGTAGTCCTAAATAATAAAGGGATTTTTTAAATATAGTCTAATTTACTTATAATATACTCTTTAGTATAACATTGTCTATTAGTTAGTGTTATATGTATACTAAATAGAACAAAATAACCAATAATACATTAATATAAGATAGAATGAGCTACAATAAAAAATAAAAATAGTAGAAATACATAAATTACTGGTTAGATACAAAAATACGTATAAAAACAACCAAAAACAAACAATTAGCAATATATAAAAACATGACAGTACTATATACTTATTTATGAATAATACATCCCGGACAGCCAGAAATTATTCAAAGTAATTTGATCTTTATTAAGATAGTTGTAGTATTTCGGATTAAATACAATTTAATAGGTCTATTATTGTTCGTATAAGCAATTATATTTATAGAATATATGAAAAATCACTTTGGTGGTGGATTGTAATTTATCATAAAGATAGGGAAATGGAATAAATAATATTTTATTTTTATATTAGATAAGAAATGGAAACACAAGATATTGAAACACAGATGAGCGAGAAAACAATATTCTGTAGGATTTGCACTGAGCCAGAGACATCTGATAACAGACTGGCAAGCCCATGTAAGTGTATAGGAAACATGAAGTATGTTCATTCAGCATGCATTCTTGAGTGGATATATAAGACACGAACACAGATATGCAACTTCTGTAATTACAAGATGAAGCTAAAGAGAGTATACATAAACAAGCCTACTAAACCAAATACATATCCGGTGTATACAGTTATATATATATACAGCAAAATTCAGAGTATGCTATTATTTGGACAAGAAGTGAAAAACAAGATATTTGAGAAAATAGAGAAGGGGTTTGCCCTTTTTACAGGAGCTGTACTTGATCCAATTTATAGATTGTTTTCTTTTTCCATGCTGCCGGCTTTTATGTCAATTCCCAGGCTTATAGCGCAAAAAAACATAAGCAACATTCGGAAGCAGAATACATACACTATTATTGATACTCTGACCAAGTTGAATGTTATAACAGAGTATAACACGATGTACTCAGAAATACACTCAAATAGCACAAGAATACACAGAGCAGGGCTTGCTAGAGCACATGCAGAAAATGACATACAGAGGATATTCAGTATAATTATATTTGAAGATGATCTAGAGGGCAGTTTAGAAATTGTTCCTACCACAGTAGATTATATAGTGCTGTTTATATCACTTGGTCTAGTTTCTTGGTTATCTTATATTCTGAGCCCTACAACAGAGTATCAAGGAGATGCATGGATAAGCAAGGCTCTTATACCGGCAGCCACTCTTCTTTGGTTTGTGTATACTGTTATTTTTTTAGCCATATGTCTGCAGAATCGGCTGGGTATAAAGAGGGGAAGTAGATATATGAATATATGTGGAGTGTATTGCAAGCTACTGATTATTTTACTAGCAAGATATGGAGCATTGCCTTATTTTATTTTCCATGTAGTTGAAGTAATGCTGCGCATTTTATATACGAGTATAAAAATGAACGCCCTTCAAGATTTTATAAAACATAGCATATATGGCATAATCCCACAGATATCTGAAGTATCCAATAAGCAAATGGCAGAGGCAATAACACAGAGTGCATCAGAGTTTACTGGGTTCTTGTTTGTTATACTTGGGAATATATGGCTCTTTGTCTTTCAGTCAGTATATGCCCGTTATTTTTCTCATATAATTAGACCAGGCCTGTTTGGATGGATTTGCCCAATAAGTGTTTCTGTGAATAGAGTTATAAAGGATCGAATATTTACAACCTTCCAAAGCTATACAATTGCCTATATTCTATTTATATGTGCCTGCATAGTGCTGTGTAGTCAAATTCTCTTTTTAGATGGTATTCTGTTACATAATCATTTCAGGAAAATACCATGCAGCCAAATATTCTGCCTAGAGAATATGGCATATCTTTATTTTTATCTACCAATTATAGAAATATTCTACAGCGGGCCATTACAAAGTTACTTTTCGTATGTTAAAAGTATTTTAAGCAGTATTTCGCGTAGAGTTAGCAGATGCATGAAAGTAGAATCATTGCTGTTCAATGGAGATCTTCCAAATAATTCGGTAAATCTTTCTAAACTATGCTATCTGCCTGCCCGAAATGACGTATCGTATACGAATGAAGAAATAGTTAAAAGAAGAATGCTTAAAATAACCAAAGAAGAAAAAGAGTTATATTTTGATGAAAATGGAAAGAAAAAGAGAATTACTATGGAAAGGTTTACTGGACTAGAAGCAGACGAGCATAAATGGACTGAAAGTATAGTCAATGCTACCAGAGCAGAGCTTTTGTACAACCCAGCATATTCTATTTTCTATGTACCGTCTTTTGCAGTTGTTAGAGTAATATTATTTTCTATAATATTATTTGGTGTATGCTCTATAATAACTGGTATCACCGCATTTCTGTTATACCACACTGTTTTATACATAGAATGCATGCGAGCAAAAATAATGCACGTAGATATTTTGAATCAGATATTCTATACTACAAAATTGGTTTTGGGTATATTGTGCATAGCAGGAGGAATGCTGTGTTTGACATATAGAGAAAGAAAGTTTCTTATTATTAGAAAGATATACCAATCAGTAAAAAAAGGCTGTGTAATAGGAGTTATTCCATTTATAGTGGTGGTATTTGGTATATCTCTAAAAGAGTCTATAATTTCTCTTTTAGGCTATAAATATGCCAAGCTTGCGGATTGGGTAAATGCGCCCTTCCAGATTTGGTTTATATCATATACACTTAGCTTGGATTTGATATTTAGAAATGATTACTCTTTAGTATTTATGTTAGTAGAAGGCGCGTGCATGTTTATTCTTTATACACTGATAGACATCTTTTTATTTGAAGGAACAATGAGCAAAATATCAATATGGAGCCGGCTCTGTATTGTTTTACTTCCGTATGCTTTTCCATGGATAGTGAATATTCTAGAGAGGATTGGCAATTTTCTTTGCAGGGCGTCTGAAAGAGTTAAATCTAGCATACTATCGAAGGGTACAGAAATTGTACTGGTAGATGCATGAATATTCTTTTTTCCAAGTATATCCGAGTCTATTCTGTGTTCCGTGCATAGCAGAAGCTGTGTTTAATAAGCTTTGCTAGCCAAAAGTGTAAAATAAAAGATTTCAGGTTGTTTTCTATACAGTTTCAGAGCAAACGCGTTTTCAGATTATTTCCACTAGCTGTCAAGCCATATTCTACCAAGTATATATTAATCATGTAATTAGTATATACAGTAAGTTTCAGGGTATATAAAATATTTCTAATATGATATGTAATAATTTATGATTAAGTCATGCAGCAATTTCTAGGCAGTAAAGGAGTGAATAAGCTCAAACACCGAGCAAGGATTAATAAAATAAGTGCCAAAAGAAAGAAATAAAATATGTTTGAATCCGGTTTTATTTTTATGCACGTGGAGGAGAGGGCAATGAAACTGCTAAATAATAAAGTACCAATAAAGCCAGCAAATCTAGCACAGGATAACACATTTAAGCTTGCTCTTATAAATGAGACAGAGCTGCAAATATCACCGAGCACAAAGGAGATATCTGCATATTTGTGCGATAAGCCAGGATCTAACTACAATTTAAGCAGTAATGCGTGGAGATTCCATATTTCGGTGTATGCTGGATTGATTAGCAACTGTCTTTCAATGAAAAAAAAAGTAGAGGGGCCGCCATACACGCTTATAAAGGCTCTTGCTGATAGCTATATAAAAAAGCAAACGCAGGCGCCTGCTGTAAATATTGTATCACGGCTTGAGAGCCTGGATGGGGGCTGTGTTATTCAATTACAGCCGCATCAGATAGAGGGTGTGCAGGTTGCGTGCGAAAGGAACTATAGATTATTGATAGCAGATGAGATGGGCCTGGGGAAAACCCTGCAGGCCATTTCTATAGCAAAGACATATTTGAAGAGCACTCAAATGAAACAAAAAAAGGTCTTTTTATTGTGGCACCATCATCAAATGTGCCCATGTGGGTGGGCGAGGTAAAGAAGTACATAACAGAAGTGTGCTATGATGTAAAAGAGTGGAGGTATGCACAAAAATCAAATACTTCTGGAATAGTTGCTTTAATAACTAGTTATAATGGGGCAAGCACATACATAGACGAGATAATGCCAGGAGACTTTTTTATGGGGATTGCAGATGAGTCGCAGTCATTGAAAAACAATGAGAGCAAGCGGGCGCAAGCACTGGTTCCATTTCTAACAAAATTGAGAAGTGTCATCCTTTTATCTGGAACACCAGCCCTTTCCAATACGTATGAGCTGTATACACAAATAAGCATTATACATCCAACCTTATTTTCATACAAAGATTACCACGAGAGATACTGCAAGATAAGTGACAATCACTACCAAGCAGCCAATCCAAAGTTTAAGCATCTTATAAAGTACAGAGGCAGTAAAAATCTGGACGAACTAAAAATAGCAGTAAATGAGCTTGTGCTCATACGAAGGGTCAAACAAGACTGTCTGCAGCTTGGCAAAAAAAGAAGAATACACGTGACCTTTATAAGCGACTTGGTTAAAAAAGAGATGCGCTCAAATGTGCCGATCAACACAAAAACACTTCAAAATGAGCTACTTCTAGAATATAATAAAGCCGCGAAGGAAAAGCTGCCAGATATTTTATGTTTTATAAAGCAGGCAAGGAACAAAACAAAAGAAAAGATAATTATATTTGCGCATCATAAAGACACGCTAAATGCTCTTTACATGGAATTTAAAGACCGGGCTATAAAAATAGATGGGTCAACTGCCAGGCAGAAAAGAGAAATCTTGTGTGATAAATTCAGGAACTGTCCTGATATTGACGTGGCTGTGCTGAGTTTAAAGGCGTGCTCCACTGGACTGACTCTTGTATGCGCGACTATGGTGATATTTGCAGAGCTACCATGGACGCCTGGTGATTTGCATCAGGCAGAGGACAGAATATATAGAATAGGGCAGACACAGACAGTTAAAATATACTATCTGATTGCATCGCACGTGGATAAGCACATGTGGCCGCTTCTTAAAAGAAAGCACAATACTTTAAATGGGATTGGAATAACAGAAAAAGACAATGAGCAGATTATACTAGAAACTTTTGACCCAAAACAAAAGTCTATATGGCAGTTCTAGCGCGCCATGCAAAGCACAAAACTATATCGGGCGTAGGAATGACTATACAATTTACAGATATTTTAATATATAATCAGAGATGGTTTAATCTATAAAGCTAGAAGATAAAGAAGTATGGAATGCTGAGCACGCAGTATAATGCACTAGGTATATAAAAATAAACCACACTTAGTTTTAAAACACAGAAGTATTTAAGAAAAAGCAGCATTTTCAGATAAAGTTCTGTAATTATAATATACGCGCTGCTTCCTCCTAATCATTTACTCTTGGCATAGAATCAATTCAATATAAAATTTCAGTTAATTTCAAACTAGGTCCGTATAGAGGTAGTATTTATTAAACAGACAATGAATTCTCGTTTATTTTTTGCCAGCATATATATTATGCATTTATTATCCAAGGCAGAGGAATTCCATACAAAGTGCATGTTACATCCTAATAAAGCGAGCGATTGTTTTCCATGTAACAGAATTTTTGAATATTGTGCTGTGTGTTTCATCTTCTATCTTCAAAAAAGTGGCCTTTCCACTCCTGGCCAGTCTTTCGCCGTGCGTGTATGGGATGAGCCAGTCTGCGCCGCCGTGTATAATAAGTGTTTCAATATCAATTTTCTTAATGTTTTCCAAAGAGTTGTACCCAAGGCCATGCAGTGCATAGCTTTTACTTTTGGGAATGACAGACTCAATAATATTCCAAAGCGTATACTCTCTAAGCAGGGATATGGTAGAGCTAAACGGGCTCACTAAAACCAGCCTATTAATAACCACAGAGCTTTTTTTCTGTGCGTACTGAACCAGATATTCAAGAGCAATAGCTGTTCCCAAGGAGTATGCTATTATGGAGATGGAAAAGATTCCTTTCTTTTTAAAGTATTTTATACTTGCAGAGACATCTTCAATAAATGCACTTTTGCTAGGTGATCCCTCAGAATCACCAAACCCTCTGTAATCTATTATAAGCGCACCAATACCATCTTCTATAAGGGATTCGATGTTGTATACCTGCGAAAAAGTGTTTCTATTAGTGGAGTTGCCGTGTAAGACAAGCGCCCAATGGTTCACTGGCTTTTCTGTGTTATGAACAGCCCAGGCCCCTATCTTCTCATGGGACTTTGTTCGAATTCTCACAGTGCGCACCTGAATGTGTGGCTTAAATGGGTGCTTGTTCTCTGCAGGCATCTTTATCTTGCTTAGCCCAGAGGCACAGAATATTTCCCGAATAAGCCTAGACAGAAGGATTGCTTTAAGATACTCCTCATCAGTTGATGCATTTAATTTAGGAGTCAGAAGTAGCTTTGGAGAGAATTCTTCGTCACTTTGTGTGCTTATCTCTGATTCTTTCTGCATTTATTCAAAAATCAAGTTGTGCCGCATCTATAACAGCCTCTCATAAAGAAACCAATTATTATTCATTTCTATCTTATTGGTAAAAAGTGAATTGGCAACTTTCTTTTCTGAATTTCAGATCCACTGAGAATTACTAACAATATAAACCTCGTATAGTGCTACATCTATTCATTGCAATCCCACATATAATTACAAACCAATCCAAATATACTTAAAATGCTACAAAAACTGTTAACATTGGAAAATAACAGAATATCATTAGCAGCAGGCATGAGTATAACAAGAAATACCCCGAAATTGCGCATATACACTATGATTAGCCTATAAATAATATTTGAATATACTCATAAAGGTCATATGCATAGAAGTAGTTTTAATATAATACAAACATAACCAGTAGCAATATAAATATTTTATAAAGTTAAATAAAGCATAAAAACCCGAAATTAAATAAAGCGAATTTAGACATTTTACTAGATTAATTATTCATTTAATAGACTAATTATACATTTTATGGATTTATTTAATTATTTCATAAGATTTGCTTGATTTTGACATGTTTCGGGCAGTATTCAAAATATTTAAGTCAAAATTATTTCTAACTAACTAAAGAAAATGTTTTTAGAAGATATAAAGGCAGAAACGAACCGAATAAATGAGAAGTCATTGGATGTAATAGCAGGGCAGCGAGTAAATTGTGAAAAAAACAAAGATCCAATAGTGTTCAGCAATTATTCTCAGTGCATTTGCGAGTCAAGCGAGGGCAACAGTCTGCTAAGCCTCAAGGAAGAATGCCAGCATAGTCAAAGACATAAAGAAAAATTTAGACAAGAAAAATCTAAAGAGATGTCAGAGGCCAGTGGAGAGACAGAGAAGAAAGGAAAGAGCAGAGAGAAAAAAGAAAATCCATTCACATCAGATATATTCTCAGCAGAAGAAAGTCAGGAAAGTATGTACGGTATACCAGCATTCAAATATGGAGAAAGATTAGGAAATATGTACAGTAACCATCTGGGAGGGGCTGGTATATTAGAAAGAGAGCTATTACTATCTGAGGGCAAAGAAAGAAGTACTGACGAGATTGATAGATCAAAGGAAGAATTTGTAGAAAGTCCTATTGGCATATATGAAGCCCATGCAGTAGATACTGTTTTGAAAAGAAGAAAAATAAATGAAAAAGCAAGTCCATCTGCATTGGGTGGAATATCGTGTGTAGATGAATCAGAAGATGGTTTATTGGAAACGATGGACCCGCTTCTAAAACAAATGGCGATAAATCAGACATTAATGCAAGAGAGTATGCAGGGTATACTTGGTGAAAGTAAAATTTCTGAAGAAAAAGCAGACAGTTCATTTGGAGAAATGTGTGCAGCCAAAGAGGGCCAGTGCGGAGAGGAGAACTATCAAGAAAGCATGCAAAATCTACAGGCTCAAATGATTAAGCTGATTACAGATCAAATAAGAAGAGAAGTGGCAACAGCCCACTCAAAGACGGTAGCTTTATACAAAGAGAAGATGCAGGCTTTAAACAAGACAATAAAAGAGCAAACAAGCATATTCCAAAGTGAGCTGGCCAGAATAACCGCAGAGTCTGAAGTAGATCATCGGATGAGCAGTAAGGTAGAAGCGCTAGAGAGCCAGCTGCTGGCAGTTCAAACGAGTCTAGATAAAAAGACTAAGGCCATGCAGGAGCAAGAGTGCCGGTGGATACAAAAATCGATCAAAACCGAATCAACACTCAAGGAGAAAGATGCTCTAATAGCCAAAAAAACAAGCGAGGTTGAGGAAAAAGCAAAAGAAATAGCAGACCTCAACAGAATGCTTGCCTGCAGCAAAACAAAAACAAAAGACTCTCCGGGAATAAGCTCATTGCAGATGAATGAGCTTAGAAACACAGTTAGAGCACTGAAAGGCGAGATTGAAAAGATGAGCATAACGTATGCGAATAGTGTCACAGACACTTCTTCCAACTTAGAAAATGTATCGGACCAATCTCGTGCCAACATTCTATTGGAGGCACCATCTAAAGAATCAAGCAGAGAGCAGGCGAGCACTAAAAAAGAAGAAGACTTTGCACAAAAAGCACTTTTATCTGCGCACAAGTTCACAAGCATGAACTCAAGTGAGGACGCACATATGGAAAGTGAGCCAGAAGAAGAACTTCTTCTACTGAAAGCAGATGAGAAAGAGAAAGAAGCAGCAGTCATTAGCAAGAGCGAAGCATTCTATAATAAGCCGAAAAAAGAAACAGCCAAATCGAACAAATCGCAAAAAAAACCAGAAGTGGTAAATAACATTTTCTACTTCTACCGAATAAAAGGCGTTCCATCAACTACGCGAAGCATTCCTCTGCCTGCTCTTAGAAAAGCATGGTGCTCCTTGGCAGGCATAAAAACAGGATATATGGGATTTATTGTCCAGCTTTCTAACAAGGAAATACAGCTGGCAATTCCAAAGAAGTATGAAGAGAATCTTAACCTAATTGCTGAGTCATATATAAAACTGGGAAGAAAGAATGCATCAGTTGAAGGGCCAGTTGATCCGCTCAAGTTTAAAGATATGCCCAGAAAAGACTTACTAAACACTTTGAAGGGGTATGCGCTCCAATTAGTTAGTAATGTTGACATGAAGCACATAGACCTATATAAATTTAGTGAAAAGGTTCTTTCATGCAAGACATATGAAGAGTTCTATGAAAAGATGGACATAGGAATCCATCCAGAATAAACCAGGCCAGAATTAATTAAGTCATACGGTGCTAATTTAAAAACCGCCAGGTAAAGCAATTTCCTAGCAGTTTCTAAACTATCAAAATATTGCATAGGTATCTGTTTCTACAGCAAGGCTGACTCTATGCGTCTTAATAAATCCATAGCACACCAGAAAGGTATACATACTTTTCCGTTACAATCAGCAGTGGGATATACAGATACCTGTAAGAAATAAATGTTTGATTCAATTAAGAAATATTTTGAATGCCGCTGTAAATATTATATTTCACAATCTACTCTAAATTTCTATAAATACTTCTAAGTTTTACAAATAAAAATGGTCAGAAGCATATTCAGGCAATGCCAGCATACTGAAGAAGATAATGCACTTAAACCACCACAGAATAAAATTAATCTTTCTCAAATAAATGCACAGATTCCAATTACAGCAGATAATCCAGAAGCAGCAGATGAAATAAGGATTTTAAATACAGGGAACAGCAATAATTCACAAAAAGAATTTAAAGACCTCGGTACTTTAAGAATACAAGCACAGAAAAATATAACAGAAGTAAAAGAAAAGGATTTATTAAATGTAGAACAGATTTCAATCTTAGTGAATAATGCAGAGAAAGAACTCCAGAAAATAAGAAATGCAGCCAGAACTATTCAAAGCATTTTTAGTACACTATCACACTGGGGCAAGGATCAAAGCATACCTATTTGCATGTGCCTCCCATCAAAAATTCACACACAAACAAAAAATCTAGAACTGACCAGGAAATTAGAAGAAGTTTCCGTTATGCTTGACATACAAACTGTTCAGATGTCCGTAAAAGAAAAAAAGATTCAGACCCAGGAAAATACGATAGAAAGTCTTAAAGAGGAAATAGAAAGATTAAAAATAGTAAAAAATGAAATATAATGTAAAGTATAAATTAGTCATAAAGCAATAATTCCGAAAATCAAACATATACATACTAAAATAACCCGAATACTCCCAAATATGCCACTCTAGCCAATATTTACTGTATCCTTATGTATAATTAGACATATTTGTATTTTCTGTATATAAATAGTAGTATATTCATCAATTAGTCACATTTATATTTATTGTTTTTATTGTCTCTCCTGTGACGAAACCTCTAAATTTAATTTTTTTATATTCTGCGTAATACAAAAAATGAATATTTTAAAGAACTGAAAGTAAATAACCCGAAAATTGAATTTTTATATTTATGCATAAACACTCCAGGAAGAGGGATAGAGAAGTATTTTAAGATATAATGCTTTATTTGTGTTAAAATCATTCATATGTAGATATTTTAGGTAGATGTACATATAAGTAAGACAGAATAGAGCCCTTCTGGGTATGCGGAATTTAACTATTTCTTTACATGGCACTATAATATTTAAATCCAATCCTCTCCGTATAATATATTTACTGTACTGGTTATATTTGGTTATATCTGGTGTTATAAATATTTCTTTAGTTTGTAATTCGGGTTATTATGAGCTACAGTGTAAGAGGAGAATAAGTCATAAAATAGTAATGTGGTAGTGCTGTATAATGGGGCAGTTAGAATTATCCGTGACTGCGTGTTTTAGTAATGGGGCAGTTAAGTATAATCTCATGTATAAAATATTTTATGAGAGAAATAAATACAAAAGATGTTGCTGCAGTCATGGACATTGTTTCATACGAATACATAACACCAAGTGATGCAAAAAGTCTTTCCAGAGAATTCGCATCAGCAAATGCCATGCTGTCAGATGAAATAAGACTATTTTTAAAGAATTTCTACACTTCAGTAGACCAGTAAATAAAGAAGCGCATATAACGAGAAATAACTAGAAATTATGAAATAGTACTGTCTGTGGTAGAAGATGACGAGACATCCGCACTAGAAGAGGTTTCACTGTCCAGTGTTTGAAATGTCAGCAGTAGCCCAGATGACACCATCTTAAAAATCTCTCTTTCTTCTGTTATTTTAATGTACCTGCTGGGCTTTTTCTGTGTGCTGGTGTTTTTTGCATTTACAACTCCTCCTGCCATAATAATAAGACTATTTTCCATGGGAGAGAGAAGGTGCTTTTTATCCTTTACATTCAGCCCTTTAAGCAGTGGGCTGGGGTTTGTGCTCATATGAGCTAGCATGGGTGCTTTTGATGGTCCGCCCAGACAGTCGCCCTTTACAATATTATTTTGAGTGACTTGACTTAAATACTGCATAAATGACAGGGTAGAGTGCTTGTCTCCAGTCATTTTTTTTGATCTGTCAAATAAGTCTGCATACCACAGGAATGAAACAATTGATTTCTTCATAATAATTGATGCCAAGTAGTTATATGTTCTCTTACAGAGCCCATCTGAAGTAGTATTAGTGATTACATGCGTGGCCCACATAAGATTATTTGAGTCTATGTATATGGTACAGTTAAGTATTTCAGAAATTCTTCCTACTGTTGACCGGATAAAGTCCATCTGCTCTAAAAGAAGGTCTGAGAATGCCAGTCTAATTTCAGGCCTTTCTCTTATTTTTTCCTCCTCCTGGGATGTAAGCAGCCTTTTTGTGAAGTACGGTGTGTATTTAATACTCGGCTGGTTGCAGTATTTCTGTATGTATATACGGCTGATATTTTCCAAATTCTGTAACCTGCAGTTATCCATATTTTCTTTATCTTCCATGTGCTTATATTGCATTTTGTATAATAAATAGATAGTGTGATATTCATTTTCTATTGATGGGTTTTGGCGGGCCTGGAGAGGTCTAGTAATAATAAAGTAGGGATAACCAGAGAAAGAGTCATTCTTAGCCAAAATAGTTATTTATTCAAATAGACCAGTAACTTAGCCTACTCCCATGGAATAATTAGTCCTCATAGTACTTTGGTATCTGCTTTGCTTCCATTGCTGCCTCGCACAGCTCAAGCAATTTACACGCAGGGAATTCTCTGTCCAGTGCCATCACATAGTTCCAGAATGCCAAGTTATGCTTAAGAATAGGGAGAGAGAGAAGGAAGTCTTTCTCTTTATTAAGGTGTATTGTACTCTTCCTTAGTAGTGGAATAATTAAAGTGTGCCGTATTGAATATGCAGAATTATTCCGTACATCAAATTCAATAAAATATTTCGTATACTCTAAAGCACTTTCTACATTCTTCGTGCACGCCAGGAATACTCCCCAGAAGTGTATGTTCTTAGTGTCCTTCCTTACTATCTCTAGTATATCTAAGTCTTCAGATATTTCATTCTCTACTTTTGAGAGAACATACTTTAAATGGTGCCACACTTGATAATTCTTCATGTTCTCTACGGCCTGCTTTTTAGTCCAAACCAATTCCTGCTCAAAACTGTACACCTCCCGTGGTATTTCTTCAAGTACTTTCCTTCTATCAACCCACACAGTATAATTTGTAGGGCAGTGGTAGAGTACACAACTTATTGTGTTTAAGCTTGGAATTGAATAGTTTTTATTGGACATATTGTTATTGTGCTGTTTTAATAACTGAACGTACTCCTCGGTGTAATTTATAGTCAGTGGTTCTTCCCTGTGCATGATTATTTACGGTATTAAAGCATTATTTTTTTTATTTTTAATAATACGCTAGATATTCTTAATAATAATTTATATTTATACACTTTTATTCTGTGGGAGTAGAATATGAAAAATATTCTACCCGGATAAAATAGAAAACTGTTTTTTGTACTGGGAGTAATTATTTGGTAATATTTCATTTTTAAGTACTGTTCTAATAGAACTATCTGATATGTACATTCTAAGTAGATACTTTGTCATATCTGTTTTTAATCCTACATTAGAAATAGATGTACTTATGACATTATACTCTAAAGAAGAATCATTCAGTTTATTCTCTGAGAATAGTACTTTAACTCTTACTACTGCCATAAGGAATTCTTCATCACAGACTGCCTCTTTCAATTTCTGTGTTAAGTACTTTATTCCCATTTCATTCGCTTTACTTTTTAGTTCTTTTAGTTTTAAAAGCACTTCTTTCTTCTGGGGTTCTTCTAAGAGTGTTTCTACTTGAGGAAGAATTTCCATTTGAACTTTTGATAATGCACTCATACACACGGGGAAAGAATCGTACTCTGTTTTACTCAGTGGGTGCATAAGAAATTCTGTTATTTGTGATGAAATATGGTCTTTTATACCGAATATGCCTTCTGTGCTCTGTATAAGTACTGTAATATTATGTATGGGTTCATTCTCTGTCCCATGCCATAATATCCTTATGATTAAAGAGAACACTTCAGATATATTATGCATAGATACGGCATTCTCTATCCCTTCTGATTCCATTTTATCAACAATTATTTTTATGCACTGTGCTATTTCTTGTACATTAAATAATCTCTCTTTCATATCCACGTGAGTATTCTCAAGTGGCGTATTCCCGGATAGGTCCTTCAGAAATTTAATTATTTCTTTTTTTATTACTGTTAGTGTACGCCTCCACTGCATTTATAATAAATTCACTCATTTCCTTAGCCTGCCACGTAACTGTATCCACTGCTTTCATTAGACCAATCATGTATACGATACTCTCAGTCTGGTCATTAATAAAGTCCTTTAAATTTCTTAGTTTAGAAATAACTGTCCCTCCAAAAACAATCTGTCTCTCGCCTATTTCTGTCTTAGCAATAGTTAAGAGAGTCGCAAATGCTTTACTGTAACTCTCTGGGTCAACTTGCATATACAGCCGGAAATAGTACAAAGATTCAGAAATACTCTTACACATCTCAATTCTCCTGATAATTTCAATTTTAAACCGTGCAAGGATGGGCGTAGTCTTTGAAAACAAATACGAAATAAATTTTGACTCTTTGAATTTCTCGGATTCTACTTTTATCATGTGATAATCCGTTAGGAATGAATCGAAATCATTGATTTTTAAATACTCAGATAGAATAGATTCTGCATTAAATAAAAGGCTATGATTAAGCATAAATTTAGTCTGTTGATTTTGTCTGTCTATCTCCTTGTTCTCTAATAAAATAGGTTCTAATAGAGTTTCCATTCTACTGATACTTTGCATATTCAAGTACTTGCTCCCATTAGTGCATATTTTAGATGTTTTCATTATTTCCAGTGCTTTCCTGCATTTTATGTACGTGGTGAAATTATTCCTCACTAATTGCTCTCTCTCTAATAATAGTTCATTCAGTTGGTTTAATAGAACCATTCTGCCAGTATCAATATCTTCTATATCTATTTGGTCTAAAATACTCTCAACTAATTTATAAGGGTCTTTTGTGGTTTCCTTTGCACTGACTGAATTTTCTTCTTTCTCCTCTTTTTTTTCTATTTCTATGCTGAACTCTCTTAGTATCTCAGGACTGTCTTGCATTGTAAACACATTATTTTAAAAATTTTATAGTCTTGTACTTTTCTAAAATTTTAATGAGCTCTTCTGTTATTAGTGAGCTGGAGTATATGATGCCAGAATTATCCTATTACAAAGACAGGAAAATCTTCAAAAAAGAAGAAATAGAAGCAATTGTTAAAAAAAGAAAGAAATTTGAAGAAATTCTGGCTACTAAACCACGTCTTAGTATATTTCTTATGTACATTGAGTATGAGGCCATATTAGAGAGAATTTATAAGAAGAGGTCTAAAAAGATCCATAAGAAGAAGAATTATATTACTAAAAGGATAGACTCACTCTATAAAAGAGCACAATTTGCATTCCTTGATATGGAAGATTTACTCATCTCACACTTAGAGTATTTTATATCTGTACAGGATAAAGCAAAGATAAAGGAGACAGCTGTAGAAATACCCAGAAAGTGCACGGGCAGTTTTAAGGTTTGGATTAAGTGTGCTGATGCTCTTAGGTCTATAGGAGAAATAGAAGGGTCCAGGATTCTCTTACAGAGAGCATTAAGAGTACTTCCCAGCCATAAAAAAGAGATAATAGAGGAGTATATAAGACTAGAAGAGGATAATGAAGAGAATGACTCACCAAAGATTATTGAAATATTAAAAAAGCAAATAATAACGGAAAGTTAAAACCCGTTATTTTTGGAAATTACCGTTAAATAAATAAATCAGAATATTCTAATAAACAGAAGAATGCCCGAAATTCAATTATTATAAGTGTACAGATGGGAGTATTCAATAATATTATTGAATATAAATGAATTCGGGTTATGTCGGGTTGTATAATATTTATTTTATTCATCTGCCATATGACTGTCAAAATACTGCAGGGATGTATCTATGTGGTATGCTAATTCATCAAGTGACTCTTTCTCCTTATAATTTAAAGGTATAAACCCAAGAAGACCTTCATCCTTTATGATTGTAGTGAGTGCATGGTTGAACTTCTTCTCATTCCGGCACCTTGCAGGTATGCTACTGCAGAGAGTGTCTAAATCCAATTCATCAAGTAGTTCGTCTAATTCTTCCTTTTTTACTAAGTCACACTTTGTGAATATATTCAGATGGGGCACTTCAAACTTAGACATTGCAATGGTTGCTGTGATAGCTGCAGATATGAACCTAGAACTATCCAGAAGGTGCATTACATCCAATGCGTATAGAATGAGTGGGAAATGGTTCTTTTGAACTTCTGTGATAATTTTACTAATGGAGTCAGAGTGTAAGTACAACTCAATCTGTCCTGGGCAGTCGAATATTAAAAGTGTATCATCATCCTCAGGCAGTTCCATTATATCTAAATTATCTGATATGGCTTCTAATCCTGCCATAAGTCCACCATTCGGCCCAAAATCAGCTGCTTCCATTATTTCTGTTATTTCAATGTGATCTCTTATGTCAAATGAAAATTCTAAATCTGTAAGTGCCTGTGCTGGGTCTAAATTCACTAGAACTACTCCTCTCTTTTGTGCTGTATAGTGTTCCTTAAGCATGTGGGATAAAGAAGTCTTCCCAGAACCAGCCGGTCCAATAACAAATATTGCATATCCCATTTAAAATTTTTGCATGCTGTTCTGTGTTACTTCAGTTTCTGCTAAGGTCTCAAGAATAGTTATAGACGACTTAGTAAGAAATGGATTCACAGAAAAGAAAGTATTTGATGGCATTATAAATGACATAATGAAAGATGACGGATGGAAGCAGAATACAGTAATCCAGCTTAGAACTCCCGAAGACTGGCTGGAGTTTAAAATACGTCCGTGCGCTGTCCTAATCATCGCGTACCCATCAGGCGACCAAAAGGTTTCTTCTGAAGAAGTGGCTGAGTATAATGCGTACTATATAAATATGCTGAAAGTCAGAGCCACTTTTTTAAATTGTGCTAATTTAATTGAAGTGGATGAGACCCAAATAGATAAAATATACAAGCACAGGATTAGGCCAACCTGGCAGGAGTACTTTATGTCCTTGGCTGAAATGGCATCTCTTAGGTCTAATTGCATGAAAAGAAAAGTAGGTGCAGTTTTAGTTAGGCATAACAGGATTATTTCAGTGGGGTATAATGGAACATCCACGGGCACCACTAATTGTTCTGATGGTGGGTGTGAGCGGTGTAATACAAACATACACAAAGGCAAGGAATTATCCGATTGTTTTTGCATACACGCGGAGGAAAGTGCTTTTTTAGAAAGGAATTCTTTAGAGGTAGTAGGAGCCCAGTTATACACCACACTTTATCCATGCAGATTATGTGCAAGGAAGATTATACAATTAAAAGTGTCTAAGTTGTATTATATAGAAGAGTACGTCCATGACAAGGAAATACAAACCCTGTTTGCTAAAAACAACATAGAGGTCTGTCAGCTCAGTAGTACTGTTGATAGAACCGAATAATATAAAGATCAGAGTATGACACTTGCTTGAGTATAAGAATCCTTGTAGGGTCAGGAGTATACTAAGCACAGTGCTACTCTACTAAAATAAAAATGGATTCAAACTATTTGGATTACATTCACTTATGATCTGTATATTTATACCGAGTGTACAGATAATAAGAATTCTGTATATCGGGTTATATCGGGTTATTTATACTGATTATTTTCTAATATCCTGTCCGGGTTTATTAATAATACTTGTATGCCTTTGATTATTCCTTGTTTATTTGGGTATGTGTGTACTTTATGACTAAAATTCTGTGTGGTTTGTCTTATTTATTTGAATATTCGGGTTATATCGGGTTGTACCCGGTAATTAATTAGACTATTTACGTATCTGTGCGTAATTTACACTTTACTATTCTCCAGGAAGCTTTCTATCTTCTTTCTCATTTTTGTATCAATTGCTGCACTTGATGATTTCTTCTTGCACACGGGACACCTTCCGGATACGCAGTATTCACAGAGTGTATGCTTACACTTTAACTTGACTGCCTCTACAATCATACTATTACACTGTGGACAGATGAACTCTTTTGGGATGGATCTTTCTTCTGCTGAGCGGAACCTACGCGAGAATTCTTTAGTCTGTGGCTGGGCACGCACGAACTTTCCTTCTTCATTGAGGAGCACCGAGGTTGGGGATGTTTCTTCAACAGGAACAAGGAAAGTCTTTGGAATTCCTGTGGCTTTTTTAATTCTCATTGCATCGTACTGCTTATTATTATTGGTTGGGCACATTTGTATAAAGTGCCCCTTCTGTCCACATCTAAAGCATATGTACGAGTCTGGTGGTACTCTCATTCCGTGTATATTATGCATTGTAATACTCCCTGATTCCTCTTTGGGCTTAGGCTGTTCTTCTGGCTGCTTGGCTTTTTCTAAGGCTTCTTTATACCCGGCATTAATGTGATTTGGCACTCTTTCTATGACTATGCTCATATTACTGTATATAACAGCATAATTGTCTGTTATTGGGGCTTTCTCATTCTCCACGTAGAATATTAGGTGGTAGTCATGGAAGGTTAAATATCTTTTGGCAGCTATCTCCGCCTTTAATTCCCACAGGGGCATGGATGATCTGTCCGTTTCTATTTTGCTGAAGTCCCTCTCGGATCTGAATCTGTACAAGACTTGCATAAAATTTATTTACCATGCATAGAGAATATATTCCAAGAGAAATATCGAGAATAAAATTTGAAATATTAACGGAGAAAGAGATTCGTGGAATGTCTGTTCTGTCGGTTACTTCTCGTGACTTATACTCAAGCGAAAACAAAGCACCTGCCACCACAGGCCCACTTGATTTAAGACTAGGCCCCAGCACAAAGGATGCAGTGTGCAGTACGTGTGGAGAGAAAATGGCAGAGTGTGTGGGGCACTTCGGACACATTGAACTGGCCCTCCCCGTATACCACCCAGGTCTGTTAAAGAACACCCATAAAGTGCTGCAGAGTGTGTGCAAGCAGTGCTCGTCAATTCTCTTGCCTGCAGAGGTACAAGCACAACTGCTAATTAAGCTACGCGCCAGAAAAGGAAATAGAACGCTAGAGCAGAGAGTCATAAAAAAAGTATTTGACGAATCAAAAAAAACAGTAGAGTGTTTTAGCTGTAACAGTATTAATGGAATAGTGCGAAAGACCGGGTTTAAGTTCTTTCACAGGGTGCACAGACTAAAAAAGCACGACACACAGAAGGAGATTGAGCGAACCCTGTACAGTGCATCGGTCAAAGACAATCCAGAACTGACCAATTGGATCAATAATACCCCAGATGAATATCTCTCACCAATCACTGTACAGGAGGTACTCCGAAATATTACAGAGGATGCAAAGTCTCTTCTAGGAGTATCGTGTGATGTTGTATCACTAATGATTACTTGTCTACCTGTACCACCCGGAACAATCCGGCCGAGTGTGATGTCTTTAGACTCATCATCAAATGAAGATGATCTAACCATAAAGCTAAGTGAAATATCGTACACGTCACAGCTGATTAGAGATGAGATTGCAAAGGGTGCTTCTCTGCACGCACTCGCTGAGAACTGGGACTTATTGCAGTCACAGTGTGCACAGCTCATTAGCTCAGACTCTCGGCCAGATGCTGCTAAAATAAGAAGTTTAGTACAAAGACTGAAGGGAAAGCACGGCCGGTTTAGAGGGAATCTGTCTGGGAAGAGAGTGGAGTTCTCTGGGCGTACTGTCATATCCCCTGATCCAAATTTGAGTGTTGAGCAGGTTGGTATTCCTGAGGAAATGGCAAAAACCCTCACAGTACCCATTCCCATAACAGAAGGGAATAAGAATAAAATGAGTGCCTTGTCAAAAAATGGATGCTCAACATACCCCGGTGCAAATTACCTTTTAAAACAAGACAGGAGAATATTCCTAAGGAAGGATAATAATATTGTATTAGAAGAGGGAGACATCCTGGAGAGACACATGCAAGACTCAGATGTTGTACTATTCAACAGACAGCCGTCATTGCACAGGCTTAGTATAATGGCACATAAAGTAAAAGTACTCCCAGGGCGTACTCTTAGATTCAATGAGTGCGTGTGCTCCCCATATAATGCAGACTTTGATGGTGATGAGATGAACATTCACTTACCACAGACAGTTGAAGCACGTGTAGAGGCACTTGAGCTAATGGGAGTAAAAAACAATCTGTCTGTGCCGCGCAATGGGCAGCCGCTGATTGCTGCCACACAGGATTTCATTACGGGCAGTTATCTTATAACAAAGAAGTCTACATTCTTTACTAAGAAGCAGTTTGGGCAGTTTATAACGTACGCCCTGCCTAACTCAACAGAAAGAATCCGTGCAAAGCCAACTATTCTAAGACCTGCTGTAATCTACACGGGAAAGACTCTCTTCAGCACAGCACTGAACTTATCAATTTCTGTAGAAATACGTACGCGTAATTATACGCCAAGCACTGTACCTAGTGCACAGAATGAAGGAGTATTCGTGATGAGGGATGGTGAGATACTTTTTGGGAGGGCAGATAAGAGAATAGTCGGTGCAGAAGAAGGTACAATTTTCCATTATGAATTAAGAGAGGGCGGTCCCCTGGTGGTTGTTAAAGCCCTTGATGCTATTGCCAGGCTGTGTTCTAGGTATCTTGGTGAGTCTGGGTTTAGTATAGGCCTAGATGATGTATTTGCAGAGCCTGACCTGTACCAGCTTATAACAAAAGCCGTCGATGCGTGTGAGGTTGAAGCAGCCAGTAAGCCAGCCGACAGTACAATTTCCATTCTATCCAGAGCCAGAGAAGATGCGGGTAAGCACTGCATTGAAAGACTCTCCCCACATAATTCACCGGTTATTATGCAGGCCTGTGGGAGCAAAGGCAGTTTAATAAATGTATCACAGATGGTTGCGTGTGTAGGACAGCAAGTCGTTGGTGGACAGAGAATATCCTTAGATTTCGGAGACAGAACACTTCCCCACTTCCAAGGGGACACAAATGCATCTCGTGGATTTGTCAGGTCTTCTTTCTGTGCTGGACTTCTTCCAACAGAGTTCTTCTTCCATGCCGTCAGTGGAAGAGAAGGATTAGTAGACACAGCCGTTAAAACCGCAGAGACAGGGTATATGCAAAGACGTCTAATGAAAGTGTTAGAGGGCGTATATGTGGCATATGATGGAACCGTAAGAAGGGGCAAGCAAATAATCCAGATGCAATTTGGAGATGATGGACTAGACCCAGTTGTTCTACAGAAGGGTACTCTCACCACGGATATGCCCATAGCACACTCCTGGGCTATAAGCACCTGCACTAAACTATCAGAGGATAAGAACTCAAATGGACTGAGTTCTCTTGATAGAGTGCACCCATCAGTGGTTCTTATATACGATGCAGTCCTATCTATATGGAACTCTATTTATAACTCGTACGCAGGCATAGTCACAAATGATTTATGGAGTATGGTGAATAAATCAGTTGGGTACACTTTGTTTAGGCACAATAACACTCATCTGATTAAGTTAATGAACACATTCACAAAGACACACGCCATGACCGCCCCAGTCAAGCAGTTATTCATCAGTAAAATGCTATTCCAGGCACTTAAGTCACAGATAGAGTATGGAACAGCCGTGGGTGCATTAGCTGCACAGAGTATTGGTGAACCAGGCACACAGATGACACTTAAAACATTCCACTTGGCAGGTACATCAGGCGCAAGTATCACACTCGGAGTACCCAGGCTCAAGGAAATCATCAATGCAAGCACTGCCATCAGCACTCCCCTCATAAAAATCATTCCACTCGATGGTCATTTCAAGTACATCCCAGACCGTGTCCAGCCCATATTAATAAGCGACTTAGCAGAGTCCGTCTCCATTAACAAAACCTCAGCTGTATTCAAAATATCCAGCAGTTTAATCATGAAGTACAACGTAGATAAAGAAATAAAATCACTTGGTGGAGTGAAGAAGGATGACACCTACTACTGGGAGGCACCACTAGAGAAATACCTCCCATCAGAGGTTGATAAGCTCTTAAAAACAAAAGTCAAGGGAATCTCATCAGTCACAAGAGTGATCACCACAGACACTGAAATCATCGCAGAGGGGACAGGGTTACTTGACATACTCGGTGTAGAAGGTGTCAATTCAGCACGGACCAGTACGAATAATATTTATGAGACGTACAAAACCCTGGGCATAGAAGCAGCCAGAGAGTCCATCGTAAAGGAGATACAGTACACAATCGGCCAGCACGGCATATCCGTGGATACACGGCACATTGGCCTCCTTGCTGACGTAATGTGCTTTACAGGCGAGATATGCGGGATGACCAGGTTCGGCCTACAGAAGATGGGCGGATCAAGTGTACTTACACTGGCCAGTTTTGAGCAGACGGGTGAGCATTTATTCACAGCGAGTTATTCCGGGTACGAGGACCAAATTAACGGTGTAAGTGAGTGCATAATCAGTGGGCAAAGAATTCCGATTGGCACGGGCTCATTCAAAATTCTATTTGACTGCAATACAAAAAAATAAATTATCTATTTATAGATTTATAAATTTAAACTATTTCCATATTAGGTAATACTAATTTCCTATTTAATAAAATAAGCTTCCACTAAAACTATAAATATGAAGTATTTTTTATTTAATATGAAATTAGTATTTATTACTTCTGTGGTAGGGTATTAATTTAACATTAAGAATTATTTACACAATGTATCATAAGTAATATTCATTTATTTATTCGGGTTATATCGGGTTATGTAAATTTACTTAATTTAGAATATTCCAATTATAATTATATCATGTATAACTAAATAATTGAAATTTCAACCCATGAATACCCCAGAAATAATCCAAAACCAAGAAAACCTCTATGGAATACCTCCACCACCGTATGAAATAGCCGTTACACTAACAAATATATCGTACACGTACACTCCACCACCTAATTATCATGATATAGTCAGTGGTTATATCGATCCACGCCCATCCATTAACCTTAATAATATACTGCCAAATATTCAAGACGAGTTCAGTCACATTAATGACCCTGAGTGTACCACTGTAACAGTAAATAACCATGTGTATTATGATATATCCGGTATGACCATGTTACTAATATATAATATACCACTGTATATAATAGGACCGTATATATATACAGTACTATTTAATCATATATCAGCTATACTTAATACAGGCACTAAAACATTCCCATTAGGATTAGATTATAATGATACTTATATTATACTATCATACGGTGTATTACTTATATTCTACTTAATTATACGGTCGGTTATTATGTTTATATTAGGATATTTCAGTTATTTATCTATATTTAACATAAATATATCTGCTAATTTATCATTTATTACTAATATGATTATAATCATAATGAATATATTCATAATACGTATTATATATATGATATACAGTATATGTGATATATCATATAATATGTATATACAGTATATTATACTATTAATAGTATACAGTATAATATTAAAGTATTACATATATAATATATACAAGAATATAGCCAAATACAGCATATGTAATAGGAGACTAAATAATAGAGGACTAAGTAATGATATGAGTGTGTATACTAGTAGTAATATAGATAGTAGTAATACGATGGGTAGTACTGTATATGATACAAGTACAGGTAATACTGATACTGATAGGTATACTAGTGGTACTGTATATACCACTGATACATCTGATACATCTGATACATCTACTTATATTATTAATGGTATTATTAGTATAATACGTATACTGATTAATATACTAGGTATAATTGGGTGTACTACTCTTATATATGATATAGTATACTGTATATACAGTATATATATACTTAATTGATTTTATATTTAGGGTATGCGGTATTTAATAAATCCCCATCTAAGTACTCTATGCATGTGACAGTGGTTAGTGTACCCCTTATTATAGGTATTATACTTAATAATACTCCCATACCGAATACTAATATAGCTGTAGTGTAGTCACTATATTTAGTACTATTCATATTTATAAATCCATAGTATAGTATACATGATAATGTAGTATATATAATACTGAATAATAAAGGGAATACTCCCACTGATATTAATCTGTTATAATAATTACTACTCTTGTATGCACTTAATTGGTCTACTGCTAATTTCATGGATGTACTATACTTTGTACCGTATAATGCATTATACACTAATGCATATCCATTTAATTGGTCTATTGTTAGTGATAATAATTCCAGTATAATTAACACTATAAACCCAACAATCAGTATAAGGAGTCTAAGTGCACTATTGTTCCTATTACTATCACTCCTTGACTCTATGAAATTCTCACTGATTTCTTGTATTATGTATACTACTGCCCCTAATAATGATGCTATAAATATAGTACCCGTTGATAATATTACTCTACTTATACTTACTATAAGTACATTCTTATGGAGACTTTTCGGGTTTACTTTATTAAGTAAGTGCTGGTGTACTAATTTTGAGTATAGTACGTGTATACTGTTCCTTAAGTAAAATACTATTAGTGCTACATTGAATACAATATACGTCACTCGCACTAATGTAGGTTATCTGATAAGTTTACTGTCTTAAATGTGTGTACATCGTATATGTTTAATGTACTAATAACTGATACTGCTATGAATAACCCTGTACATATTGATAGTGTACATGTGGCTGTATATGGTGATATATTCTTTAGTATAATTGTTGTACCTAATTTTAGCATATTCTGTATATAATTAATATGCTTGATTGTCCTGTATAACATAAATATCGTTAACACTAATGGTATAACCAGTATAAATGCCAGTATAACATTTTGATTTTGTAATGATACGTATATTCCGTATATGGACGTACTAATTAATAGTAAATAATTTATGTATATCATAAGTTTAGTGAAATATTTATATAATAATATTACTACTAATGGTATTATATATAATATACTTATTATACTAATGAATAATAGGAGTATTCGTGGTGTTATTGTGTCTATTACTTTATACACATTTATGCTTATGTTTTGGTTATAATTTGGTTTACTAATTAGTATGGTTATAGTCATAAATATTAGTAAGTTACATATGGCTATGAATGCCATTGGTATATCTGTGAATCTATTACTGGTTTTAATTTTGGAATTGTATCCGTGCACTATATTCTGCATAAAATTTTTATTTATTTTTTATTTATATACTTAGAGTATTAATATTTATTGGTTATTGTATCAAAAGTCATGATAATTGGTGCATTTATTAATGTGCAATAAATAATGCATTATGTGTAATAATAAGTATACTATGTGTAATAAGTATTAATAAGTGTAATAAATAATGCATTATGTGTAATAAATAATGTATATTGTGTGATAAGTAATAATAAATGCACTATGTGTCATAAGTAATGTATTATGTGTAATAAGTATTAATATGTGTACTATGTGTCATAAATAATAAAATTAAATGTATATTATGTAATAAGTGGTATAATGTTAAGTGTATAATAATAAGTATACTATGTGTAATAAGTGGTAATAAGTATACTATGTGTAATAAGTATTAATAGTAAGTATTATTTATTGTACTATGTGTAATAATTTATTCAAATATATAATAAGTTGGTCTTATATAACCAAATAATGTCTCTCTACAAATATATGCAGAACTTATTAATATAAACATAATAACTAATAATAAGAATATAATTATTTCATTGTCTGTGTTTTTTATGGTATTTTTGGTTTTGCCGTTATTTTTATGTATTATTAAATTAATATTTTCCTTTTTAAGTAATTCTTCATTTTTTGTTGTTTTTTGTTTTTTTTCTTCAAAGTAGCTGTCATCTACTTCTATTGGCATTATATACTCACTTTCTGTATTAGTACCACTAGTTATTGGACTATGCGTAATATATTCTGTACAAGATGCAGTACTATCACCTTCTGTACTATGCATATTAAGTAATGCACTAGGCATAGTACTATCACTTATTACACTATTTGTATTATGTTCTATATTGCTATCACTTGTTACACTATGTGTATTATCTTCTGTAGTAAGTATATCTTGATTATTTATTACACTATGTGTATTATGTTCTATATTACTATCACTTATTACACTATGTGTATTATCTTCTGTGCTAGTAATAATTATATTTTCATTGCCGGTTGATTTTACTTTGTGGTCATTGTAGCTTATATTTAGTGCACTTAATAATTCTTCTTTAATTATCTTTAAAATATTTTCTTTTTTTAAGTTTAGTTCAGTACTTATTACACTATGTGTATTATATTCTGTACTGTGTTTTATTTTATTTTTTATTATAAAATATTCATGCAGTTCCTTATTTATTACACTATGTGTATTAATTATTGTCTCTGTTAATTTCTTCCTTACTGCATTTAATAGTATAAATAAATAAAGTGATTTATAATTTTTAATGTTAAGCTCATCGTCTGTTGTATTCTCTACTAAAGTTATTTCGTTTTGTGATGGGTGACCTTTTGTATATTTTAATATATAATTTGCTGGCTCCAATATATAAAAGTCTATTTTCTTTAACAGGCCCAATATTATAACAGGATTACTTAAATCACTGCAAGACAAATCAGTCAGTGAGTCAAATACATTATCACACAGGGACTTAACACTGTCATTGTTTACTCTGTAGACTAACCTATCCATAATAAAAAATTATTAGGTTTAAAATATTTATAATTAAAATATTGTCATATAAGGAAATACTTAATTAATTAAACAATATGTCTATATATGGAAATATAAAATAAAAAGTAATATTATTTATATATTATATTATAATTATTATTATTAATACAGTGTATAATAAATACTGTTATTATTATAATTATTATTATTAGTACAGTGTATAATAAGTAATATAAATATCCATTATTATTAATACATTGTGTAGTATATTCCGGGTCATCTGTATAATTATTAATACATTGTGTACTATATTCTGCCTCATCTGTATAATTATTAATACATTGTGTACTATATTCTGGGTCATCTGTATAATTATTAATACATTGTGTACTATATTCTGTGTTAAATAATTTATCTACCTCAGAATCTGTCATACCCTTCAGTTCTTTGATTATTTCATTAAATACATCTGTTATACTTGCTTGTATGAAGGATTTGAATGAGTCCCGCTCACTCTCTAGCTTGTTTATCCTGTTTATCACATGGGTTAAGCTGGGGTCATTACTTATGATGTTATGTCTTATATATTCTGCTATCTTTCCGTTTTCGTCGCACATTTTTTCGATTTTGTTTTTAGCGTAAAAATAAATAATGCAAAACTTTTTGATCATTGATGAATTATTAATATTAATTACATCTTGTGTCATAAGTCTTTTATTATTACTTATTGTGTAAAATATTCCATCACTAAAAATTTCATTATTACCAGATATAGTAATAATATTTATATTAATATTTTTTATAACTAATTTTAATATTCCCTCAATATTAATATTTTCATTATTAATATATTCCTTATACAGCACACAGAAGAAGTCTTCTGATAACCTCACTAACTTCCTGCTTACTACCTCACACGTGAACACCTCGGATTTACCCCCTTTAAATGTCCAAACCCTCATAAAAAATTTTAATTAAATTTTAATTAAATTTTATTTTTATTTTAATTAATTATTTCCTTATACAGAACCTTTAATTAATTATTTCCTTATAAAGATATAAACCATAATTTTTCAAATTTATTCACTCGTTTTAAACTGAGAAACCCTTAAAAGCATCTCAGTCCGCTTCCTGACAAGATCATCCTCAGGCACTGTGCTCACACTATTAGGTGACACCTCACACGAATTAACCATCTCAACAGATAACCCACCCTTCACAATAATCTTCGAATACTTCCCAATATCCTCCAATACAATCTCAGAAATACTTCTGTTCATGTCCTGAATGGCCTTCCACTTCTCAACTAACACGCTCGGATCAACTTCCCTGGGGTACTTCACAGCCCGATCGGCAATTTCCATGAGGTACTTGCTCTCAAAATACTTTGCATTGATTCGCTGGTACCTCCTCTTGACTAAATCATTCAGCATGCTCATGGACGTATCGTACTCGTACTGTAACTTACCCTTAATGCACTCAATTTCACCTTCAAACCCGGATATCTCCTGGTCAATCTGTGTGATGGCTGATTCTGCCCTTTTCATTACAATGTCCATATCAGTGCACTCAGTCACTTTACTCTTTAAGTCGTCACAGGCTTCAATGTACGATACCATCCGGTGACTGTGATGGGATACATTTGTACTGGTTATCCTGCACTGTATGCATACGGGCATAGTACAGTCCATGCAGAAGTAATCTATTACGACTGTTTTATGGTCTTTACAGTGCAGGAACCTTTTCTTACCGACTTGTTTAAAGTAGTGCACTGCATGTCTCTGTGTGAATGCATTACTGTGGAAGTATTTATCACAGTCACCACAGAATGCAGCCCTTTCTGCTATACAGAATGATATGGCTGGTTTATCGTTACAGTACTCACAGTGGTCATTATTCTTACTTTTATCTTCTAGTTTCTTATCGTATGTGAAGTGTACTTCTGCTATGACTAACACTCTGCTTATATCTGGTACTATATACGTATACGATGCGAGTGATTTAGACTTCTTATACGTACTTATGACTGATTCAATTACTTCTGGGTTATTGCTGATTATGAATGAGTCGTATCCATGGGGTGTCTTGCAGTTCATGGCATATTCTGATGATGTGAATAATGACGTACCCACGGCTATCTTACAGTACAATAACTTATGTGATGTATCCTCAGGGTTAATTGGTACTCCTAATAAGGGTGTGCTTATGGGAGTGTCTGCGGCTGGTGCCTGTTTTATAAATGCATGGATAATTTTCTGATTTTTATACTTCTTTAAGAACTGAAGGTGGTTCATCTGTGTGGTATCTGCTGTTTGTACTTTATCCACTGTGAGTGTCATTGAGTTCAGAAGGAATCTTAATTTGTATTCAATGTCTTCCATCCTAAACAAAAATATTTAATAAAAATAATTTAAATATATAAGAAATATATTAATATAAACCTATCAAATATAATACACAGTGTAATAAATAATAAAATATAATAGTAATAGTAGTATAAATAATAGTTATTTATAATATATAGTGTAATAAGTAATAATAAGTATACAATATAGTATAAGTAGTAATATAATATATAATATAGTATAAGTAATAATAAGTATAAATAATAAGTATATTTATTAATAGTGTATGCGTAATAAGTAATTATTTATAGTGTATAGTGTAATAAATTATAATAAGTATACAATGTATAATATATTATGGTAATTAATAGTATATGTATAATAAGTAGTAATTATTAATAGTATATGTGTAATAAGTAATTTTAAAGTAGACTTTTATTTACTGTAATAAACTGTTCTCCTTTCTGTGGCGTATGAAAGTGTACCCACCAGCACCAGCACCTGCAACTACTAATAACCCAAGGATTATTAAGTAATACTTGCGCATGCATGCCTTCTTCTTAGGGGCACTGTCACTGCTTACTATTGGTTGTACATCTGATTCTTCTCTGGGTACATCTGCTTCTAATTCCTTAAAGGACTTCCCTACAACAGATGATAGAATTCTGGGAATTCTCTGTCCTAGACTGGAAATGATCATCTCACACATTAAAAAGGCCTGTTTTGAAGAACTGTTCTTACTGGACTCTTCAGAGATCTTCTCAATCTGTGTTATGCTCTCATTGCTAATGTAATTATCAATTGGATCGTGAAACTCCTTGGCTTCATTATCCACATAGATCTTTAATAGGTTAATCCCATGGTTTACACCAATTATGGACTTGTACACATTTAAGAACTCAGTCACTGTAGTAATCGTATCTGATGATTCATTAACTAATACTTCCACGGAATTCCTGATGGATTTAATAGTGGCTATCTCTAATTTTAATGATACGCTTGGTTTTAACTCCTTTACAGCTATTTTCTTAAGTTCCTCACTGGATTTCTTTAAAGTCTCCTTCTCCTTCTCTGAGAATAAGAACTTTACACTCCTAGCTGACTTTATATACGCTGGAATGAGTTCATCAAGATATTCAAGTACTATTGCTGATTTAGCCTTATCAGATATAAACCTAATCTGTGTAATGCCCTCTACTTTACGACTGAATGATTTGTTTAAAACCGGACATAATTTACACTCGTTGTTATCCATGCTCAGAAGCATTGAAACAATCTCGGGAGTGTACAGATCTACTTTCTTGCCACTTAATTTCTCATCTGTCTTAAGATGGGCAATCTTTTGTACATAAACAATTGCTGTTATAAGGTTGGATAGTTCACCTGCTAGTGAAGCAAGCTTATCCTTGTCTTCTTTTGAAGAACCATTTGCTACAACAGTAGAGATATATAAATTCATCTGACCAATATTCTTGATTATTCTTCCAAATCCAGCGAGGGCTTCTTTCTTCTCCCTGTTCGCTGAGTCTACAGATGTATTCATGACTGAATCCCATTCAGATGTGAACATTCTACTGTATACACCAGTGACTATAGAAAATGGGAGTAGTACTGCATTCTTAATCCCAACGGCACCGTAATAAAGAATGTTCATTATCTTAGAACTCTCTACATCTTTAAACCCGAACCATTTGGAAAGATCTTCTTCTTTAAGCCCTACAATACTCATGTCTAATTCTACACCATCAGAACCCGTCAGCTTGGATAGTTTTATATTGTTGTCTTTAATAGGTCCTTCAATTTTATCCTCTGTAATACTCCTGTCAATAGCTGATAATAATTCACCAACATAATTCTTAAGTTCAGTAATACCCTCTTTAACCTTGTCAGTTACTGATTCTTCAGAATTAGTCTCTTTAGAGGCTACCTCACTCATCTTAGATATAAACTCATCATACTTCTTATTGCTTAACCCTATAACAGAATCTAACTTAAACTCATCCTCTAGAAGTACTTGAATAGTAGCATAGTCAGTCTCCTTAACATACCCTTTTATCTTAGAGAATACATTATATACATCTGAGAATTCTGTCACTTTCTTGTACTCAGATTCATCTAATTTAAGTGCTGTCTTCACTATATTGCCCTTAGTGAAATCTGTTGACTGTGCGAATTTGGCTGTGCTTATGGGCGTACCACTAGTTATCTGTATATGAGAAATAATTGATTTTAATTTTTCTTTGAGGATAGAAAAAAATACAAATTCTGAGAATTCCTTGGCTTTCAATGTGTGGCTATCAGTGGATTTAGTCATATATGACTCAAATTTAGTTAAATATGACAGAATATCCCCTTTCTCTTCTAATCCTAAGTTACTACTTAATAAAACCGACTTAATTTCATTAATAAACTTAGTGTACTCTTGTGAATCTTTTTCATCTTGTTCATTATGCTTGCCTGGTCCGTATTTAGTAAATCCTATAAGCCTACTGTCATTAGCATCAAATGGGGCTTTGATTGTTTTCCATTGCGATACTTGCTCATTTCTTATTTTAATTAGAGTGGGTGCTGTGGTTTTTACGAACTCTTCATAGGACTTCTTCTTGTGGCTTGCATCTTTAAGTTTCTTTCCTATTCTGTGTAATTTAGACAGGTTTTGCTCTAGTTCTGAGTTCTTCTTGTCTTTATTTGATGGTTTTGCTTGTTTGCTGAATTCTTCTGCTTTCTTGATTAGCCCATCTGCATTAGTAACTAATTCATCACTGAGTGATAAAGTGGTTGTTTTTGCTGTAGTATAATCCTTATGCAATTTTTCAACTTCTCTGTATATTGTGTCTGCTTTAGTCTGTATATCACTGTTGATCTGTGGGTTATTCTCTTTTGGTGCATCCTTGCATGCAAAAGAAGCTAAATATCCAGAACATAATAATAATATAAACGTGTGTACTTTCTTCATGCATGTACTGGATACAATCATATTTATACTTATTATTCACGGAGAAGTACTCCTTTATTTTACGATTATAACCATTAAAATTAATCACTCGTTATTTTAACCATATAAATCAGTTGATATTAGACCAATCAGTATAAATACCAATCATATCACATACTGTACGGGATAACCAATAAAAATCACGTAATTATTAACAAATACGTGTAAATATTGAATATTATGCAGTATAATTGGTTGTTGCACTGTATACACACAGTATTACACGAATACCAGCTGAATACATCTGATTATAGCATAGTTATAAGATACTCGGATTATCCCATGATTTAATTAAATTTCAGCTGATTTCAGTTGATTTTTAAACCCTTCACAAATTATTTTTATTATTACAGTGCATGTACACTTTCATTCACATAAAAAATAAATAGTACTGAAATATACTACACATCACATAATAAATAATATTAATGCACATAATATAATATACATTACGTAATATATAAGTTATATTTTATACTACTAATACATAATAAATAATACATATTTTATATTACACATTACATAATAAATAATATTAATGCACATAATATAATATACATTACGTAATATATACTAGTTATTTATTACACATTGTGTATTATATACTGCATATTTATTAAATATAACTTTCTAATAAATCATTAATAAGTACTAGCCATGCTTTTATTACTTAGCCTGTCGTACCACAGAAGAAATAAATTTCGTATTAACCCGTCCCATTTTACTAATAGAAGTATCCCCACTCGTAATCCTGTACCCCTCCTGAGACATCCCCACACGCACAGGCGTAATCTGAAAGACATGCTCTTCTACTGAAGACCCCACAGAAATACGACCAGTCAAGTGAAGGTACATCTCATTATTTACAATACGCAGTTTCCCATTTATGTATCTACAATTACCCGCTGGTAAAATATTCGGAATTTGTAGGAGGACCCTGCTCCCTGGGCATAAAACACTCGCACACTCAGATACCCCCGTACTTTTAACCGCATTAAGTATTTTATTCACCGTTAATGGAGAATCGTCTACCATTTCCAGATGGTCATCAGTTATTTCCTCAGAGTTATTCGCAGAGAACAGGAAGGGTTTTGACTCTTTCTCGCCCCCCATAAGAGTCACTGCCACCGGTGCCTGTGGATGCTTAGACGGTTTTACATGCCTGGGAGTGACCTCCTTCCTTCGGACTTCATTATGCGGTGGTGCTGTGGGTGTGGATGCAGGCTGTTCTTCCAGTGGCCGGGTGGGCATCTTTGGCTCGAATACTAATTTCTTCTTTCCACCAAGTGTTCTTTTATCCATTTTTTGTAAAATTTTTATGGCATACCACGGAATAACAAGCGTAGAACAAATTCCCGTTGAGGAGGACATAAGGAGGGAGAAGGAATTTAACCAGGCAACCACGCAGTACGCAGAATTACTGCAGAAACTCTCGTATGCACACATTCCACTGATTATTCACCCCGGGAAGAGGGTCAAGTCAAAAAAAGAAATGCGGCAAATAGAGGAAAACTTAACGGAATCAAGAAAGCCCCAGAAAGTAACTGCATTTAAACGACCATCAAGACAAGAAAGAAGAAAGAAGTCACAAGTAGAAGAGAAAATAAAAAATGCACTCTCATCAGCAGAGGGCACAGATGGCAAGCCCAAACATAAAAAGAAAGAACGGGCAGCAGTAAAGAAGGCTAAAAAGCAAAGACTCGGGAAGAGTAAGCGACAGAAGATGTCTCACGCACAGTAAGCACCAGCATAATAAACAGACTGCCCAGTACCACCATAATAAAATAAAGCACACCTGCATTAGACAGATTTATTTATGAGAAGTAGTGCAGGCTTGCCTTCTTAGTGGAGAGTATTTCCTGTACGCCATCTATCAGATCATTCTGGGTTATCATGTTCCGACCGGCTCTTAAAGCGATCATCCCTGCCTCTACGCAGACGGCCTTGCACTGTGCACCATTAAACCCTTCTGTTGACCTGGCGAGTTCTTCATGGTTCACATTCGGGTCCATCGCCATTTTCCTGGAGTGAATCTGAAGGATCCTCTTCCGGCCCTCTTTGTTCGGGAGGGGGAATTCTATCTTCCTATCAAACCGACCGGACCGTAAAAGTGCCGGGTCGAGTATGTCTATCCTGTTAGTGGCTGCAATAACCTTTATATTAGGCGTACCAGAGAACCCGTCTAATTGGTTCAGTAGTTCAAGCATGGTTCTCTGGACTTCCCTGTCCCCGGTGCTGTCGGAGTCACTCCTTTTAGTGCCGATCGCATCTATTTCATCAATGAAAATAATCGCAGGTGCTTTAGCACGGGCCAGTGCAAATGCATCCCGGACCAGTTTGGCACCATCTCCTATATACATCTGGACTAACTGTGGACCAGCTAGTTTTAGGAAAGTGGCCCCTGTCTTAGCAGCACACGCACGTGCCATTAAAGTCTTACCAGTCCCTGGTGGACCGTACATGAGAATCCCCTTGGGTGGCACGATGTTTAACTTCTTGAACTTCTCCGGGTGAGTTATTGAAAGAATCACTCCCTCATAGAGTTCCTCCATCTGCCGCTCTAACCCGCCAATATCTTCATACGAATCGGTTGGTTTCTCATCTAACTCCATGGCCTTAACCCGAATGTCAAAGTCATCATCCAGCTTCTCAAAAACAATATTCGTCTCTTTATGCAGGGCCACTAAGTCCCCGGGCTTTAGCTCCTCAGCAGGAACCAGACCAACAAATGGAAGGAATGAAGTGACTCTGTTAGAAGTCTTCACTACAGCGCACAGACCCTGCTTGCTGATGGTCTTGTCCACATTTGACCCTTCTTCAACCTCTTTCTTCTCTGTGTCTAAATCAAGCACTTCCACCACATTCCCCACTAGAAACGGCAGTTGCTTGTTTAGCTCTATCTTCTGCATGTTCTCCTGTATCTTCTCTCGCTTTGCTTCAAAATCGTATGTCACTGCGGTTAAATGGCTTTTTAACATCCTTATCTCATTTTCTATCATTCTTGTTTTACTTTTTATGCCTTCAACACTCTCCGTGAATATTTCCGGGTGCGTCTCCTGGAGGGTCCTCAAGGATTCTTCTTCGCTCATAAATAAATAGAAATAATGAATTTTATTTATGCGTATACAATAAAGGGCACTCGATGGGATAAAAGGCAATAAAAGTGTGGGATCAGATGGCCGAGCGGTCTAAGGCGCTAGATTAAGGCTCTAGTCTCTTCGGAGGCGCGGGTTCGAATCCCGCTCTGATCATATTTTTAAACTTCTCATGCGAAAGAAATAAAATGAATAATTTTTTGCTGGGCAGTAAAATAAATGCACACGTCAAGTAGCCTGCTGGAGCTAGCACAGAACCTTACGGCTGTAGACCAGCCTAAACAGGAGATATTTTTAGACACGGCGATTGAGGTGGACTCATTCGTAGAATCAAATGACGGATACAATACAGTACGGCATACGGCCATTATACCAGAAGACTTTGCGTATAGCACACTGGCAGACTCGAATATTCCGGTGCAGTGCACGTACCCATTCAAACTAGACAAGTTCCAGGAACTAGCACTGCAGTGCTTGGAGCGGGATGAAAGCCTGCTGGTGAGTGCGCATACGAGTGCAGGTAAGACATTAGTGGCAGAGTATGCGATACACCTGTCAATCCAGAGGAAGCAGCGTGTTATATACACCTCCCCGATTAAGGCACTCTCTAATCAGAAGTACCGAGAGTTGAATGAGAAGTTTGGGGATGTAGGGCTTATGACAGGAGACGTAACCCTGAACCCGGACAGTACGTGCATCGTGATGACCACAGAAATATTGCGGAATATGATTTACCGGGGGACTGAGATCCTGCGGGAGACGCACTTTGTTGTTTTTGATGAGGTGCACTACATGAGAGACAGAGAAAGGGGAGTGGTCTGGGAGGAGACAATTATTCTCCTGCCGTCTACTATACGGTTTATATTCCTGAGTGCAACCATTCCGAATGCAGAGGAGTTTGCACGGTGGATTGTTTCCATACACAAACAGCCGTGCCATGTGATATACACGGAGAAGAGGCCCACCCCACTGGAGCATTACGTATACGTAAATGCCCCTGGGAAAGCGAGTGTTATTAAACCAGGCGGGCAGTTGAAGAGTATTAGCGACCAGCTGTTTGTTATGGTGGATAAGGACGGGGCCTTCCAGTCAAAAAACATTGCACGGATACAGCAGAGACCGGCTGGGAGTACGGGATACACCAGGAGGAGGGAGATGATTAATGTTGTGGATATACTGCGTATACTGAAGAGCACAAACAACCTGCCAACGATCATCTTCTCATTCAGAAGAAAGGAGTGCGAGGTGTACGCCATGGTGGCAGAGAAAGAGTTCGACTTCAACACAGAAGAGGACAAGGAGATGATTGACACGATATTCACAAATGCCCTGACCACTTTAAGAGAGGAGGACAGAAAGCTTCCACAGATCCTTGGTTTAAAGGCCCTTCTCCTTCGGGGGATAGGCGTGCACCACTCGGGGCTCATGCCGATTGTTAAGGAAATCATTGAAATCCTCTTCCAGGAAAACCTTCTTAAAGTGCTGTTTGCAACGGAAACCTTCTCAATTGGGCTGAACATGCCGGCTAAGTCGGTTATTTTCACGAGTATTAAGAAGTTCGACGGAGTCCAGACAAGATTCATCACGAGTGGTGAGTACATTCAAATGAGTGGCCGTGCAGGGAGGAGAGGCACCGATAAGATTGGAAATGTAATTCTGGCGCTTGAGTCTACGCTCACCCTCAGTGAGAAGGAAATCAAGAAAGTACTCCACGGCCCATCAAACACCCTGGACAGTGCATTCAAGCTTTCATACAACACAATCCTAAACATCCTTAGACTCGACGGGATGGATGAAGACCACGTGATAAAACACTCATTCCTGCAGTTTAGGTACGAGATGAGGGGGAAGGCCCTATACTTGCTCATGCACAAGTACATCGATGAGCTAGGCAGAGTCACACGAATATTTGACCAGGAGACAGTGGGAATGAAGAACACTGAGCACATTAAAAAATACTGCGATATAAAGCAGCAGGAAATCAACTGCAGGAAAGACTGCACGCCCCCACAGGCAACTCTTAACAGGGTGCTAGTGCCAGGGAAGATTGTGGAGGTTGAAGTCAGAAGACCAAAAGTGAGAGAGATAGGGAGAGAAATAACCGTGGAGTACCCAGATGTAGTTATGGGGGGAAGTAAAATTCTTGCCATAATCATGGAGCGAGCAGACGATAACCTTGTTCTTATGACAGAGGAGGAGAGTATTATTGAAGCAGAAGTGTCCTGTATACGAAACATCGCAAAGACCTCTCTGGAGATAAAGGCAAAGAAGTCAAAGAGTAGATTCTTCCGGGAGTTCTTCAACGAGTCAAAGAAGAAGAACAAGCAGCTGCTGGAAACACTCGCATTCTACACACCAGTGGAATTGGGAATCCCTGAAGAAATGGCAGCCATCGCAGATAAGTTAGAGAAAGCAGCAGAGTACATATACGACGGGTACATACGCCCACTTAACCCACTGGATAAGGACAGGGTCTTTAAGCTCATGGATATGCTATTCTACACACACGAACTCAGAAGGAAGATAGAGTCCCTGGCCAAGGAGAAGGAGCAGACTAGACTGGTCATGATAGAGGAGTACAATAATAAGAGAAAGATCCTCCAGGCACTCTTTTACCTCTCACAGAAGGAAGTGCTGATTAAAGGGAAAGTAGCCAGTGAAATAAGCAGTGGTGATGAACTCCTCCTCACAGAAATGCTCTTCAACAACGAGTTCAGTAAACTCTCCCCAGGGCGTATTTGCTCTCTGCTCAGCTGTGTGGTGTTTGATGATAAGTCAGATAAGATAACACTCACCCCAGAATCAGAAAGTGCCCTGAAAATACTCACACAGACAGTTGACAGGCTGGTCACTGAGTTTGAGCGGCTGGACATGAACTTCAAGGCAAAGGAGTACACAGAGAAGTTCTGCTGTAATCTAATGGATGTAGTGTACAGATGGACAGAAGGGTACAGTTTCGCAGAAATCTGTGAGACCACAGAAGTATTCGAAGGGAGTATCATCCGGTGCTTCAGACGGCTTGAAGAAGTCCTTAAGGAAATGTCCCGGGCTTCAAAGGTTATTGGCAATGTGGAGATGGAGAACAAGTTCTCTGCGGCTATTTCACTGGTTAAGAGGGACATTGTCTTTGCTAACTCCCTTTACTTGTGAAGTAGTGCACGATCGCACTGTATGCTTATTATAATAATGTACGCCTGCGACTGAGTGGGCGTATTACAGTGCACTGATCGTATGCTTATTATAGCCTAAATTCAGAGGGAGTTCGTATTGCTGGGTTAGTACGACAGTTCTGGTGGTACTCAGGTTATTAAGTGCTTGTATACCACGTATACCATAATCCGGGCGTATTTCAGGCATGCCTGAATAATTCGAGTGGGCTTATGGACTGTGCACGGCCGGGATGGCGTATAAATAGAAATTGCATCTAAATAAATCTGGAATAACTTAATTATAGATTACCCAATGTGGAAATTTACTAAATATAGATTAAATATCTAAATAAGGAAACTAATAACGGTTTTTATTTTACAGTACACTCATGGCGTACCCTGCTACGTATTTAAAAATATTCAGAAAGGCATTTTGCATAACCCGAATAACCCGGAATGTATCCATGCCGTGCAGTATAAATAGACATAAATACTTGTACATAAAATCAGTCCCAGGGCATACTTCCACTGTAAAAGGTCTCCCATCACAGTTTACTATTTATATTTACAGAATAATAATTTTATATGAATGAAAGCATAATAAATAAGAGTGGAAATAAGAACTGCGTATTATGCGGGGGTAAAAACCCTAGCTGGGGCTGTTTCCCATTTGGTGTTCTAACGTGCACAAAGTGTGCTGGTGGAATAAGGGAGCTTGGCACGGACGTGTGCAGTGTTAAGTCACTCCTGCTGGATACAGTAGATGACAAATTCTTAGAGCCATTCACCACGGGAAACAATGCAGTATTCCTCGACTGGTACAGTAAAAAGTCCAGAGAAGACCTTTCTGCAGCCTTTTTTAAAACATCCCTGGCAAAAGAGTACGCGAAAGAGTTGAAACAAGGCAAAGTAAAGGAGAAGACTGCATCAAGTGCCCCTGCGATTACACCAGGAAACATTTCAGCACCAAAGAATTCGCAGAAGAAGACCCAAAAAAAGTCCAAGTTAAGATTTGTCACTGAAGAGGACGAAGAAAGTGCAGGGGAAGAACAAGAAGAAGAAATTTCAACGGAGAAGGAAAAAGAGGTTTCGAAAAAAAAACAACCATCCGGCGAGTCCCAGGGAAAATATTAACAGACGACCCAAATGCGATTTCCAGGCTGGGGATGTTTAAGAATGTAAAGGGAAAGGACACAGCAGGAGACGTAGCACACACACACCCAGGGACACCTTCCATACATAAAACATCCAGCAGGAACTATTCACGGGTCATAACGGGAGAGGGCGACCGGGAGGCATCTGCACAGACCGAAATAATAAAAGGTAAAAATTTTATTGGGAGTGCTTCAACACCAAAAGAAACAGTCACAGACCGCCTGAAGAATAGCTTAGAAAAGGGCAAGAAGTCTCTTTTAAATACATTTAAGAAATAAACCATGATTTCCTTAGTCCTTCTCTTGTATTCCTAGATTATTCAGTACTCTTCTCTTTAATTCTGCATACTCATTTATAAGACTCTCACTGAGCTCTTCTGGTTCTCCCTCCTGCCGTATGGTTTTAAGTAAAGAAATGATCTTCTCAGAATTCCTTTTTCTTTGATAACTTGTTTCCATGACCTTTCTGAGGATGTCACTGATTTCTTCTTCGTACTCTTTCTTCTTATCCATGGCGTGTAAATTTTTTGGGGGCACTGGAAATAAAGGCCAATTACGGGCGTGGTATACTGTACAATTATTTATGGGTTTAGTGGGTGTGTAAGCGTGCTCTGAATTCGGGTTATGTCGGGTTATGCCTGATGATTATACCGCACTACTAAGTCTCCTTGTCTTATTCGTTATGTAGTGCTTTGTCCCATTCAGGCCGTAGCCCATTGCAGTATTCTTTAGGATGATGTATATGGAGATAAGACCAGCAAATCCTGCGAACAGAATACTGCAGTACTCAGATGTTTTGAACTGCCTGTCCGTTAATTTACTAATTACAGGTGGGCATACGGTATACGCCATGTTAATAAAACACGAGAGCAGGGACAGACCTATACCCAACTTATTCGGGGACAGGAGCAGGGGAAAACACGGCCAGTGACAGGCCTGTAATCCTGCAGCAATTCCCAGGAGTACTGCAGGGATATAGTACACAGATACAGAGAAGAATATCAAACTGTGCCCGGATATAAGAAAAATACACCCCAGGCATATAGACGTAAGTCTATGACCGCACTTGTCCGTTATTATGCTTATGGCTATCGCAGATACTAAAGTGACCAGTTCCTGTAGGGCAAGCATTTTAGTGGCCCGCCTTGAATCAATGCCAAGCCGTACCTGTAGAATTGCAGAGTTATTACTGGAGAATATCGATACAGAGCACGCCAGAAGTATCCCCATCAGAATAAAGAATGGGAGTAAGTGGTGTACTTCATCATCACCAGAGAGTTCTGTAGACGTATCCCACTCTAAGTCCCATGTTTTATATATGTAGAAGATTAGCAGGCCACCAATCCAAATGAATGCGGTAGAGAAGAGAGAGCACTTAAATATACCCCACTGCTCAATAACCGACCCAAATAAAAAGTATACTAGAATAGATCCAAGCCGGCCTATTGCTAGGTTTATGCCGAATATGCGGCCGTGTTCGTGCGTATGGAATATAGATGCAAGAACTTTACTCTGCACAATTGTAAAACTCTCTCCACCCAGTCCAATAATAAACCTTCCCGCTAGGATCCACTCAAATGTCTTCATGCCCACACCAATGGTCGTCACAGTCTGCCCCAGCACAATGAGTGAGTACGTATACAGTAAAGTATGCTGCTCCGGCTTCCCAGATAGATTAAACAGCAGTGGTAGAAGCAGATTGGGAAGGGCATACGCTGAGTATAATAAACTGTGGTACCTGGCATATCCCGGTCCAAATATCTCCTCTAACCCCGTATACATCGGCGAGGGACTGTCATACGCAAAAAAGAAGAAAAACAGAGAAGCCGATGAAAGTATAAAAAATGCAAATCTGGCAGAGATGACTCCCTTTAAATTCTTCATGAAACACCAGAAATTCCCGAATATATTCTTAAAAATCCCAAACCTATTTATGTTTTATGTACTCTTATTACTTTAATTATTCTCTTACAATTTCTTAACCAATTCCCTAACTTGTTTTATCTGCTGGTCAAGGAGAACTGCGGACTTCTTCAAAAGAGAGGCAAACCTGGGCGAAGGCGTCTCCCCATTCAAGCACGCAGAAATATTAGACTCAATGAAATGGGAGAGTTCTTTAGGGGCCAGGCAGGCGTACGATGCATCCAGAAGGACAGATTCACTTGCATACTCACACAGTGCATTACCAACCAAGTACTTATCCTCTGTTATAATATGCTGTGGGAGCAGGAAGTTCAGGCATCCGCCCATTCGCATTAAAATATCCCTTTCACAGACGAGGAATTCTTCTTTACTGTACGCACCATCGCATACGTCCACGTACGCCATGAGACTCCTGGACTTGCACGCCATTAACTTATTCGCAATAAATAAGCTGACTGCCCCAACTAACTGATACTTTTCTTTAGGGAGTGCTGTGATCAGGAAGTACTTGTCTGTTATTCTTACTGCCACTTGATATATTGAACTGGCTAGTTTATAGTCTACCTTTACATCGTACATCCACTCTAGAAGGGTCTGCCGCATTTTCATTGTTATTTGTGACTTTCTGCTTTTTATGCCCACTTGCATGCTCTGTGAACACTCTCCTCTGTCCTTATACTCCTCTGTGCTAATGTCAATCTCATCAGAAGAACTCTCGCTTGCTCTGCACGGCCTCTTCACAGCAGATATCTTTGTTGCTTCTCTTGGATACTCCTCATACTTTCTTCTTTTTATGGAGGACCCTTTCTCTCCTGTTATATTATGGGCTTTGAAGATGTCCTGTACCGGAATCGAAAAGAGGGCATCCTCCGGGAATCTCTCGCTCTTTCTGTTACAGTACAGTCGGTTTATTAGGGAAGAATTCACGGCAGATGGCGCTGGCTTATCCGTGGATGTGAATATTCCGCGTATCTCCTTTATGGAAGATTTATTCTCCCGCATGATACGGTCCTCTACTTCCGCATAAAGAGTCATCCCCTCTACTTCCTCATACTTCCGGCCTATTTCCTTTGTATGCGATAAAACTCTGTTTAGGTGCTTATAATACGTCTCTGCATATTCTAAGTACGCTGCTAATATTTCCCTCCGAATCGGCTTTTCCTCTTTTTTAATTGTCACCCGTATGTTTGTGTGGCATATGTTTGTGATGTCCTCCAGAACTCTTTTTAGCATGCTTTAAATTCTTTGCTTGGTTATATACTTGCGATAAAATGGCGGCAAATTGTTTCATTTTTTCATGGTTATGCTAACGAAGAGAAGAAAACAGAATATGATAAAAATTATTTCTCTGGCTGTGCTAAGCACGATCGGAATATTATTTTCACGGATTCCACCGTTGTCACTGGCAGAATTCAAAAGTGTACGGCCTAATATGGCTTACCACCCATCTGAGACCGTTGAGTTTAAATACATTCTACTGTCCGTTGTGTTTTTACTTCCTGGGTTTATGTTTATAGTCAGCAGAGCCGGGAGTAGAAAGTTAGGGGGTGCTGGTCCGGTTCTAGATGCGTATTTGGGGTGTATTATTACATTTTTAATTACGGCTGTGATTAAATGGCTAGTTGGGAAGGAAAGGCCGGACTACCACGACAGACTCGCACAAAATTTATTGGTGCCGGCTGTTTTAGAAGGGAGAAGATCGTTTCCATCTGGGCATAGTTCGACTGTCATGGCACTGGTCTTTTATTTGGTATATGAAACAATTCTGTCCATTAAAAATACTCGGCAGTTAGTGACCAGAAGTATTTTAGTGTACGTCGGGGTTCTTGTGCCCATAACAGTCGGGTTATTCGTGTGTGTCAGCCGAATATTTGACAATAGACATGATCAAATTGATGTGGGCACGGGTGCTGCTCTGGGCGTATTTGTTCCATTTATAGTTAGTAGAATACTATTAGTCAGGGGAAAAAAGAAGCATCTGAATAAAATTATAGAAGAGAGTGCGCCCAGTATAGAAAGTGGATAAAATGGGTGTACTATTACTAACTGAGTATATAATGTACACAGTTATTATCAAATAGATTCTTTATGTAATATAAGGAATAAACCGTACTAATAATAGTACTGAACAGTTTTGTGAGCTACACAGAAGTCTAGCCGTATATACGCTTATTACAGCATAAACCACTGCTGTGGGTGTGTGTGGCTATGTACTTGAAATAAAAATTTATGTTCCAAATCGGGTTATTCGGGTTATACAATATTTTACAGTGGGGATGAGTTTATAATGTACTCAGACTGGTCTAATAGTGCATTATATGCCGTGTACATAAACTATGTAATGAAATTCGGGTTATTCGGGTTTGAATGTTTTTGTGCCCGGTACTTCTGGTGTACACCCGTGTGTAATAATGGCAGAGGTATGAAATTATTCAGTATGCACGGAGTTTGACGGGGAGTGTGCGAGTGCGAATGTTTTTCGTGCTAGGAGTGTAAACAAACAATGCAAAGGTTTCTGGATAAGGTGGACACAGCAAGTGCTAAAATAGAAGCCTGCAAAGACGACTTAGCAAGAATGAACGATCTAACCCGAAGGGTAAGCGGTGCTTCAGAAGAAAAAGACTCACAGAAGCTAAGGAATAAACTTGAAGTTCTTCGGAATGACTTCATACAGAACATCTCTGAAGTGAAAGAGGCCATAACACAAATAAAAAGAAAGTCCTCAGGGAGTACACGGCATGAGTCGTACACTAAACAGCAGCAAGTAAAGTCTCTTGTAGAAAGAACCAAAAGGATCATAGAAGAGTTCAGCACAACGCAAAGTGAATTCAGCGCAGAGGAAAGAGAAAGACTCAAGTCACAGTACATCATAGCCAAGCCCACTGCCACAAAAGAAGAACTTGAGTCAGTGGAGTACAGCGAGTCCCCGAAAATACCCTTCCTAAAGTCTTCAGGGAAAAGTGCAGCTGATGAAAGGAAGAAGAGTGTTAAGCACATATCAGAAGGAATCCAGAATGTAATGAAAATGACCCAGGACTTAAACCTGCTAGTGCATGAGAAAGACAGAGACGTAGATAAAATCGCAATACAAACCACACACGCAGAAGAAAAGGCTAAAAGAGCAGACAGCGACTTAAAAGCAGCAGAGAAGTACCAGAAATGGTCTCGAATGGGCAGGATGGCCGTATACTCCATTATAATATTCCTTATAGTACTGTTCGTATTTGTCCTATTCGGTGGGTTCATTTTCTTCGTAATTATTGCATATTTAAACTATAAGGCATCCAGGCCAAGCCGTGCGTCGGGTACGGATGGGTCAGATGGGCCGGGTGCAGATTCCTCCCAGAATACTTTTGGTAGTACACTTACACAAACCATTGGTGACTCTCTTGGACTGAATAATTCTAATCCACCCTCTAATCCTGGCTAAGTTTATCTTATACCTTGGATAATTTTGGTTAATTATACGTCTATTTATACTAATATTGGCTTAATATACTCATAAATCCTAATAATATACTCATAAATCCTAATAATGTACTAATTTCTTATTGGTTTCTCTTGATTTCTCTTGGTTTCGGGTTATTCGGGCTATTTCTCTCTTTAATTTTCTCTCTAATAAAAATATTTCTGTATTTATGCATTATTAAGCAGGCTTCCATGGAAATTTAAATTATAAATATCTGCGGACACTTTTATTTTTTATAAATTCAGGAGGAGAATTTTAAATATTAAATAATCCACTGGGACAGGCATAGAAATCTGATTTAGTATACAAAATATTAGAAAATCAGGTTATATCGGGTTATATAAAATAGAGTAAATACGTAAAGTAGTAGAAATGAGTGTAAAGCACTAATTTATTTCAGTTATTGCTGATTCTCTGAACTATTCTTACCAGATGTTTGATTTCTTCTGTTGTATATTTCCTTAGATGCTGTGTAGAGCAGATGCACATCACCTTTAAGCTCTTTTAAGCGGCCTTCAATTATTAGATAGTTAAAGTCCAGTGCCTTTATCTGAATTAGCCGATTACTGTACGAGTCGGATTTCTTTGATGCCATGGTTAGTTTTGCATACTTAAACAGGGTTACCTCGTACTCTTTTAACTTTACACTGGCATTCTCAAAAAGTGAGAAGAGCTTTTTCATGGACAGGTCAGACTTGCCGTGAATGGACTTTTCCATGTTAACAATATTCTTTGCTTCTTTGCCGACATTCCAGTTAATTGTGTCAACATCATGGATTATCCTCCTGTGATACTCTATGATTATGTCTATGGTGGCCTTTCTGCGGGCGATTGATGACTCATGGTGGTGTATCTTCTCCTCAATTGACAGCTCGTTATAGATGTTCGTGTGTGTGTCAATTAAATTCCCTGGCATGAAGTGGTTGGTGGTTTCCTTTACAAATGATGTGTACATCTGCTGCACCATATGTATAGTGAATAGTACACTTCTCTGCTGGTGCATGCTCTGTGTGACAATTTTATGCACAGTCAAATAGTCTTTTATACTGTATTTACAGAACCTGTAGAGGTATTTAAGTATCCCATACTGCTTTGGATCTATCCAGTTAGTCTGCTGGATAGACTTTGTTTTTGATACTTTCTGTCCCTCTGTAAGACACTTATACAGTGAGTATTCAACATCACTGAGTGACCCAAGTAAGTCCACAGTCAGTGACTTCCTGTTCAGAGAAAGAATTGAACATGCAGTCATGCAAATCTTCTCCTGCATTTTGTTAAACTCTGCAAACTTCCGCTGGAACTGGATAGACTCTAATTCATCAATAAGAGCAAACAGTATGCCGCCTATCTCTGATATCTTACAACTAATTTGTGTAAAGTGGTTCTGTAACGAGTTACACACTAATTCTCTTTCACCCTCATTTTTTTGCAGCTCCTCCCACAGGGCCAGGTAATTATTCCACAGACAGTTTAGCTCAATTACGCTGGCTTTTATATGCCCATTCTCAGGGAAGAATTCTAACTTACTCTCATACGATGCAAAGACTGGAGTAAGTTCTTGCTTCTGGCTTTCTAAGATACTGTTCCATCTCATATTCTCACATTTTTAAATATTATTCGGGTTATATGCTGTGCACCCATCTATTTGATGGCCCTGTGTGGCCCCTTTATATTTGACGTGTAAATCAATTCTGATGGGCCACATAAATGGTAAATTTTAGAGATAAATATTTATTAGCCTGTTTTAATTTTGCCGACATTCAGAACAACTTCCTTTATGGACTTGTCTGTTTTCACTGTTGCCTTAAAAACAGCACCCTCTCGTGAACCTTTTACTACATTTGAGAAGTACTTGAGGTGGCTGTGCTCAGGGAATCTTCTTACTAAAACCACTTCATTAAAGCTTTCTTTTGCAGTGCCACTTCCTGAAACCGTGTATTCTGAAGAAATAAAGCTTTTCTTTCCCACTAGCCTGCCAATTCCATCAGAGATGGTTTTTATGTCAATCTGTGCATTAGACAAGTCTTCATTTTCTGGGATTTCTTCTAGTTGTTTCTTACTGCACTCACTCTCATTAGATGCTGTGGTGGGTGTCTGCTCAGTATTTGGTACATTTACGTCCTCGGATAATTTAGTCTTTTTACTGGGGAGCTCGCTGGTCTCTAAAGATTCTGTCTGTTCGGTTGCTTCACTCGGCAGATCAGAGCACTTTCTCTTCCTCTCGGATGAATTTATTTTGCACGTGCAGTTCTTGCACTGGCCGGTACCGCATGTGCAGGATTCATCGATTGATGAGGTTATAGAATCAGCAGGAACTCTTTCTTCTGTGTGCTGTACTGCATGGCAGCTTGTATTCTCTTCTACTGCTTTACTCCCTTCGCACTCTTCTATACCACAGTGTTCTGCATTACACTCTTCATCTTCTCTCCTCTCACTTATTAGTACTAATAGATCTACTGTGTTTAGTCCAATTACTTCTATTTCTACTTCATCATCTATTTGAATGTCTACAACTTCACACTCTTTTATTCCAACCTCTAAATCTGCAATGGTTACTTCCTCTCCCTTGCGCCTCATTACAACTCTTGTTGGTTCCTGCCCTGTACGCGTGTCTGAGTCAGCAATGGATACATTAAGTACCCTGACTTGCTTAGACTCATTTATTATTTGCTTCGTACTCCCTGCGATCTGTATGGTCTTGTACACTGCATTTTCATCATCTGTAACTCCTTCAGCCTCATCCATTTCTAAGAAAAGAACATCTACCTCATTCTCTCCTTCAGTTCTTAACTCTACACGGACACCTTTTGTTAGTGGCAAGTTCAATGTCTTACTCTCCATCTTATTCGTCAGCAGATTACAAATAGTTGCCTCTTCTCCATCGATTGCAGCAATAAGACTGGATCTAATACTATCCTTGGCTACACACGGTGTGAGAGAGACTGACTTTATAATTGTGTCATTTTCCATGCTTTCTTGCACATAAATATTGTTTGGTCTAATGGTTAAGCTATGATACTTCATTTTTACTAAAAAAACAGAAAAAAAAAGAAGAAAAGGCTTTGCACCACAGCACAGCCCAAATCCAAATTATTATAAATTACCCATAAATACGCCCAATTATATCTATAACCATAAGCTAATCAATATTTATATTACTAAGCATAATAAGTATTTATGGCTATTTATGTATAATAACCCGATATAACCCTAATTTATACTCTAGTTAATCACATAGATGGCACTAATTAATATCACCAGTTCATTTATTAAATTTAAAAGTATAAATAGAAAATGCATACGAATTAAAATAAGAAATTTAAATATTATAATAACCCGACATAACCCGAAATAATAATAAATTATTATTAATGTATTATAATACAGAATATTCTATTATATGTCATGTGTAATTAATATAATAATATTATAATTATAATATTACATAAAAGGAAATTTCTGTTAATCAATAATTTAATATCATTATATTAATTACACAATAAACACGATAATAGGTATAGTAATTAAAGAATAACCTATAAATAGACCAAACACATTACATTTCTAATTATACAGCACAGGCCAAGTGTGACCAAGTATGACTGATACACAGAGCAGACCAATAGGCTGAAGGGGTGTATAAGCAGTATAAGCAGTGTATGAGTAATAGGCAGCATGTGGTGTATAAGCAGTATAAGCAGTGTATGACTGAGTACAAGTATGTCTGACTAATAGGCTGTATAAGCAGTGTAACTATGTCTAATAGGCTGTGTATAATTAAGTAGGAGTAATAGGCTGTATAAGCAGTGTAACTATGTCTAATAGGCTGTATAGGCAGTGTATGACTGAGTAGAAGTATGTCTGACTAATAGGCTGTATAAGCAGTGTAACTATGTCTAATAGGCTGTATAAGCAGTATATGACTGAGTACAAGTATGTCTGACTAATAGGCTGTATAAGCAGTATATGATTAAATATGATTAATAGGATGTATAAGCAGTGTATGACTGAGTAGAAGTATATCTGACTAATAGGCAGTGTATGACTAATAGGCTGTGTATAATACACATAGCATATAGCATATTATCTATGCCTGTGTATGACTGTATAGCTATGTCTAATACACCGACTAATACACTGAATAGGCTGTGTACGCCTGTATATGTCTAATACACTGACTAATATAATGACTGATTAATAAGCTGAATAATACGGAATATACTGTGCTATGTATTTTATTGGTTAATTAAGATAATTGCTAGGGTCAAAGTGCAATGTATTTGCCATTGAGTAGAAGGAGCAGTAGTCGTCCTTCTTTTTGTTTTTCTTGTTCTTTTCTATGTTCTCTTCTCCTAGAACTAGTTTATCAAGTGTTTCTAAGTCTTCGTCCTTGAATTGGTGGTGCGTCTCTTCTAAAAAGTGTTTATGTGGGATATTTCCAAACTCTCTATTGTACCCGGAGTAATTAGATAAGAAGCATTCGTAGTCTTCTTTCTTGTTCTCCTTTTTTATGAAAAGTGATTCCAGTTCTATTTCTTTATCTGTCTCTTTCTTCTCATTTTGCGTCTTGCTGTTTTTTACCTTGGCTCTTTTGTTCTGGAACCATACTTGTACACTGCGTGGTGTCATTCTTAATTTAGTGGCAAGGGCCTTTCTTAATGCGGCATCTGGCTTTATGTTTGTCTCAAATGTCTTCTCAAGAACTTCTAGTTGCTCTTTGCTAGTTCTCTTTCTTGGCTTGACATGGAATGGGTTGTAGTATGTGTTCTTAAACTCCCCTTGGGATGTTTTGTGGAAACTATCGAAGTATGACTCAGGATTTGTGCACATTTATTTGTTCTCCTTTCTGGTTAATAATTAATCTTGTATTTATATTTGTAAAATGACCAAATTTGACTTTTTACCATAATTGGACATATTACTTAATTTGGACCTATTACAGTTTATGTCAAAATTATCCTTTCATTTTTGGTAATTATATAAATAGATTCTGGTCTATAAAATGGAATGAGTCTGTCTATAAAAAATGCAAAAAATAAAAAGGACGAAATTCTATTACAGGGGTATTCCTTATACAGAACTAAAAAAGATCCTTTTATATGAGTATAATAGTATAAATAGTCTACTGGGCACTTTATATACTTAAATTACTGTAATATCACTAGAATATATCAGTAAGAATCTTCATTTAATAATATCCCTGTGCTTTAATTACTCATTCCTTATGGTAAATAAAGTAAATTATGAGGTAATTTATGGGAATAAGTGTATAATATTATAATGAAAGAGTGAACCAGTGGAATATTCAAGTATAACACACTTAAACGTACGAATATATTTGATTATATAGGGTATAACTGAATATTGGATATTTATAGTAGAAGTACGTATAGTGTATGAGTATATTAAATAGAGTGTATGGCTGGGTATACAGAGTATAAATATGATTAGCAATAAGGAATATATTGGATAGTAGAATAATTCGGGTTATGCATATAATTGAATCTTATGTATATACTGCTTCTGTGTATACAGAGTATAAATATGAATAAGAGAGTTCCTGTAGTAGACATATTAATGAAGTATAAATCATGTGGGCATTAGAAGTAATAATTTATTGGATAAGAGTAGACTTAGTATAAGACACTCCGGGATATTTATTGAATTTAGACCATTTAAGAGTATCTGAAGGGGGTATTAAAGGGGATATTTATATATTGTGGGGTATAGTGCTAAAATGGACTATTTATAATAGAAAGCAGGAAGGGTACTTTTTCTGTGTTATCCCCTCTTAGAATAATCTCTGACAGTCTTTTGATCACTTTAATATGGTTTGACATGTCTGTGAACTCTTTAGATGATTTATTGTGTTTATCCATAAGGATGTCTAAGCGTGTGAATAGACTGACTAAGTAACACTCTCTTTCAATTCCCATTCTTTCTTTCTTTTAATTGAAGAGTGTCCACTACTTTTTGAAGGATTTCTGCGTATTCTTTGTTGTTCATGTAAAACCACTTGGATGGTAAAACTTTTCTGTGTGATTTTCTCAAACAATGTCTGACTGGTTTGTATTTAGCCAGAAACCGCGGGATTATTATGAATACCCAGGATAAGAGAGCCCCTATAAACTTTTTAGCACTGGAGGTAGAGCCATTCACACAGCGACCATTTGCTGAAATAATGAAAGAGTCCAAGGAGAAACAACTCCCGCACGTATTAGCAAAAGTGTTTGTGAAGAATGTGGATAAGCCCACCGTATACGATGCAAGGACGCTGTGTAAGTATCTATTTGAACTAGTCATATCAAGAGAAGGGCGTACTGTACGACTAAAGAAAGTATCCGATCCAATAGACGACAAAATAATCAAGGATATTTTCTTCTATGAAATCCCCGTGAACAGCCAGGATGGACTTGATGGGGTATTCATTGGTGACCAGAAGGATTTCTTAGCATCAAGTGGATTTAGGTCTAGAATATTCAATAGAAATGACCCTTTTGACTCATTAAGCATTAATTTCTTATTTAAGGATAAGACACCCAGTAGGCTTGGGAAGAAACCTCTTGTCCTAATAGGTATTTCATTTATTATTCTCTGCATTATTTTCCTCTCATGCATTTACACACTAATGCATACTAATAAACTGATAGACCCGATAAAAAAGCATTTGAAATAGCCCAATTCACTCCAATAGACCAATACTCTCCTTATGCTATGTTATTGGTTATTTCTTAGACAGAATGTATCCTACCTCCTGTGAGAGAATAAATAGACTAATTGCAGTACTGGATATAATAGTAAGTTTACCTTCTGTTTCTAGCTGTACATTCTCTCTTTTATCTATTCCACGGAGTATCCCTTTTATTCGAGTTCCTTGCTTCATCTCCACAAGTATTTCTGTGTCTATGGCCTCATACACCCATCTAATACACATGAATAAAAATAGCACGCAGTTTAAATTATGGAATATTCAAAGTATCGGCTGTTTTATGCATAAACAGTATAAATTCGGGTTATATCTTCTGATTATACTTCACACTCTCCGGTGTACTATGCGTACTTTAAGATATTTTTATGATTCGGGTTATATCGGGTTATATAAAATTATTAGAAATCTTCATTATACTTGATAAGCGCACTATTTCTGGTTATTATTGAATTAGTAAATTTACAGATTTTATTATTATGTGGTATCTGTTTTTATATTTCGGGTTATATCGGGTTATTCATTAAATATATTTAATTAGTCTTATTATACAGTAGAATTACGTATTATAAATACTGTACAAAGTGTGCTTTCATGCATAGGAAGGTCTTATCAAATAGTTCCTGGACATTCCTTGCAGAATTTCGGGCATTGCTGTATGCGGAAATCTTCTTTAAAATTTTAAAAAAGAAGCTGGTGCACACGCACATAAATATATCAAATATGGCGGGAAGTATGCATAATGGCGGGAGATAATTCCCGCCCAATCTTCCTAATTGGGACACTACTTCCCATTTAGTAATTAATTAGCTCCCTTTGGGGATGGCCAAATTGGGCCTGGCCTAATTAGGAGATTACCTTAAATGGACATATTGGTCCCGCCCTTTCACATATCCCAATCCGGATACATTGCATTTCATTAAAGCCCAAGTAGAATCGATTAATTGTGTTCTCTGGGGGTATTCACTCACTTGAATAATTCAATAAGTCTAACCAGAGCCCACAGAAGATTTCATTATGGCTGGATAGGAATATGTAAACTAATATTGGTCTTTATTCTTACTGTTTTTTCCACGTAATGGTAGAAGTACTTGATGAATCATTTGGTTTGCTCTTCTCCCGTCTATTCCCTGTAAATTCACTCTTTTCAGTCTGCTTTCTTGGTGCTTTAAACTCTTTGTATGACTTGTCTGCAGTGTCCTTCACAAAATGTGCAGTGCTCTTTTCAGTTGTATTTTCACTTTTTCCTTTATTCCAGACTCTGGCAGTAGAGGACTCTTCTCTGGGCGCAGTGGTTTCAGACTTATTCATGGCACTAGATATACTAGACAGGTTAATAAAAGTGGATGGTCTGTCTGGTGCTTTATAAATACCAGAAGAATTATCATTATTTACTAATTCTGAAGTACATTCTGTCTCTTCCCTACTCCTCCACTGTGATCTTCTGATGGGCTCTCTCTCCTCACGAGGAGTAGATTCATCATGGCCTGGATTCCATACTGACTGGTATGTTCTAGTTGGTCTAATGGGTGGTACGTATGTGTACGCCTCAGATTTACTCTTATCCCAGTTCATTTCTGATGTGCTTGTGGTGGTTTGCTGTACTGTTTCCTTTTCTTGTTCAATGGGTTCTTCTTTAATTTTCTTTAACTCTTCTTTTTCAATCCTCTCCTTCTCAGCCAGTGCTTTACTAAGTACATCAGAAATATCTAAAACAGCTGAATATGCATTGACTATTACTTCTAGCATATCTAACTGCTTTTTCTTAGCTAATTTAAATCTGTTGTTTATAACTGCTAATTCTGCAAGTCTTGATGAATTTTGGTCTGCTTGTTTCTCTGCTAAGACTGTATTCCTGTAGTGCTTAATTGTATTTCTTAGCATATACTCCTTCCTCTCAAATAATACTGTAACTTTATCTTTGTACCTTTTTTTAGGAATTGCTGGCTGTGAAGACTCCTTTGAATTTTCATTATTCGTAGATATACTTGATACGACTCCCTCCATTCTATTTTGTGCTTTATCTGATCTTATAGAATTTCCTGTGGTAGGTAATGCATTCTTTGGTTGTGCATTATCTAATTGGTCAACATAATCAATAAATGTATTTCTGCTGTTACCCTCTTCTAAATATATCTTTCCATCTACTAAGCTGTAGTTTAACCTGTTCAGCCGGAGGAATGATATTTTATGGATTAAATCATTAATTACATCTGAATCGGATTTATCTTTGTTATCCTCTGCTTCTTCCTTTACTGCATCCTGTGCACTGGCTATGTTCTTAATCTCCTGTGTATACCACGCCCAGTGTTTAACCTCTTCTTCTGATAATGTATCTAATACTTCATAATTCATCAGAGCATCTTTCTTGTTTTTACTTGTATGCCCTATTATTCTATCATAATCTGTTATGATCTTCTGATACTTCATGTACTTACACACATTTTTATCCGGAGATATTTGAATGTCCATTCCCTGCAGTATTTTAATACTGTTCACATGTGTTCTGTAATTAGTGCTGATTAAGTATTTAGTAATCATCATTAACTTCATTATGTTCACTTTTGTACTGCTACTGGGGTGTCTGCTTAATAGTGATAATACTTGATATGACTCATAGTGGTACCCTAAAATATAGAACACGTGCGCATAGTCAATTAATAATGCAGGCATGTCATTGTCCATTTCTAGTGTGTGTAAGTGTACTACTATTGCACTACAATCAACATCCACGGTAAACACAGAAAGTAGTTTTAACAGTACACTCCTTACAACAGAAGTGTTCTTTCTGTGTATGCCCAATATTTCAAGTAAATTCCTGGTTTTCTGTGTATTTACACTGTCTAAAGTAATTTTACACTCACAGCTCTTCCCACTTAACATATTACAATTCTTATAAGACACAGACTCACTTGATTCAATGCTCTTTACATACTGTGTAATAAACTCTGCTGTATAATTTATACTTTTCTGCTCCCTAACCTTCAATTTATGAATTATTCTTTTTATGTCAGTACTCCCTGCAATGCCTACTAAATCACTGATACTATCCAATAACGTATTGTTTAGTACATGAGAATCAATAAACTCGTCAAGATTCATCCAAAGAAAAATAAAAAAATAATATCTATAATAATAGAAAATAAACAGTTTCTGTTGAATAATTAAAATAAATTTCCTGTGGTATAAGAATATTCATTAGTATTACAGTATAATACAGACTAACACTGTATATAATACAGTATATGTGAGTCATATACTATAGAAGTATAAAGTCATCTAATACTGTACTATATGGATGTATAAGTATACAGAATAAAGTAATAAAAAATTAAAATAAGCCATATTTTATACAGGAGTAGCTATAATTAATAATATACAGTGTATAGCATATTTTATTATTATAATTAGTAATAGAGTATTTGAATATATTTATACATATTAATATTTGTATAGTACTAAATTTAATCTGTCTGTATATATCTGTGTATATTATTATATATTTGTATGTCTGTATAAATATTCTTTACTTTTTTATAAATTATTTCTTATGTATGCTATAATTAAAAGTATTGAAGAAATGGGGAGAATATTCCTTATGGATGAATGTTTATTATACACAAATATAAAGATAAGTAGAACTCCTGTTATGTGGAATGGGATATTTACTTATTGTATAAATAAAGGATATTCTCCATTTAAGAGTGGATTGATCTCAGGATATTTTATTGGTGATAATCCTTGTATAGCACGGAGTGTACGTGGTGGTATTTCTGGTGTTAGTGTTGGTATAACTAATAAACTCAGTCAGTATATAATTAATCGTATACAGAAGTGAAATATTTATGAAGTTGGTTATATCTGGTTATATAAATAGCATAAATAATATTATTATAAGTGTATTCTTTTATTCCTGTGTGTTAATTACTTATTATACTTAAAATCAAATATTTCAGAGAGCGGCACATGATCTTATGATGATTTATGTTCTGATCATAAAGTATACGTACTCTTCTACTCCACTGGATATTTCTGGTTATATCTTATTATAACTGGTTATATCTATTAATAGTATTTCTAAAAAGTGTTCATAATTATTCAGAATAATTTATAATGTGAAAGGTTTATTTAAATTTAAAATAAATAAATATACAGCATAGACTAGTCATACAATACACATACAACACATATATATACAGTATATATTATTACTGATATATGCGTATACATATACATACAAATACACCAATAATACACATATACTAATAATACACATTCACATATCATATGCACATACCAATCATATACATATCATATACACATATACTAATCATATACACATATCATATACATATACACATATCATATACTAATCATATACACATACCAATCATATACATATACATATCATATACACATATATACAAATCTATTTATTATTTATTTAAATAATGAAGCATTAATAGAACAAATGATAATATCATTATAAGTAATGAAATGAACCTTTTTGCTACTTTCTTTTTTGCACCTGCATTTCTTATGTATGTCCTGCTTATTTTTACATCTACAGATGCAGCTGCTGTATTATGTAATATTACATCTATTCTTTCATCTTGAACATATAATTCTTGGGTTATTAACCTTTGTAATGTATCAATCTCTGATACTCTTCTTCTGATTTGTGCTACTTCTCTTTCTGTGCACCTTACTCGCTCAAGAATCCTTTCATTTTCTTCATGTAGTACTTGTAGCATCACTGGTTTTGGTCTTACAACAGATGATGATTTCTCTGGTTCTAGTGCAATATTAAGTGAAGATTGGATCTTCTTACTCTTCCTTTCTTCTAGTTTAATTTCTGTTCTTTTTACTATTGCTTTAATATTTGAAATTATCCCATTTGTATACTTACACTCGTTCTCTGGTTCTATTAATTCTGTTGCCTTTGTGCTTTCCTTTACTAGACTCTTAATCATATTTTCTATCTCTGTGTAGTCATACGCCCTCCTGTTTATTAGTGAAGTATAACAAGAATTTAAAGATATTCTTAATTCCTTTGTTATACTTAAGAACCCTGTTATACTGCTCTCTTCGATGGTATTGCTTAATTGAGTAATACCAGTGGCTGCCACGTCTTTTTTAAATTCTTGTGTTCTATCCATCCTCTAAATTTTATTTTGCTCCAATAATAATAATATATTCTTAACCAATTATAACTAAAATATTCTAATATTTATTTATAATAACCCGATATAACCCGAATAATAAAATTCATTTTATTTCTTCTAAGTTATTTATGAGGTGAGAGATTTCTGCTACTATTTCATTATCTAATAATGCTTTATAATTTATGTTTGGTATAAAATTATGTCTTGTTGTGTTAATTAATGGAACATTATGCGTTATATTATGAATATTATTAGAAATATTAACAGGATAAGAAGAGAGAATATTCAGTTGAGCAGCAGAAGATCCTGTGAGTCTTTTTGGGGGGATCCATTTCTCCATTTAAGAATAAAAATAAAAATGGGGTTTATTAAATATAATACACAATGTGTAAATAATTGTAATTAGTGCACAATGTGTAATATGTTATAAGTATGTGTGTGTGCATTAAATATGAGTATATGTATAAATAATAATATTTATTACCCTATTACCAATAAATAATATACAGTGGTGGTTTCCATGGACATATAGATCCCATAATTGCCTTTGAGTGCCATTGGCCCTGTGTGGCTGTCTCTTGACAGACCCTGATTTAATTAAGCTGTGGCAGTTGATGCCACAACACCGGGAAACTATATAAGGACGATGGAGAATAAATAAAGACACAGTTTACACGAGTAGATCCAGTTTACACTTTAGAGACAGAGAGGAAAAACAGCTTATAGTATAACTATCAGTTAATTATTGAATGCAATAGAAATAAAAATAGAAAAAAGGAAGAGAAGAGTAGAATGAAAGGGCAGGGAAGAGGGGGAGAGAGAATATTAACATACGGTTATTAATAATTAATATTATATAGATTAGATTAAGTTTATTACTAGTTTATAGTATTGAGAGATTATGTAGTATAATCTATAAAGAACAGATAATTCTAATTTCTGACTCTGAATAATAATTTCTTATACGCATATAATATAAATAATAATAATAAACTAGTAGGAACCGCCCAGAAACAGAAAGCACTCCATAAAATATGTGAAAATGACATATCAACAAGTGAATGTTCCGGGTTGAATACTTCTACTGGGCAAATGGATTCACAATTTCTTTAGAATTCGATTTAATTCCTTATGACAATCGAAGGCTCCATACATTTTACGATTAGATTTATATTTAAATAATATGTTGAACACATCCGTAGGCAGATCCAATAGATCAGTACTATCACGACCCCAGGTACATTTTGCTATTTCATATATCAGGTCATTTTCATTAAACGAGAATCCAGAATTGGTTATTTCTTTATTTACCTTTATATCTTCAAGGTAATAAGAAATTTTAGCTAGCATATGTGAGAAGAAGAAATTCGGGTTATATCTCATAGTAGTTTTGTATATTGTGATAATCCAGTCTAAGAGTGGACTATTATAATAACCATCTGAAGGTGATATATTAAACGCTTTTAATATAGATTTTTTATCAGAATATTCTGACTCTGAATAAAATATGCTTATTATGCGAGAAAATGGGGTGTATAGACCGATAAATTCTGAATCAACATCCATTAGAATAAAATCGACTAATAATACTGGAAGTAATTGACAAATTAATACATATAGTACCCCGGTGAAAGTAAGCCATCGTATTGGAATGGGAGCGAATTCTATTAAAAGTGAATATACACCTATTAAGAAAGATGCGCATAGTAATAAAGTAATCGGAATAAGGTGGCCAATAGAATTAGTGGCTGATTCGACTATTTTGCAATTTACAGTCAAGTAAAGACCCCAGTATACAATTATAGATACACTCCAAAGTACTAATGTTTTTTGAAGCAATGAATTAATTATCAGCGCACATGTATAGTCACCCGCTGTAAAGCGTTTTTCTTTTATATTGAATTTGCTTGTTTTGTAGAAAGAAGGGCTATGGAATCCATTTGAAGACCACATACAGACTAGAGATCCAACAAATAGGAAGAATAGATTAAATGTCTGACTAAGAATAGAGACCCAACTTATATTATTGATTACTTTATAATACTCATTCATTTTGCCTATTAAAGTGCTGATTATTTTAACCTTATTTATATTTTTTAATGAAAAATAATTATATTGTTGATCGATATAATGTATTTTTCCCTTTATTTCCTGTAAGAAACAGTATAATAAGTGCGGATAGAATAGTGTGATGTGTGTCGTTGCGTATTTATAATTTGGATTTAAACCATTAGAATCAGCTGCAAGATACTCGCACAGTATATAAAATGTATTAAACAGTACAATACTGCATAGAACAACTATAAGCAGCGTAGTAATCAGAAAAGACGACCCTCTAAATAGTTTGTTTGAGTATAAAGACAAGCCAATTATTTCTCTAACACGGGTAAAGGATATTTTTGCCTGCGATAACCAGCAACTACTGCTTGAACTTCTTCTAGGTCCGCGTGGAACTTTTGATATTTTATTCCACATCTTTCTAAGCACAGCAATATTATTTTTGTCTTTTTCATTAGTGACTCTACCTGCAATGAGCTGCATAAGATAGTCGGCATAAAAAACATCCTTAGGAAACTCTACGCCCATCTCCACGAAATACTCATCTGCTTCAGACACAGGGCCAGAATATATAATAGCAGAGTTATACATAACAATAACATAGTCAAATACATCCAGTAGTATTTTTGGTACATGGTTTAATGCAACTACATTTGTATTACTAAATTTCTTTATATGAGAAAGTATATTTCTAGTTAATTCTGCATTAAGTCCATTCAATGGTTCTCCCCATATATTCATCTCTTTTATAGAAAGCATTCCCCCAATAACTGAAAGTATTTTCTTCTCTTCATGTGACAGATTCTTAAAAATAACACTTTTTTGCTCTTTCTATCCCAAATGTATTCATATAATTGTCTACGTCTGCTTCTGCCATGCCATTACATTTTGCAATGGAAACTAATATACTCCTAGCAGGAACATTTTCATAATCAACTGCAGACTGGGATATGTAATTAACTCTATTAAACCAATCACCAGACCGTCTCATAGAAAGACCGCCCGCCTTGTTTTTAGTATAAACATGCCCATATATTGTATGCGCAGATTTACACTTTCCTGCTAAACTATCCATTAAATTTAATTTCTCATGCTCATTCACCCCAATAATCCCTATGAGTTTTCCTTCTGGTATAGATAGTGTATCACTCTTAAGAATACATTCATTTTTCTTTGAAAGTACTTCATATTTCTCTAACTTAATAATAGTATTAAGTGTTTCATTAAATACACTTTCTTCTTTTGCTGTTTTTATTTCTGAATCATTCAGATTTACTTTATTTTCTTTATTCTCTATCTGCATATAAATTTTTGAATATTTTCAGTATTTATAGTTTTAAAATTATGACATTTTATTAATTTATTATAATAAATGACAAGATCATAAAATATTTATTATTAGCACGTTCTAAATTAAGATATACCCCCGGCATATTTAGAAAATTAAAAAATTGGGCTATATTTAAGTATAAAGGAGTAAGTGCAATAATATTGGAAGGGGGCAATATACAGAATAAACGAATAAAATGAGAATATGCCCGAAATAACTCAATTAATATAAGTATATAATGTATTGTTAAAATAAAAATGTAAAATTATGAAAATGTACAACGGATACAGTAGTATAAAAGAGAACGGTAGAGGGAGTAGAGATATTTCTTATTTAAAAGAGAATAATCAAGTGTTATATAGATATGTGAATATATGCAAATATATGAGGATAAGTATTAAAACAACAAGAATATTCTTATATATGGCATATGCAGCAGTTATATTTTTTATAATTTCAGAAGTACACTGTGATATATCTATGAAGGAATTAAATGAAGTACAGCGCACTATAATTAAACACTTTCAGAATGGCAAGATGATATTGATAAATCCGGATGGTCCATTAAGTTTATTAGGAGTGCATATGAACAAACATATACTTAAAAGACCATTGGATAAAAATGCATTATCAAGCATAGAAACCGTGAATACTCAGAAAATAGAAGAGAATAGAAAAATGAGTACTGTAGAAGACTGTTTGGTGCCGGATATGGACGTAGTTGATAATACACAAGAAACAACATCTAATAAGCATATACCAGAGAGAGTAAAAACAACAGAAGTAGTACCACCACCAGATAATTTAAGTATAAACTCATTTACACAGTTTTTAGAATATTATAAAAATACAAATGAGATATCTTATAGTATTATTGCTATTTTACTAATATTGTCAGAGGGGCTGGATATTCCATTAAGATTTGAAAATGAGGATTCCTATTTAGTTTTATTTAACAATATGGAAGAGAAAAAAATAATATTTAGAATTAACATGTCTATTGTCCAATCTTCGGTGGCACACACAAATCCAAATAAAAAAGCAAGGAATGCTGTGTACAAAAAAGGGGCAGTTAAATACATTAAATTTTTTATGCAAGGAGAAAAGCAGCACGGTGAGGAGAAGCCCAACGCACAGTTAACAGAACCATTTGATATAAACAAGTTTATAAACAGCCAACGGTGGCATATTCAGAATTACATATGGAATTATATAAGCAGTGGGGAAGAACTCCTTAAAATCATCAGGAATGTTTATTGTATACTTATTGAGATAGCAAAGAATTCTGAACTTGTTGATTTAAAAAACATAACAGTGTTATTATGACAGTGCTAAGCAATTGTTTTGTAACAGTTCATTCTTATCAGGAAGTTATGTATAATTTTATCTGTCTTAGTAAGTTTGAAATTCTATTGGATAATCACAGAGTCCAGTTACTGCCTTTCAGAACAAAGAGAGACGTAAGTGTATTTTCATGCATACAGATACCCAATTCGAGGAATAGCATGCACAATAGATTAGGGCCAGAGAAAATACACAGTTGTATAGAGTCTGCACTGCTTAATCTGTTTTTGTGCTTTGCATTTGATGTGCGCACGGGGGTATATGATATAAGCCATATTGAAAATGCCAATTCAGATCTTATGGCATTTTTTAAAGTGTACACCACACCCAAGAAAGTAAATGAAAAAGAAGATGTGGAGGATGCGAGTGGATCAGTAAATTATAGTACAAGCGAGGATTATACAGACTCACACGTATCATCTATGAGTGAAGATGGGGATTTAGAATATATAGGGCCTTCTGCATTTAACAATGTCAGACTCTTTAATTACAACCAGCCGAGTGAAAATGGTTTGCAACTTGTACCAGAACTGCCTTCAAATAGTAATTTACTATCATCAAACACAGATGATCATTTATGGCAAGAAATAGGCAATAATGATAACAATAATAGGAATGCAAATCCAGAACGTAATAGAACAGCAGAGATTCCTAATGATTTTATGCGCGAAAACTTCAGTGAAGATATAAGGCAGTCGATACTTGAAGACGATTTAGAAAGCGATTCAGAGAAGGCTGCGACAAATGCCTTCAACCACTGGGTAAAAATAGTCTCGAATATAGATGACGCAGGGATTTGGTATAAAAAAGAAGGAAAATACGGAATTTCACTAGGGATCTTAAATATGCTTCGTGTCATTATACACCTAACAAAGAGTGGCAATAAAGAATTAAAAGAAATAGCTATGTTCGTAGAATGCCTAAAGTCCCCGCCTATATTACAAAATCTGTACGATTTACTTGAAAAGTACATAGAAAGGATATTTATACCTCTTTTTAACTGCAGTCACCAAAAGTACAGCAAGAATAAAATTCCACTAAAAAAAGTAAATATTTCAGTAAAACTGAGTAATATAGAAAACCAATTTTCAAGCATTCCAAGCATTGAAATTTATGGGGATCTCACAATAACTTACACATACGATGATATTTCAGCAAGTATAACCATATCATGCAGAGATGGCCATGCTATAACTTCATATAAAAGCCAAAAATCCGGATTGTGCAAAGTTAAATACAATGATGCAAAGACTATGCAAAAGGACTATATTAACAAAAACACATTTGCTGGATATACGCTGTGGGAGTACATAAATCAAGAAATAGAGTATGAACATGCACCAAAAGCAGCATGTTCTAGTAATAATAACTAAAATAATTTAAAGTTCGGTTAGTTCAATTCTATTTCGATCCTAATATTTATAATTAGTTTAATAAAGTAATCTTTTGATTCAATCAGCCAATCCGATTTTAAATCATTTTTCATTTTTTTCTAAAATGATTTTTTTACTGGTTTTAAGAAATACTTTTTTGTAAAAAATAAATGAATAATAGAATACTACAACCAATATTGGCTGCGGAGGATATATGCGCTATAAAATATAATATGTTCAAAATTACAGATTGTATTATAAGAATTACAGGTATGTGTGTCAGAAATCAAAATGAAGAAGAACAACTGCAAGAAGAAGAAATTATTTCACCCGATCAATTACGCAAATATATTATTGAGATAGTTAAATCTATTATAATACTTTCACTATTAGCCACAGGAATATTATTCATTTTTTATGGCGTATATGCTACTACAATTTCTTCTGAATTTTTCCCATATAATATAGGAAGATTTACTAAGTTAGTCAGTTTTAAATTGATATATAGTGGTAGTTATATTATTATAGCTACACCCATGATATATATTGTTTTAAATATTATTAATAGTTTTTATATATCAGTGTTATCCATAGATGTGCATGCTAAATATCGTGATCACAGTTATACTATGAACCAGTTGGCTATATTTTTCTGTATTTTTGTAATTCCGGGTTGTATACTTAATGGAATTATAAAAATTCTGCCTATTCTATCCGAGTTTATAGGGAATTATCCAATATTAAAGAATGTAGTAATGACATTGCATCCCATACCCATATGGATATACATGTGTAAAATACTTCATAATACATATTACAGAAATATAACCCGAGCGTTCACTATATATGAGATGGCTATTATTATGTACGGGGCTTTGATAGGTATTATATACGCTATAGGCATTATATATGCTATTAATTTATATTCCATTGGGGGTATTAGTAATATATATGGTACTGTGTAATATATCTTGACAGAGCTCAAAATAAATTTAGATTATAGAGGTAGTAGTTATTTAAAATTTAACTGAAATTAGCACCCTATAAAGGAAATAATTAAAAATTCACATAAAGTATTTTATTACAAGTATTTTCTTACCACTCAACTAAATAATTCTTTTTATCCTTTGGCTTCTTGTACTTAAAAAACCTTCTAATGGGCCTTGTTTCTAATGTATTTATTTCTATACTTTCTTGTGAGAATCTATCTTGTATTAATTCTGTGTACAGTTGAGAATCGGGAATTGCACTCTGTGATGGACCGAATAAACACCCACCTAGGCACATGTTCATTTCTATATAAGCATATTCTGATAGAAGCGCCCTTTCTTTTTTTATTTTTGTAATGAATGAAATTATTCTACTGCTACCAAATAATTGAAGTGTTTTTTTTTCTCCTGGTAATAATTCTATGTGCTTAGGATTCTTCTTAATAATTTGTGTATTATGCCCTGATTGACTGGATAAGTATTCTGTTACACCTTCAAATATACCGCCAGATGTAGACCCATTTAATATTCTTGATATACTATGCTTATATTCAAATTCTGAATATTTGAAATTTTCAGAGGTTTCATTAGAATTAGTATCCAGGGGAGTATTCTGCTGGAATAATTCCGTTGTATTAAGAAAATAAGAATATATTTCTTTTGCTGTAATGCAATATTTTATACAAGAATTATTTTTGGCTTCTACTCTCTTATCCTTACACATAACTATAGATATATTTACATTATTATTATATGCATTTATGTACTTAGCAGATAATTCTACTGGTGATAAATTATTACTTAAATTTGCATCTATTCCATCCAGTGTATTATATACGTATAATACAGTGCCTGGGCATATTGTACTTATAAGAGTATTTTTACTTTTTAATAGATCTATTTCCTGTTTTAGCAATAATTTAGTGCCTATGCTACTATCAATTACTTTATTATTATTACTACTAAGCACTTTTATAAGAGAATATTCAAATTCTCTGAATGTTCTTTTGCTGGTTTTATTATAAACCGTATACAAAGACATTTTTGCTTGTGGCGTTATAATAATATTTACTCCTCCTTTTTTTATGAGCTCAATTGTATCTTTATAATCTTCTGTGTCTTCTGTGATAGAAACACATCCAGCACATGACAGACAGTCAGTCAGACTGAATTTCTCTGAAGTAATTGGTCTATCACACATTTAACTAAAAAATAAAATGAGCATACCACATAAATATTCTATTACTTAGTATAACCAATAGACTAATTATAGAGGAGTCAACAGAATAATGGACGAATAGACTAATTGTAACAGAATTGATTGGTTAAGTAGATAAACTAACTGATTGGTTGACTTATTACATTTACTGATTATGGCAGAGTTAGCACAGACTGCCTAATATTACTTATATACTATCTGATAGACTAATTATAACAGAATTTGGTATTTTTGGTTTTGTAATAATTTGAATTAATCTGATTTGAAATTATAGTAAAAATCGTTATTTTTACATTTGAATGCCCTGAAATACTTGTTATTATACATAAAATAGTGTAAAGGGATTACCTTCTATTATTTATTCTACTGCTGAATCTTAGTGTTCTTCATACATCTTTTTATAGGTTCATTTGTCTCTATATACTTTATATACCAATCAAAATTAAAATCATATATAAAGTTATTATATACCATTGCGGAACCAAATATGCGCTTAATGTACAGATAGTCAGGCATTTCATCATATTTAAGTCTTCTAGTGTACTCTAAAAATTCTCTGAATGAATGATCAATACCAGCACATAATTCACTAATGGGTGTAGATGCTTTTATCTCACCAATCAGCTTGTATCGCATTTCTTTTGTTTCTGCTTTAATACTTTGCCAGGGAAGTTTTCCTTTTACAAAATATATCAGCATATACGCAAGGGATTCTAAATCATCTCTCCTGCTTTGGTTTATTCCATTATGCGTATTTAAAGAGACGTATCTTACAGTGCCCAGTAACTTATTTTTTGTAGTCATTGGCTTGTGTGTGTAATTGGACGTACGGTACACATACGCCAAGCCAAAATCTAGAATGTAAAAGGCATTTTTAGCAAGAACTTCTGCAATGTTTTTACTTCCGCTGCTTACCCCAAATAAGAAATTGTCTGGTTTTATGTCTCTATGCACTATATGCTTATAATGAAGATACTCAACTCGGGTTATTAGCATTTCTGCTAGCATAAGAACCGTCTTTAAACTAAACTTTCTTCCACAGTAGTTAAAGAGAGATTCTAATGAAGGCCCCAATAAATCCATTACAAGAAAAGATCTTTTTAAATCCCCCATGTTTAGTGCACCAGATTGGTAGATCGTTGGAATATAGTTATTCTCTGTCTTGAGCATTTTATATATACATTTTTCATATGTGAGCTGAGATGATCCTGGCTTTTTTTCTATTTTTATAGCAACTTTCTTATACGTCTCCTGGCACTCTCCTTCATAAATATCCCCGAATGCGCCCGAACCTATTTTCCCAAGTATTTTATACTTTCCAATGTGGACACTCTTTAAGTTCATGCATGAAAATAAAAAAGAATAGAAAAATAAACAAACAGATCTGATGGAAAATTCAAGTAATGCATGAGTAACTGGACAGAGTTGTTATATCTAAATTTATTATGCGATAAATTCAATTATTAAGGTTATTCCATTAAAGGAATTTCTTGGTGGTTTAAAAATTCTGGGTTATAACGGCTTTTAATAAAATTTATTGCATATTCTAAAAAGTTTTACTATTTAAATTCGGGGTATTCGCACATGTGCGATGTGTCTTACTGCTGGTGCTATTTCTGGGTGTTTTTATGTGTTCTGATGATTATTATTAGGAAATAATTTATTTCGGGCTAATAATAAATTCAAAATATTTTAAAAAGTATATGCTTAGAGAGAGACAGGCGCAAGAACTATCGGGGCTTTTGAAGGGAGAGTCATTTGAATGGTCTGTGCTAATACTGGACAAGGATGGGCAGGATGTGATTTCTCCTTTATTCATAATGACAGACTTGATGGAAATGGGTATTGTGCAGTGTTTAAAGATGGAGGACATTCGTGAGCAGAATCTAGAGACGCGTGCTGTGTATTTAATAAAGGAAACTGAAGAAAACATAAGCAGGATCTTAGAAGATGTAAAGATGCAGCTATACAGCAAGATAGAAATACTTTTTACGGGAATAATTAGCACTTCTTTATTGAAGGATTTAGCTTTTAAAGCAGCCGCACTGAAAGAGGCCAGTAGAATAGTAAGAATTACTGATGCAATTACGAATATTTCACTTCTTCATGAGAGTATTTATACAATGAATATGACAAAGTCATTTGTTGAGACCGTGCAATTAGCACAGAAGTACATTACAACTGGAAAGGATTCTTGTGCCGAGAGGGCAATGGAAGAGCACTACCGTGCACTGTCAAATAATTCAATAGATGATTCACTAACTCTGTCAAAGGAGGAGGTAATGAATGAGCACGGAGAGTACTTTGACAAGATTGTGATGGGTCTTTCTTCTGTGTTTAAGAACGGGCTAGCGCCTGCTGTGTTTTATAACCATCCGATAGCCAAGAAAGTATCTTCTGAGCTACTTGATAGGCTATCAGATATTTCAGAGGTTATGGAGAAGCAGCGGCCTAATAAACCAAAAAAAATGAAAAGACCCCTTCTTGTCATTCTCACGCGGGGGGAAGACTTGGTCACTCCTCTTTATCATACAAACACGTACGGTGCAATGCTAAATGAGATATTTGACTTTTCTTTGAATAAGCTTGTCATTCACAATCCCATAAGCAAACCACAGGAGAAGAAAGAGAAAGAGACGTACAATCTTAACAGATATGATACACTCTACAACGACAATATTCACGAGCCATTTACAACAGTAGTAGATCGAGTGAATGAGGATTTGCAGGCATACAAAGAGTTATCACAGAGTGCATCAATAAATATGGCGACGGGTAATGACGATATGGTACGGTCACTTATCCAGCTGCCAGACCTTCTGGGGAAGAACCGGTTGCTCTATAATCACATGAACATTGTGCTGAATGCAATAAAAATCATACAACAGAAACACTTAGATGAGCTATTTGCAGTTGAGGATGGCAATGCACTGGATATGCCAGAGGTAGAAGAGATCATCAATAAAGTAGAGTTAAATGATCTTATAAGACTGTGTGCTGTTGTATTCAGTAAGTTCAACAAGCACTATGCAGAAGTCTCAGCCCTTGCAGGGAAGAGGATTAAAAACAGCAAAGTACTAAAGTACATAGAAAATAACACGGTGCAGCACAGCACCAGAAAGAAGATCCTGCATAACATAAAGAAAATGATTGGTGTGCAGAAAGATGGCATTATAAAACGGGTGGATGAAGTTTGGTCAGGGAAGACAGAAGATTTCTCCTCTCTGAACATATTCATCCTGGGCGGGGGCACATATGACGAGTACACAGCAGTTTTAGAATACGGAAAAGCGCATAAGATAGAAGTGACATACGGCAGTACTGAAATATTTTCAGCGAACTCTTTCATGGCACAGATCGATGAAATTGCATAATCTGCCTGACAAGCCTATTTTGTCTGTACTAAATCTGTATACGTGCACATTTCGGGTTATCACTGTGTATTAAATCATTAGCCAAATAATTATCATGATAAATTCAGGAATTGTTTATTTTTACTTATTCCCTGCAAGGATTATTAACTTTTTAACGAATTTCCGTTTATTTTTCTGTTTATTTTACTCCTTAAAAAAAATCTCTTCGAAGTTTTTTCCTGTTTCGTCACATATTTTCTTAACCTTTATAACAATATCTGCTATTTCCTTTCTTGTCTCAACATGTGCTTTTCTGTACGTCTCTCGCATTTTCTCCAAGTCTTCTCTTTCCTTTCTGAGAGTACGTGCTAGATCAGTGAACTCATTCACTTTTAAGTCAATCCGCTTCATTTCACTCTCTACAAGAAGCTCTAGCAGCCTTTCTTTCTTTCCCTCCTCAAGCACTTTCTGCTCCTGTGCTCGCCCTAGAGATGAGCTCAGTGCAATGGCAGCTATTTCATTTAATCTGTCATTTAACCATGTATCATTCGGCCTGTCTTTATTCTCTTCTGCCTGCCTGCGTATTTCGTGCATGGCTGCTTTGGCTGCAGCAGATGCCACCCCCGGGTGCACAGTACTTGCAAGGAATGCAACAGTTGACATAACCGGGTTAAGTGTATAATTAAATGGCATTTTAGACTCGCTGAAGGAAATAGCTTCCATCTCTAGAAATGGATCTTGTATGCCCAGTTTTAAAAAGTGGAGTACGCACTGCTCCAGAGTCTTTGTCTTTACGTACTCTGAGACAGCCTTCCAGTCATCTTTGTACATTTCAATGCCCTCCACTAAGAGCATTTCCTCTTTTTCTGTCCATATTTGTCGTACCAGCCCCGCTTCTAATATGTGAAAGCTAGAATATGCCTGCTCGGATGGATACCTTCCCAGATTAAAGCACTCCTGGCAGAGGATTAATTTCCCCTTTTCTGAGAAATATATTTTCTCATCCACAGAGAGCACGTGCATACTCTTTCCACAAGATGTGCATTCTATCTCAACTGGTACTTGCACCGGAGTCACTCCATTGGTCTGTAGACTGAAGTGTTTAGACAGGTCTCTTAGCATATCAGTGGGCCCTTTGTGCAGACTAGCAGACCCAGCAGGTGTGGGAATAGTGGATTCCCCAACTGTCACAAACTTCTTATCTTCTGTGCCTTTAGAGTACATCTGGCCATGGATCTGGCTGTTCATCTGTTCGTTAACTCTATTATCTGCTGCACTGTTCATTTTACCTTCTGTCTGTTCCAGTGTATGCAATGTTGTATTTATAGCAGCACTTCCTTTTTCTATGTTAAACAGATCCTTATGCTTTATCTTTTCTAGCATTTTAGTTACGTCTCTCTTTACACCCACCTTATAGTTTATCAGTCCCCAGTGCTCCAGGAATGAGTATATCCTGATGAGAGTGGAAATATCTTCAGATACGCACTTCCTGCACTGTGTTATGCTTAAATATGTTGATGTATTCTTTTGGTACAGTTTAAATATGGTATTTCTAGTGAACATGTACTTCTGTACCTCTTCCTGCCCCGTGAGTAAGGCAGAAAAGAATCTTCTTTCAATTGGATGCACCCCTTCTGTGCTAAACCAAGAAGAGTGCATTGGAACAAGAACTGGGTGACGCCCTTCATTTCTACTTTCTATTTCCTTGAATAGTTCTGGGTAGTTTGTCTCCACTGTGCTAGATTGATTTTCTTCCTTATCTACCTGATTAGATATATTTACTACTTTCTTATCAATATCCGACAATGTTTTTGTCTTACTCTGTGCAGTCACTTTATCTACTGTATATGACCACTCATTCATACATAAAAAATTTATTACTTTTTTATATGCGAAGTAAATTATTACAGAAATATTTCGGGTTATATCGGGTTATTAAATTTGGCTATAATTTACATTTTCGGGTTATTCGGGTTATACATACATTATTATAAAGTATTTGTGTATTATATTCTGCACTCTTTAATTTATACTATTTATGATGGTTTGTGCATTAATTGTTATAATTTACACAATGTGCATTAAATAAAACAAAGTGTACAATTTATTTATAAAATATACATTTATTACTAACCATTGTGTATTTAATTTTAAACAGTATGCGTATAATATTAAATATTTTTTATCCATAATATATTACACATTATACTATATTTATTAATTATCACACTATACACTATAAGTACTCATAACCCGAACTTCAACCCCAGTACATATACATAATCATAACCCGATATAACCCGAATTATTTTTAATTTCAAATATATTAATCCACTTTTTATTATTTTATTTATGAAGGAGACACACGCAGAGACAAGCCCAGGAGATAAAATATTCTCACCAAAAGTAGATGAATCCCTGTACTCAAGGCAAATATACGTAATGGGAAATGAAGCCATGAAGAGAATGCTTTCATCACACGTACTCGTGCTGGGACTATGCAATGCAGGCCTAGAGATAGTCAAAAACATCTCACTGGCAGGGATAAAGACCATCTCAATATACGACCCAGTCGCATTAAAGGCAGAGCACCTGAGTACGCTATTCTACTGCACTGAGTCAGACATAGGAGACAGAATAGATAAAAGTGCCGAGTATAAGCTGAAGGAGTTAAACACACACGTAAAGATAGAAGTACTTGAAAGCGTACCTGAAGATATTCGGGTGTACAGTGCTGTTGTAGTGAATGATAAATCAGTACCTGACCAGGTTCGTATAAACGACCAGTGCCGGGTCCATAACATTCCATTTATATCTGTACAGTGCCGGGGACTGTTCTTCCAAGTGTTCTGTGACTTTGGTGATGGGTTCATTACCTCTGACACGAACGGGGAGGCACCTTATACAGGCACCATTAAGTGCGTTACACCCACTGGGATGGTCAGTCTAGTAGAGGAGGAGAGGCACTCCCTAGAGGACGGGGATGAGATAGAAATAAAATCAGTCAGTGCCAGGTATACGGTAACCGACACAAAGGCATTCACATTTTCACTGTGCGGGTATTCAGGAGAGGACTTGTCCGGGATGTCATTCGACCAGATCAAGAAGAAGAAGGTTATCTCATGCAAGTCATTAAAGGACTCCGTCGCACACCCTGTGATACAAACAGAAGGCAGGGAAGCGAGTGTACTTCACAAGTGTTTTATGTACGAGCATGTCTCACAGGGAATGGATGCGTACTTACAGGCACACCCCACGGAGATAGAAGACATCCCTGTGGTAGAGGAGTACTTCAGGGCACCTGCCATAACAATAGCACCAATTGCATCAGTTGCCGGTGGGATAGCTGCACATGAAGTGCTTAAAGCATGCAGTGGTAAATTCACACCAATCCATCAGTTCATGTACTTCCACGCCATGGAGTTACTGAATGCCCTGCGGAAACCAAATACGCCCGGATCGGACAAGGGGAGGAGTCCTCCACGTGAAGGGCCATCACACGGAGAGGACCGTACAAGCACAGGTGCCCAGGATAATAAATCTGTAAATCCATCAAGTGGATCGGTGGGGGACAGTCCGTCCGTGCGGTATACGCCACTTGAACAAATATTTGGCGAGGAGGCCCTGTATAAGATACAGAGTGCCGGCGTATTTATAGTGGGGGCAGGTGCGATCGGGTGTGAGCACATTAAGAATATTTCGATGCTCGGCATGGGCCGATTGGGGACACGTGTCATTACGGACATGGATGCGATCGAGAAGTCAAACCTGAACAGGCAGTTCTTATTCCGTGCCCATGACATATCCGCAATGAAATCGGTAGTGGCTGCACGGGAAGGTGACGCACTGAACCCAGGTGCCCCTCAGAACATACAAGCGTACACGACCCGTGTGGGGAAGGAGGCCGAGCACCTTTTTAATGATGAGTTCTTCGGGCGTATAGACCTCGTCCTGAACGCCCTGGATAATGTAGATGCCAGGCTGTACATGGACAACAGGGCAGTGTACCACAGAGTGCCCGTTATAGATGCAGGTACGCTTGGGTCAAAGGGGCACACACAGACGATCATCCCGTATATAACAGAGCATTACGGTAATAGTAATGACCCACAGGAGAAGTCGATCCCTTTATGTACGATCAGGAACTTCCCGTACCTCCCTGTGCACTGCGTCGAATGGGCCCTTGCTGATTTTAAGGCACTTTTCTACGAGCGGATCCTTGAGGGCAAAGAGGCCCTTAGTACACTCGGTGTAGAACCCCTCGCAGAGTCCATGCAGACCCTTTTGTTCAGTGCCCCACGGACTCCTTCTGATGCAGTAAAAGAAGCCGTGCGCTTATTCCAGGAGCGGTTCACTGAGGGCCCTGAGAAACTCTGTGACTCCTTCCCTAGGGACCATGTGACTGAGGAGGGCACGCCCTTCTGGGTCCCTCCAAAGAGGATGCCAGTCCCAGAGACCCTTTCATTCACTGATCCATTACACGCGGGGTATTTAAGGAGCACGTACTACTTGATATGCCGCACACTCGGTGTACCGGGTGACGTACCCTATGACGATGCCCTGCAGATGTACCAGCACCCAGAGACGTCCCCCACCGCACGCACTCCACCACAGGACTCAGACAGACCCACCGTCACCCTCACAGAGGAGGAGTTTGAGAAGGACTCGGCCACTAATTCGCACGTGGAGTACGTCGCATTCGCATCGAATATTCGTGCCAGGGTGTACGGGATACCTTCATTAGATGTCCTTGAAGTGAAGAGAATATCCGGCCGGATCATCCCAGCAATTGCCACGACCACTTCAGTCGTCTCTGGCCTGGCTGTCCTTGAGGGGATAAAGTACTTAGTCACTAAACCCACGGGTACGCCCGGTGAGTCGGCGGGTGAGTCACCGGTGATTCTATTTTCAGGAACAGTTTCGTGTCCCTGGCACTTTCTGTGCTCATGCAGAGCGAGCCGATCCCTCCGTATAAGGAGAAGGTCGCCCTGCCAAATAAAGAAATATTCGTGAGTCCGTGGGATTTAGTGGAAGTACGGGACATTCCCCTGTCAGAGATAATGCATAAATTAGGGGCGGAGTGGGGTGTAGATATACACACTGTAATGAGCGACTTAACTGTCCTGTACTGTTCCTTTTATAATGCAGCCAAGTTCAAGGAGAACCTTTCTAAAACCCCTTCAGAGATTCTTTATCCGATGGGTGTTCCTGTGGGTGTCCGCTCTGCCAGGATCGACATGGTCGTGGAGGGTGAGGACGGGGACGACCTTCCCGTTCCGTTTGTTAAAGTGATTTTCGCTGTGGGTGAAAATACGGCACAGGAATAAATAACCCGATATAACCCGATTTTACCATTCTTAGATATTTATGGGCTAGTCCGATTATGCATAAATATTTCATTTATTTTTTCTTTATTTATGGACTTATACGCTGAGGAGAAGAGGGCCAGGCTGAATTCGGACAAGGAAGGGAGTAAATCTGTCCTGATTAAACTAGCAGACACTGCAAGTACGCCCGAGGAAGCATATAAAATCATACGGGAAATGAGCAAGAAAAAAGGGCAAATTAAAGCATCCTTACAGGAGATGATACTCCATGCGTACAGGAAGTACGAGAAGGCGTATAACATAAGCGTACAGGACAATTCGTACAGGACTCCACAGGATATAGATATAAATACTATCACACCGGATATACTCCAAGAAGAGACCACCCCACCCACGGATAACCCGAATATAACCCGAAGTACACGTACGGGCAGTACAGTAAATAAGCCTACTAGTACAAGTATAAGCAAGACCACCCATAAACATACAGAAAGTGACCGTGTACACCCTAAGGACACGCCAGGATCCGATCGTGAGAATCCTTCAGTAAGTAACCGAGTGTCTAAGAGTGCCACAGGATCGGCAGTGAATGAGAGTGGGCCAGTGAGTACGGATACGGTCAAGCTAAGCAGTGATGGTGATTCGGTATTTCTAAGGTTTATACTGTCGGTGCTTGAAGTGGTTGAAGGATCGATCGAGATGGAAGATTTACGCCTGTTCCTGACGGACTCTGTTAAGCAGATGTACGTAAGTGCAGGGTACGTCCATGAAGCATTTATACTTATATACAACGTAAATGCCGAGACGTTCTCGTCCCTTCCCCAGGAGCACGTCCTTGCGTACCAATTAGAGCAGATGCGACTGGCACTGTTAGCCAGGGACTATCACCGGGCCCGGCTGGTTGCACTAAAGATCAGCCGGAAGCAGTTGATTGCCTGTGGGTATACGGTTCCCTTTTGGCGCCGGATGCTTTTCTTGCATGTCCAGTCTGGGGACACTTCATCTGCTGCTGCTGTGTGCAATGCTTTACGTGTGGTTGATGAGGGTGCTCGTGTATCTTCTGTGTATCCTGTTTTGACGGTTATTTTTTCAATTTTGAGCATTCAGGAAAATTTTGAAAAAAGTCGTTATTTAATCCGATTATCCGTTAATTCCAAGATGGCTCAGGAGGAAGATGTCCTTTTTGGGAAGTATTTCCTTGAGAATATTCAGGTTAACCCAGAATTATTACAGAAATTACTGTATCAAGTGGGTGAGAAGTACAATTTACAATTTTTACATGCATTTCAGTTAGATTTTGAAAAAATTTGCGTAATTTACAATATTTTTGTTTTTTCAAAATATTTTTCAAAAATTTCATTAGGATCACTACTTTCCACGCTTAGTGCAAGAAGTTCTACATTAGATGAGTCAGCGGCTCTTTCAATTTTAGAGGACATGATCCGTAAGGGGAGTGTGCACAGCAGGATAATTGAGAATGCCGGGATTGTAGAGTTCAGCAAGAACCAGCCGGAGAGGTTCCTATCAGAAAAAGAAAAAAAGAGAATTTCATCAGGAATGGAACTTATGGAGATATCAGTAGATGAAGATTCTTCTTCAGCTGTACCAAGAGTCTGTTCTGGTAAATCAGAAAGTGTAGAGGACTGGAGTAAAAAGATAAATTCCTGTTTAGATGGAATTATTCGAATCACGCACAGCATGAACAATGTATGAAATAAAACAACCCGAAATTTCTATACTATAACTTATTACACAATGTATATTATATAATACTTATTACACTATTATCATTATATTTTATTTATTACAGTATTACTATTATAACTTATTACACTATACATTATATTATGCTGTTTATCATAACTTATTACTATATTATCATTATATATTACTTATTACACTATTCCTATTATATTCTATTTATTACTCTATTACTATTATATATTATTTATTACTCTATTACTATTATATTTTACTTATTATCATTATATTCTATTTATTACTCTATTACTATTATATATTATTTATTACTCTATTACCATTATATTTTATTTATTACTCTATTACTATTATATTCTATTTATTACTCTATTACCATTATATTTTATTTATTACTCTATTACTATTATATTTTATTATTTATTACACATTGTGTATTTTTTTATGATAATAATAAAAGTGACTGAGTCTGCTTATAAAGAGAATAAATCTGCTGTCCTTAAAGAAATAAATAAAATAATAAACAAAGAACTTACTGGACAATACATCATAAGTAATACACACACAGCAGAAGTAAAAGTAAGTAGAGTAAATACAGCAGGAGATGCACCACACACAGGAGACATATACGAAGAAGGGGACATGTACGTACAACCAGAGTACTTCACTAAGAATATTCCTTATAAACCAGAAGAACCAGACAATGACGAATTACCACCACCAGGCATAAATAAGAAAGGATTCTATGGATTATAAAGAGATAGTACACTATGTGTAATAAGTAATAGTATATAGTATGCTATGTGTAATAAGTAGTAGTATATGTGTAATAAGTAGTA